GAGCTTCCACATCAACATTCGACACTACACCATAGCGAGGCCACAGATTTCCATTTGGTGGGGAACAACTCCAAGTTTATTGCGCTTCATCCAAGTCTACTTCCGAGCAGTTCCTGGGCGGCGCATCGAGTAAACCAGTGCAAAAGTTTGCTCTTGGAAAATGGTAAACAATGAGCGGGTTTTCTCCTGGCTGCCATAGCCAGCAACCCTCGGCGGAAAGTGTGAAGAACTTGGAAACCGGCTACACAGAAGCCTACACCGATAGAGTGGATACGACAGAGAAGACATCAGTCACGAGCCGTCAGCGTGGAGCCCACGCGCGTCAAGAAGAAGGAGCAGAATTTTTGACAGCGCTGACAAGCGATTCTTCTCCTGCGGAAATGCCGGTCTCGGGACACGGCATAAGTGATGCGGCGGAAAAAGAGCGCGCCCTGCTAAGTTGGGAGCAAGCTCTGGACAGCGGGCTGCGAAAAATCAAGCGAACTTCATCCGAATTGTCTTCGCACTTGAAGCCGCCACCGTATTTTATGGAGCTTGCGTTGCCTGAGCCTGAAGATGATGATAATTGTGATGTTGATGACGCTCGTAGAAGCGGACTTTCTGTTTTTCCTTTCTTTTTGCTGTGCCGTGTGCTTACATAACTCTGGCTCCATCAGGAGGTCGTGATCTTCGAAAAAATACTGTGTAGGTCGCTGTTTGAGCCGAAGCTTTCGCGGGTCCAGTATTCCTGGCTTCCCAGTGCTGAGGAAAGCGACATTGGGCCGTCTGCTAGCGTGATGGCGTATCTCACGGAAAGGTAGAAGATATGTGACTTGCATATTATGTAGTAAATTTCGCGAGCAAATTAGAATTACCAGTAAGTCATGGGCGGAAACTTGTCCCGATCCTCAGTGATCATTGGTAGCAGCATCAAAGTTTAATTTCCTTTCTTCCGCAGAACGCACTCTTTACGCGAGAGACGAACACAGGTACAGGCGGGAGCGGATGCAGAACAAGAGCGCGGTGTCCGCTGCGTCGACCGACTATTCTGCGAGTAGTGGGTCGCTGACTTCGTCGCAGTTGCGCTCGGCAATCGACAAGCTGTCGCTGGAAAAGCAAGGCTCGTCCTCTTCGCGATTGACGAGTGGGCGGAACACCGCGTCGCCACAAGAGGCGGTGGTTGGGGAGAAGGGCAAGAACCACCAGCCGGAACTACTGCACACAGCTCAACTAGTACAACACGGGGCGGCAACTACATCATCCAGCGCTTGCAGTTCTTCCGCCCGGTCGTGGACGGAGCAATCGCTTTCGGCTGCCGCGGCCGCGCGGATGAAAAACAGGGTTGACGGGAATCTGGAACGGCAGCTCCAGAAGGTGGCGTTGCTGGAGGGGCCTCGGCGGGGCCGGCGGCCGGGGTCCGCGAGCTACAGTGCCAGCCAGCTGAAGCCACTACGGCCCGTTAGCGTCGACCTGCTTGGCGTGGCCCGGGGAGACGATCAAGAAGATGACGTTATTCGAGCGAGGCACGAAATTGACGCACCAGTCATCAAACCAGCAGCTCGACCGCCAAACCACAACCACCAAGCCCAGCCGGACGGCGGTGCGCGCGATTGCGGCGACGGCGCACGGAAGCAGCAAGTTGTATACTCACTTTTGCTCATATGATTTGCCCTGGTTTTTCGTTTTGCGCACAGTCTTCTTAGCATGGCATCGTCCTCGCCGATAACGTTGTTGTTGAGTTCGTTGTGCATCTATGTGCAGGAAGATGGTGGTAGTACTCAGAATGTACGATGTTTGAAAATCAAAATCATGCTTGTGGTCGATCAGCTGCAAGATCGGCTTCTGAAAATAGCAGAAAAAACAAAACATGTGTGCAGCACTGGACCCCGCGCCGGTCCGATGCAGATGAACCTAGGCACTTGGAAGTAGTAGGCGCTGCACACGACCATAATGACAGTTCTGACGGTCTCCCGCCTCAACAAAGGGCTGCAGCAAGAGCGCGGGCGCTTTCGGGTCCCGGAGATCCAGCGACCACACGGGCTCGCAGGTCGAGTTTGAAACAAGCGGCAAGCCTGATTCAGTCGGACGCCGCCGTTCTGGGGAGGCGTGGTGGCAACCGGAAAAGTCGCGACCTCGGCTTCCGCGGTAAAAGGCCTGCGGTCGCGGGCAACGCCGGCCGGCACCTGAAAGAGGAGGTGCGGCGTGACATCATGATCCAAGACTGGATGGGGCTGATCCAACCACGGGATTCCCGTGGATCCCAGTCCAGTCGCTGCTGAATTTCCGTGCCGGAGTTCTTGCCCGGCTGACGCCCTAGCGACGGTGGATGGAACCGCCGATTAACGCTTTCTTTCCGATCTGAGAATAAAGATTGAGAATCTTCTCACTAAGTGCATTGAGAATATAGCATCCAAGTTAAATGTGACCCCACGCCTCTGCAAACGGCAACTCGGTAGGTCCTATTGCCTCCGCCAGAGGGCTTATCTCCTTGATGTTGATACTGGAACATAGGAGGTTTACTTAATCGAAAATGAAGAAATGGGTCGGAATTGCTGTAATGCTCTGAAGATCAAAGAAAATGTCGTCGGTCAAGCATTGTCAGATTCTCGGTAGTAGTGCAAGTGGTCTGTTTAGTACAAATGCAAATGCCTGCAGGAGATCTCCGATCGGTTTGTGATGTAAATCTAGCTGTAGCTTCGGTACCAGATAATTTTGATGGATCACTTTTCAAAAAAAAAGACTCGGGTCTTTTTGTGTGCCGTTTCATGCGATCTGTGAATACACGATGGACAGTATTAATCTACGAAGTATTGACGTGTTGAAAATTGATATGCTTGATATCTACCTAATTTGCTGCAAATTGTAATTGTTCCTGGAAGATTTGTTGCGGACCAATTAATCTTTGGTTGTGTCTTCCAGCTTGCCTTTATATCAGCTCCGTACTGTCTATCTTCAGATTGATTCTTTACATTCACAACTTTTCATGAGCCAACGGGAGGATGTACTGAGGCGCCGCGCGGGCGCGGGAGACCAAGGCTCCGCGAGAGGAAAAAAGCCGGGGAGCAGCACTAGCAGCACTTTGCGGCCTGCTCGAATTTCTGCAGCGACTGTAAGGCCGTCCGCGGCTACGCCCGGTAGCGAAGTGGAGTACTACCCAGCGGTTGGCACCTTAGCTCCGACCGGTCGGAACAATGACGGGGGCATCGCCCAACAGGACGATGCGGAGTTTAAGGGGAGTTCGACCCTCGTTTCCACAACGAGGGGCTCTTTTGTGGTGCCAGCTTCTAGTGCAAGTAGAGACGAGGACGGGATAAAGAAGATAAAGGGCGCCGCCTCCCCGGCCACCTCTACTTCTACCCTGAGACCCGTGCAATTTGTTGGTCTCGTGATTCTGGTGGTGGTTGCCCGACTCCTGGTATCAAATGTAAAAATGTCTGGGTCTGGAAGACTCTGACACTTGTCATGCACGTTTTGGATGAGCCCTGATGTCTGTGATGCATGCCCTAGCAGCACAGATTTTTTGAGAGCTTCTTGATGCCTATTCCGCATGACAAATGCCCTCTCCGCGTAGCAAGAATTACATTCCCTTTGGTACTCATGCAATACAGATTTTTTTGGAATCCAAACGCAGCATTACAAGTTGGATTCTTCCAGACCCAGACATTTTTACATTTGATACCTGGATGCCTTCTTCACCAAGAAGGCGTTCGCCAAGTGGGGGTCCGTCTTGCGGAACGACGACGTCCCGCCGGGTATGGATTTCGACGCCACCGACCGACAGACGCTCCAGATCATCGAAGACAAGGCCCAGGACTACTCCCTCTTCGCAAATAACATGATCAACCTGTTCTACTTTACGGTGTTTGGCTTTTTCGTCTACCCGCGGCGCTGGTTTCCGCAGCTGTTTCCGGAGGCATGGCGGCTGCGGGAGGAGGTCCGGCGACAGATCCCGATCTGGGTGTTCGCCGTGCTCGCGGGCTTGGACGCGATGGCAAATCTGGCCAACGCCCTGGGACAGCGCACGCCGGGCACCGTGCAGCCACTGTTGGACCAGATAGGCTTGCCCTTCATCATGCTGCTTACCTACGTCTTCCTTAAGGAGCGGTTCGTGGCCTTCCAGTACGTCGGCGCGTTGCTTCTGATTTGCGGGGCGGCGTTGTCGGTTTTCGGGCGCGGACTGAACAATCTGGGGGAGGACGCGGACGACGGTGGTTCTTCGTCGCAACTATCGGGGTCCTCGCTGGCAACGTTCATCATCATATATCTGTTCAAGCCCTTGTTCTACTCCGCGTCCTACACCATGAAGGAGGCGAACCTGCGGCACCTGCAGAATGTAGATTTGTGGTACATGAGCCAGTGGATCAACTTTTTCCAACTCGTCTTCACAATTCCGCTGATGTTGTTCGCGGCGGTGCCGTTTTTGAACGCGAACCCCATCCCGGTCAGCGAGGTGTTTCCGCTCATCCCGAAGGGGGCGGAGTGTTTCGTGGGGCGCGGAGAGGCGTCGCGGTTCTGCAGCGAACAGAATCTGGGTTTGTGGCTGACAATGCAGGCCTTGGTGAACGTTTCCTCCACCACGCTCCAGCTGTTTTTGGTCAAGCACGCGGGGGCGGCGACCATGAGCACGGTCGCGATGGGGGTCGCCGTGCCCCTGGTTACAACCATGTTCTACTGCATCGCGTGGGAAACGCCCTCGTTCTACTCGGTGCGCCAAATCTGGGTCGGCTTCGGCAGTCCGAAAGCCGCATGGGATTTGAATAGCTACTACATTCTCCTCGCCATTGCGTTCACCAGCACCGGCTTCGTGCTGTATTCTCTGGCCAAGAAGAAGAAAAGCACGCCGGCGAGTAAAGTAGCCTCGAAAAGAACGAGCAGCACAAAGACTCAGTCCGCGCTGGGAGAGTATCTGCCGTCGTCGGCCGAACTTACGAGTCAAGAGCCTCTGATCGATAATCGGACGCAAGAAAAGGTGTAGGTCTGGTGGGTCGACGATGGAAACCCGTGCGGCTCGTGTTTCGGTACCACAGGACTACTTTGTATGGTGCGAGCGATTATTCAGTAGATGTAGAAGGAGCGACTGCGAGTAAGAAATGAAAGAAAACTGGAGAAGCGCACTCCGATTCGACGACGCGTGCTTTCGTGCCCAGTGCACAGGTGCAAAAATATCAGCTCATCAAATAGTTCGACACAGTATGCGCATGGGGGCATCTGACGTATGGATGTGGTCAGGAGCTTGCCTGTGCGAATCTCGGCTGCTCTGGGCGATCAAGAGTTTGTTCGAAAGCGAACGCATACTGGCAGAACCCACGTACCAGACGTTCGGAGGCAGAATTGTTATCGGTCAGTGGTGTCAATCGCATGTTGAGGGGATGATTTCACACCAGAAATGTCATCGGTCAGTGCGATTAATCGCATGTTGAGAGGACGACTTTACACCAGAGACCGAGAGAGAATAGTCGAATCTGTTCAGACCACTTGAGAGAGGCGTGTCGACGACTGTCAGTTAGACTCGATGAGTAGACCAAACAGTACCGCCAATTTGGGTTTCAAGTTGTAACTCCACCCAGGGCTTAGTGGCTACGCACCCAAACGCAAACGTCTGTTTCATTTTTTGTTTTGATGATTTGACCACACGCTTTATCTTAGATAAATCATTTCGTATGGAAAGAGAGAAAAAACGGAGACTGCTGTTTTTTTTCCTTGAGCTTGTGAATGCCTTTGCTCTCTTACGCAACCAAATTAGCCAAAGCTGCCGCGCTGCGGCGGATAGTGGGGCGCGAGTCGCGCCTGCTCCAGGAAAGATAATATAGGGTATGAATTATTAGACGCCAGCTATCTCGAGCATTGTACAACCTTTGTGAGGTCGTGCATGTTGCGCAGAAAGAGACCGCGGCTCCTCTTCGTCCTTGTAGCAGCGCAGCGCGTGAGCGATGATTGTGTCCTCGGTAGACGGAGCGTTCCAAGCTGGCCATCGTGGGGGTTTTGGGACTACAACTTCACGGCGTGCGACCCTGTGAGCTTGACACGGGAACGGCTTCTGTGAGCTTGACACGTCCACCCTAGATTATCACAACGCTCCGACGTATCAATGCGAGTGCAAAATTCCTTGGCGGGGACCGGAATGTACGCAGCTGGATCTACTTCCGTTGAAGCGCAGCGCGCCCGGTCTGTGGATGATGAACGCGTCCCATCCGACTTGGGGAGGGACTGTTTGGTTCGAACCGACGGACAACCGCTGGCATCTCGTGACGGGCGGAAAGGTGATCAGCGAGGAGTACTTGGATGGGGGCCCGGACCCCACCGGCGATCTTCCCTACTGGGGCAATGTTGTGGATCCTTACACCACCTGGGGGCGGAGTCCGGCCTACAATGCGGCGCAGCAAAACGTGAACGCGGGCGCCGCCGTCTTCCAGACTGCGGGTCGCATCCCTTGGTACTTCACCACGACCTATAACCCCTATTTGAATGACACAATCTTTGAGCAACGACCGATCCTGACCAGGTTCGTCTCCGACGTGGGCGGGAACCCGTGGGGCCCGTTATCAAAAGGAAAAATCTCCCCACCCCATATCAAAACGAAACTTCTGATGCTGGATTTGGATACACAAATCAAATTTGTGTTGCAGTAGAGGACTGCACGCAGATCCTAAGTCTAGCCGCGGGCCTCTTGGTGTAGGCGCTTCGCATGGTAGACGGCTACCCTGTAGGCCTTACAGCATTACAGACCGCCTTTATGACGTGGCGGAAAGCCTGAGCGTGCCTCTTTGCAAGACAGGCCCGACTTGTGGTCGCAAATCTGCATCACAGACGTGCTTTCAATATGGGGAGGGGGGACGTTTCCTTGCAATACCCGTTCACCGAGATGCGCGACCCCAAGTGGGCGGAGGGTCCTTTCCGCGCGGACGTGAAACAAAACCCGGCCAAGCCGAGCGAGCTGCTGATGCTTTCCACCGGGAGCGAGAACGGGGTGTTCGGCCTCGCGATCTACAACTCCACGACCGGGATGAACGGCCCCTGGGGATTCAAGATGGTGTACGGGTGGAAAGACGGCGTGCACAAGGGCATGAACAGCGGGACTCTGGACCAATGGGACTGCGACGCGAAGGACCCGTCCTTCGTAGTGCACGAGAATGGCACCACCGTGATTGCCTACCGGGGGACGAGGTGCGACGCGGACACGTCGCACGACCACACGGAGCGCGTGGGATTATTGATTTCTTCCAACCCGGCGGGCGTGGATCCGTCCGAGTGGTGGCGTGGGCCCTATACGCGGCTCGGCGTTCCGCTTTTCCAAGATTCTGAGGATCTGTTCATGTGGATCGACAAACAGGGGGGCACGCACATGATCATGCACACGCAGTCTACGGACCACACCTCCAACCGGAAAAAGATTCGGGGTGCGCATGCTTACAGCAAGGATGGGATGGACCGCTGGACCAAGTCAGAGTGGGAGCTGTGGCCCGCGGAACTAAAGTGGGACGACGGAAATGGTCCTTCAATTTTGCTGCGCCAACAGAGGCCGTCTCTGCAGTTCGAGCGGAACACCAGCGACAAATTTGGTTGGAACACAGATAAGATTTTGTCTCTTACCACGGGCGTCGATTTCCTCTACGACCCTTGTTGCGACTGGTACGTTTTCGCGTCAGCGTGGACAGCTATACAGCCCGTTGTCACGCAGTGCCGGGCGGGGCAGGTACACGTCTTTGTTTTTATGATTTTTGTCGTTTTTTTCGAATTTCAAATCTTCCTCTTACTTCTGGTCTATTTTCTTGCATTTTGATGGATTTGAAGCACTTTCTTACGTAGCGGTTGTGGAAGATCTCCGGAGTCGGTGCTTCATACATAGAATCACGCTCCCATCCTTTTTCAGGTGTTCAGCAGCACTACGAACAGCTGTCAGAACTGCGCAATCGAGGAGGCGAAGTACAACGGCCACTGCTTGCGCACGACGACAAAATACGGGGAGTGCGTGTGTGCGGAGTGTGATTATCGGCGCGCCGGGGATAACTGCGAAAACGAAGCCTACAAGTGCTACGAGATGCAGGCGTACCGACGGTGCAATCTGACGGCCTTTGCGGACCAAACCACTTCTCTGACCGGGACCGCTACGACGGAGGACACCGCTTACCAGCACAATTTTCCGCACCTCGTCAGCGCCGGCTACGACTACAGCACGTCGAGCTGCCAGAGATTCTGCGATCTCTACTCCAGCTTCCAAAACACGGTCGGGTGCTGTTACAATTACGCACCCAGTTCCACGTGCCGCTGGTACGCGGGCGTGACCGACGATCTGGAGGAGACGAGTGGCGCCTACATGTATGCAAGTTTGTGCATGCCTGTTTCCGAGACTACCACCACAACCAAGTGGCCCTATTCCTGCACTCTAGGGAGCGGCGCCATCGACGCCGCGGCGGGGAAATCACTGGACCCCGCGAATGGGTTCGCCAACACGCTGCACTGCTCCGATTCCACATTAGAGCATTCTCTCACAAGCGAAGTGACGAACTTAGATGTGACCGTGAGCAACGAGTGCTTGCAAAAGTGCGAAGAAAAAGCCTCGGAACTGGGACTGTTTGACGCCACGACGAACTTGACGCGCAACGACGACTTTTTGCCGCTCGGGGGGTGCTGCTACAGCTGGCAAGGCGCGAGTAAGAGCTGCATTTTCAACGCGCTGAGTAAAATCACCTCCAACAGCGGGGTTTCGCGCCACGCCACCTTGTGTTACCGGGAAACGACGACCACGAGCACCACCACGACCTCGACGTACACCACCACCAGCACGACGACGCCACCGCCAACGACGACCTCCACAAGCTCTACGACGACGACGTCCACCTCGACCACAACCCCCTACGTGGGCCCCGCAACGAGCGCCCCAACAACGACGACCACTCCCATTTCGATCGGGGACCTCTACAACACGAACGCCACGTCCGCTACGGGGGGATCCGCGGACGACCCCTTGGTGGAGGCGGAAGCGTCGGTTGTTTCCGCGGGCACGAATATGACGCTGAGCTTCTCCGGGAATTCCGCCTTTGTCACCGCCTGCGGCTCGACGGACAAGCTCAACGATCCGAGTATTTCCGTGTGCTCCGGCTTCCTGGACGCGTTGAAGACTAGCATTTGTGCCGCGACCAACAGCATTCTGACCACGGCAATCGAGTGCGCAAGGTTTTTCTGGATCTTGTTCTCGATCGTTATCGAAAGCCCCTCATTGCTTCGCGTGTTGACCGCCACGACGGGCGCGAACGTCACTGTCGGATCAACCGTCACGGTCGCGGTGGCTTACGAAATCCGGTTTTCTGATGCGAGCGAGGCACTCGACGGGGGCTCTTCGGCGCAGGCGATGGTCGCCCAGCTGAGCGCCGGCTCTCCGACCGCGTTTCAGCAGGGATTCACTTCATCCTTCCAAGCAGCTGTGGCAAGCAGTGCGACCCTGCAATCGGTCGGACTGAACAACGTCACGACGAGTGTGGCCACCGCGACGCCCACAGTGGGGACGATGTCTGTTTACTTGCCCCAGTCTGTAGTTGCGGCATCGTCGCCCATGGTGTCTTCCGGCTCTAGTTCGGGGGAGAACAACACCGCCCTGATTGCGCTGCTAGTGGTGCTCGGTATACTCGGAGTCGTCGAAATCGCGCTGCTTTCCTACTGCGAAATTAGGTACGATAAGGCGGTCAGCCGGCGGCTTTGCTGCAAGAAGCCGCAGAAGAGAAAGAAGTCCCAGGTCAGGGGCGAGGGCGAAGCCAGTAGCGAGAAGGACGAAGGTGAGGACGAAGATGCTGTAGGAGGATTGGGAAGTAGGAAGCTGCTAAGTATGCGCACCGTCGGGAATTTGACGTCGCAGATGCAGAAGGGCATCGGCTTGAAAAGAAAACGCACCGTGGGTAATCTTCACTCAGAAATGCCCACCATGCGTACGTCCGGAAAAAATGCGGAACCGGTAGTGGAGCAAACGGAAATGGATCCAGCACTGGTCGCGGGAACAGTTGTGGTTCCGGCTGCCGAGATTGTCGATAAGGAGGATGCTGCTTTGGTGGAGAACGCACAACAACAAGCGGGGGCGCCGGAAGGGGAAGCGTCGCCCGAGGCTGTAGTAGCGCTGCAGGTTGGGACCGACGTGGATACCGCAGGCTCGGTGGGGCCGGCCGGAACGCATAAACTGAGCGCTGCGCAAAAATTCCAAAGGCTCGCCAGTTTTCAACGAGCGGGGCAGTTTATCCAGAACAGCAAAGGGAAGAGGACGGTCAACATCCGGAAAGCCGGCTCAGCGCATCACCACGAGGACTTCGACTTCGACAACATGTGAAGCGTTCGCGCCAAAATGCGAAAAGTTGGCGCTGGCTGTGACAATGCGAGATGTAGTGCGAGCTTCACAAGCACGGCTTCGGCACGGGAGGCACTTCTACACAGGACTTTATCAGGGATAGAGCTGATCGTGGAGGTACTACGGGCGTCGGAGAATGCCGGTCGGTGGTGTAGTGGAATGGAGTTGCTTGCTTCATCTGCGTGGCCGCAGATCCAGTAGCACTTGCGGAATGCGTATGCGTGAACTCTCTCTGAAGGAGACACACATCCTCACAATCTTTTTACAGCAATCAATCTTCCGAGAAGGGATTTCAACTTCTATCTGTTGGATCGTTTCACAGCCACTTGGTTGAGAAGTTGGTACTTTCGCCGTCAGTATCACCTTGCGCGTTTTCTGAAAGTCTTTGCAGCATCAGTTCGATGCAGAAGCAGAAGGGAAAATTCTGCACTTTTCCTGATAGATAAGTGTTCTGTGAAACGGGTTGAACAAGGGTTCTTGTTGTACTCCCACGGCCCTATTGTTGACGACAGGTTGACGTCGAGAGAATGTAGTCTGCTTATTCTAATTTTCTTCGAGCGGAAAATTGCAAAATGGTCGTGGTGGTGGGTATGAGCTGGTGGGTATGAACATTCGCTGGTGCCGTAACATCGGTACCAGTATGACAGAAGCGGTAAACTAAAAGTAAGAGAAAAGCGATAAAACGAGACAACTACAACTAGAGCAGACTTGGCACATCGATAAAATCGGTTTCATCAAGAATGCATCTGAGGTCACGCTGGGGGATTGACCTTGGGTGGTGAGGCCGCAATATGCCGGCGCAGAAGTTTGCTGGGGCGCTTGGAATACCATGGCAGATTTCGTGAGGAGAAGGTCCGCCTCATCATGGTCCGCGGCACTCCTGAGTCTGCAAACCGCATTCGCGGTTCCGGTGTTCCGCGTCCGTCCGAAATTGCCGTTCCGACGACCAGCGACATCAAGTGGTCGCAGTCGCGGCGGCAGGCCACGCACTTCGTTTCTGCAGGAGGAGGCTGACACCGTTCTACTTTCGGCGTCAGCGAAGCGACGGAAAACTAGGAGGACAGAAAACGGGCAATGTGCTGCCCTGCCCCGGACCCTGGACGCTCTCGCGGATCCGTTTCCCGACCTGAAAACCGCGATTTACGTGCAGTGCAACGTAAAGATAGACCCCGAGAATGTGGAGGAGTCGCTTTCTTGCGCGCAGACTTGTCCCGCGCAGCGGTACCGGTTGCAGACCGAGCTGCGCAGCCGCGAGAGCCGCGTGCTGGCAGGCACGAGCGGGCTCGAACAGGAAACCGAAAAAGAGGAGTATTACGACTGGCTTGGTGAGGTCTGGAACCACCATGCCAGCGACGGTACCATTTTCGGCAGCTCCTCTGTATTACCAGCACAACTTGCGGACGATGTCGATGAAAGTAGAAGTACGTCGCCGTCGCAAAAACATCATCGGCGGCCTGGTCACTATCACAAAAGCGCAGACTTCAACAACGATCTCGCGCTGGCGGAGACGGAGCGGCGCGCCATCGGGGACGCGACTACCGATCAGATGTCGCCGGCCGAGGTGGAAGCGCTCCTGGATACGGGGAACAAGTTGATTGAGGACTCGAAGCGGAAGCTGAAGGAGAGGATCTCCGCGCTCGACCTGGCCTACAAGGACAGGTCCGACCAAGCGGCGGACCCAGTTTCTGGCCCCGAGTCGCTCGGCCTGAACAAAGCAACGAAGCTATCCTATGTAAAAACGTACCCACCCCAGAGTTGTCATGCAATTCTGCATGCCAAAAAAGTTTCTCATGCGGCTGTCGCGCTCGGCTAGCTGGCCGGGCTGTGCTGATCAGGTGTGGTGGGTAGCTCCCGACTGGTTGGCACTTGTATTGGGGCGACTTGCCGTGGTAGCGCTCGGCTTTTGTATGTTGAGGTCGCCGAAAGTGCTTCCTCGCCCACCCCCCGGGGAGGGGATCCTTGACCTGTGGCGCTGGGAGCGGGTGTCCACTACATGATGATGATGATGCGGAGCCCTATGAGAAGCATTTTCTATTCGTGTTTTGGAGTTTGTGATGCTAGAATCAGCATGGTAGGCTAGATCTGTAATGCTTCTGAGCTAGCGAAACAGGATTACACTACGAGGACAAACTTGTCATGCCAAACAACCAAAGCTGTGTGATTTGTCTAGCAGATTTGCCAACTTGACTCTGGTGTGGGGACGTTTTTAATCAGGATAGAAGCGCAGCGCGGTTATCGCCGATTGGCTGGAAACCAAGGAAAAGCTGGAGAAGAACCACGCCTTGCAGTTGGGAACGGATCTGTACAAGTTGGGACTCGGCATCAAGGCGGACGGGACGGTGACCCTGAGTCCCGGTATCTACGATCGGCTCGAGCGCGGGCGCGGCATGTACCAGAAGGCCAAGGAGGCGTTCGCTGCGGAAATGGACATTCTGCGCATGCTGCTGAAGCAGTCGGGCGAGGACGGCAGAGCAGAGGAACTGAAAAACCAATTTCCAACGTTTGTGCAGTTGGAGCTCTTCTCCGATACGCACAACCACCACACGGGTTCTTTGTCGGCAGAAGAAGTTGCGTTCATTGAGCAATTGCAGGCCGAGAACGCGAAGTTGCGAGCGGAAAAGAGGAAAGCGGAAGACGCGGAGGTGCTGCACCGACAGGTAGAGAAGGCGGCGGCCACGGCCTTGGACGAGGCGGCGGCGATATCAAATGTAAAAATGTCTGGGTCTGGAAGAGTCATGCTGTTTTTGCATGACACAGAAGGTCTGGCATGGAAGCTCTAGCATTACAGGTTTCGAGAAGCTTCCGCAATGCCGAATCCGCATGACAAATCCCCCACTTTGGTGACAGAAAGTGGGCAGCTTTTGCTACCCATGCATGAGAGATTTTTCTGTGTTCTGAAATGTGCATCACAAGTTCGGATTCTTCCAGACCCAGACATTTTTATATTTGATAGGCGAAAGACCAGGCGCTGCGGTCGGAGCTGGAAGCGCTGAAGCAAACCGCGTTCCACGCCGGCGCTGAGCGAGCGGTAGCTAATGGAAAGGCCACGAAGGAGAAGTTGAAGCAGCAAGATTTGGAGCGCGTTCTGGAGAGGGAAGCGAAGGTGCAGACCGCGGCAGCGCAGCGGATGAAGAGTGAGCGGGACCTGGCCGGGCAGCAGTTGAGACAAACGCGGAGGCAACTCGCGGAACTGCTAGGCGAGAAAGAGCACTTGAGCAAGCACCTCTCGGAACTGTCCTCGGGGCAGGAAAAAGTTGCAAAATTAGAGGCGGCGCTTGGCGAGTCCACGCGTCTCTTGCGGGAGACCGAGATGGAGCGCGATGCGGAAAAACGAGAACTGGAGTCCGCGGACCTGGAGCGCAGCGTGCGGGTCGCAGCAGAGTTAGCGGCCGGCAGCAGCACAAACTTGGCTGAACTGGGCGGACATGTGAACAAGATCATGATGCCTAACAGCAATAGTGCCGTGTTGCCCGAAACGTCGCGGCTCGCAGTGCCTCTAGTACAACCCGAGTTAACAGCAGCTTCGTCTCCCTTTAGCACCGCAAGAAGTAGACAGGAGTCTTCGTTGCTGCAGACGGAGAGTTCGGCTGGGGCGACGAGTGCGGCGTCGACAGAGCTTTCGAGCCGGATAGCGAAATTACAGGCGCAGTTGTGGGACGCCCGGCACCGCGCGGAGAACGCCGAGGTCCAGGCCAGCCGCCTGCAGGAGGAAGTGGCGCAAAAAAAGAAGGTTGAAGAGGAGTTATCAGAAACCAAGCAAACGCTAGCCAAGGAGACGGCGGAAGTGGAGCACCTGCAGGACGAACAGCGACAGCTGAAGGAGGAGAAAACCTTTCAGGAAGCGAAATTGGAGCGGAAAAAAAGTGATCTAACCACCACCGCACAGCAGCAATCGAAACAGGTGGAGGAGTTGACGACGCATCTCGAGGAGCAGCGGCACTTTTACGAGGAGCAGTTGCAGCAGTTCCGACAACGCACCGGGTCCGCGGAGCACACGTCTGCGGAATCCCAGCGCCAGGTGGGCGAGATGCGGACGATGTTAGCGGAGCTCAAGCGCAAGGTGCAGGAGAAGGAGGAAGAGAACACCGATCTGAAAACGGAAGACGTAGAGCACGAGCAGCAGCAACGCGCGGAAGCGCTCGCCATGGCCAAGAAAATCGAGGGTATGACGGCGGAGCTCAGTGCCAATCGCGCAACGGTGGCAAAAATGCGGGAGCAGGTGCAGGGTGTTTTGAACGAAGCCGCGGTAAGCGGAACCCAAGGAGAGAAAGCTGGCAGTAGTCCGTCAAAGCTCGGTATGTGTTTTTTTTCGTACGCGAGGAAGATTTCTGCGGTGTTTCATCTTTGTAGTTTCGCAACTTGTTGACGCATCCGCATTACAATGGAAAGCAAAGTCGCATGCAATTCTTGTTTTCAAAACAGACGACTCCTTGCAGAAGGACGTCCAGGAAAACATTGGGAAAATCATGAAGACGGGCAACCCGATGGTCCAGTCGATCATCTACGAGACCGTGGCGCTCGAGAAGCGAAACAGGGAACGTCGTTTGCGAGACGAGGCCGAGCTTACGGCAGCTAGAAAAGAGGTACGAGTTGTTGCGTTTTCCCGACTTCGACAGCGTACTACAGCAGACTAGTAAGAATGGTTTAATTAAAGATGATACTTGCATCCGCTGCTCTCCCGGGGGCACGTCGTGACGCAACGAGAAAATAAATCTTACGGCTAAAAAGTAGAACATTTGGTAAACAGGTAGCGACTTTGACGGCGGAGTTGCGGAGTGTGCAGGCGCAGCTTGGGTTGGAGGAGCACAACCATTCCGAGGACACGACGCACGCGTCGGGCAAGGAGCGTATTCTGCAGGGCCGCGTGACGGAGTTGGAGAACCAGCTCTCGGCCGCGGAGGGGGAGCTGACCGAGTACCGCCAGGAGCACACGCAAGACAAAGAGGTGCGGCAGGAGCTGGAGTCGGACTACGCGTCGGCGGAGAAAGATCTGGAGTACTTCCAGGCTGACAACGCGCGGCTGCGTATCCTATGTAAAAACGTCTGCACCTCATAGTTGTAATGCAAATCTGCATGCTGAAAATGTTTCTCATGCGTTGCCCCAAGACAGCCACTTTTTAATGCTACCTGGGAGTTTGTCATGCTGGAATCAGGATAAGGTAGTCAATTTGTCATGCGGCTGCGCTAGCCAAACAGGATCACACTACGAGCCCAAACTTGTCATGCTCAACAGCCAAAAGTTGGAGATTTGTGTTGCAGATTTGCCAACTTGACCCTGGTGTGGGGACATTTTTACTCAGGATACTGCGCAGCGAACTGCGGCAGTTGACGGAGAAGTACAACCGCGAGTCGCTCACCTGGTGGACGGACGCCAACGAGGGCGAAAAACTGTCGGAGGAGGAGGTCACCGGCCTGAAGGGCAAGAACGACCTGATCGGCAGTCTGCAGCAGGAGATCAAGGATTTGAAGGACCAGCTGCGCAAGGCGGTCGGCGCCAAGGGCGGCAATATGTACGACAAGTTTGTGTGGGGGGACGCAAATAGCACCTACCCGTTGACGGACGTGGACGTAGGCGCGGACCTCGGGAAGGTGCTGGACATCGTGGACGACATGCAGGAGCGGGTGGAGAAGGCCAAGGCGCTGCCGTCCTACTCCACCGACGCGGCGCAGAAGAAGCTGGTGAAGGAAATGATGATGACCGTGGACGCCATCCGGAAACTGCTCCTCCGCGCGTCGGCCGCGCAGGATCCGCGGCGCCGGTTGCAGGACGAGGAGATCGAGGAGGAGGCCCACTGGTTTGACGACGACTTCGATTTGTCCGGGTGCGAGCCCTGGGGCGTCAAGTGCGCGCGCTTCCAGAACCGCCTCTCGCACGACCTGCGCGTGGCCGCCCGCGAGCGCAAGGCGGTTGACCGCGAGGTCGCGCGGAACGTCAGCCTAGCGGACCTGGCCACGGCGATGGAGGTCGAGGAAGCGGCGACCCGGGACTTCCTGGACGCGAAGAATAACTACGCGAATGCCGAAAGCGAGATCGCGGCCAGCCGCGTTGTGCTGCAGCAGAGCGAAGCGCGGACGAAGATCGCGGAGAAGAATGTGGCGAACGCCACTGGTGTGCTGGAGGAAGTGGTCGATCGGGGCGAAAGCGCGGGAGTGACCTTCCCCGCTAATCGGGAGGCCAAGATTGATCCCGACCTGCCTCCGCCGGCGCCGGCCGCACAGGTCTCGTTTCTGCAGCAGGACGTCTCGAACGTGACAAGTAGCGGTAATGCGACCGAGAACAATGGCACTGAAGGTGCTGCCGCCGCGGCCGCGGGCCAACCACCACTTGCGTCCGTTTCTCCAGACGTCGACGCCAGCACGCCGTTACCCGGGGAGCAAACCCGGGAAGCCGAGGTGGAGGAGCACTGCGGGGAGGCGGGCGTGAACGCGGAAGCCTGCGGGGCGAACGTCACGAAGGTGAACGAGAAGCTCGGGAACGAAAAGATCCTGCGCGAAGAGGGCGAGGCGTACGTGGGCAAGGCGGAGGCGATCGCGGAGTACAACACCGCCGTGCGGTTGCAGAAGGAAGCGGGGCAGCGGGTGGCGGACGCCAACCGCGCGCTGGCGCAGGCCCAGCAGACCCTGGATCGCAACAAGGAGAACAAGAAAGCGGCCCGAGATAGCACCTACAAGGCCATGGCCCAGCTGCAGAAGCACGAGTCGGAACTCCGGACCCAGATCGTGGACGAGACGGACCAAACGGAGGCGGCGATTCGCGAGCAGTGGAAGGTGTTGCTCCAGGAACGCCAGGCCTTCTACGCTGCGCGCGAAGCCTTCCAATCGATGCACGACATCTGCTCAGCGTTGATCGATCCAAACGACCACGACAAGTGTATCGACAAGGCTAAGGTGAAGCAATACAGCATGGTCCAAGCGAAGAAAGCGTATAGTTTTTGCAGTAGAACCTTGTTTTTCATGATTCACAAAGTGAAAATATTGTGCTGATGTCATAAGACGTGCCTCAAGTGGTAGGATCGACTTCTTTCTGATTCAAAGCGGAAGTATTCTCCTCTTGTTTGTGTCTTGATCATGAGGCATGCTAGCCAGCACAACATGAAGCGCGTGTGGTCCTTCCAACGCTTTACAATCGCGCTAAAACAGGCTTCTGAACGCCGAGGCGAAGTATTACGAGATGAAAGACGATCGGGAGTATTTGGAGCAGTATGCCAAGATGTTCATGGAAGATCGCAAGAAGGTGCAGAACGAACATGCTGACGCGTTGAAGACGTACAAGCAGGCGACCGTGGAGTTGCAAGCCGCGACGCGGCGTCTACTGAAGAGTCAGGCGTTGATGCGCGCGGAGTTCCGGTCCAAACTTTTTGGAAAGCCTGAGGCAGACGCCAGCACAGACGATCCGTATCAGCTGCTCTTGAAGCAGCTGTATGCAACTTCCAACAGTGGGCTAGCGACCGGTGCACAAGCTCCCCCAGCCGCGGGGAGCAAAAAGGGCGCGGAAAACAAGGGGAAGGCGCCGGCCGTAGGTGGTGGTGACGGCGGCGCGGCGCAGCCGGGCGCCGGAGCTGCGCTGAGCTCGCTCACGGACAGTCCCGCCACAGAAGCATCGCTTTCCGCGGAGGTCTTCGCCGCGAAACAGGACGAAGCGCGGTTTCTCCTGCTGAAGCTGCAGGCGGCGGCGTCGAAAATGGATTTCGCAGACAGCTGGGCGTACCGCAGTTCGAAGACGGTATTACAATGAAAAATGCCCCCACCCCCAAAGTTGTAGTAATTTGTGATGCAAAGTTTCCAAATGAAAACTTTCTGTCATGCATGAAAGGACTATGAATCTTTCTGATGCAGAGTCTAGGCGTATATCGCATTGCTTGCATGACAAACGCCGCTCTTGCTGGGATCTTGCGCAATACAAATTTTTTCTATTCACGATTGGAAATCTGTGATGCTGATAGATGCAAGAGGGCGAATGTTTCATTTGCAAAGGTTTGCAATACAAATGCTCACAAGTTCGGGGGTGGGGGCATTTTTCATTGTAATGGACGGATGTGGACCTGCAGTGGAAGGAGGTGTTCGCCGCGGACAAGCGCGTCGCGACGTGCGACGAGGAAACGGAAGGGCTGTGGCGGAAGGCGATGAATGCGCAGATGAAGGCCCTGGGTGCCGGCGATGACTTGCTTGACAAGTTCCTCCTTGCGGAGGCCGTGGTGGCCAGAAACACAGTGGATGCGAAGGTGCTGGAGTGTTTTCTCGAGCGGGAAGGGCTGGGGCGGGCGATGCGGAAACGCGCACAGCTGGCGGCGCAGGTGCGGAACGAGCAGCACTACATGCGCGAGAAGTTGGAGAAGCGGCTTACCGACGCCGAGCGGATCCTCCTCATCGGGCAGCAAAACCTGCTGCGCGCGGATCGCGCCCGCATTCTGGCAGAGGAGGATGCGGAGATGGCCCACGATTACAAAACGGACGAGGTCGGCCGGTCCGCTGCGGCTGCGCGCGCGAACGGAACTGCAATCGAGCTTGGCAAGCGGGTCAAGAAGGCCCGCGAGGCGCGCGACAAGGCGGGGGCGCACTTTCTGAAGGAACTCGAGTCGGTCCACAAGGACTTGAAGGACAAAGTTTTGCGGGTCTTCGGTTGGGAGCAGAACAAATTCCAATCCGCGCTCGACAAGACCCTAGCACAGGATCTGCCGGTACACGGTGTTGACGTTGGGCAGTAAGAGTAGACAACCATTTAGTTTGAAAATGCCCCCACGTCGTGTGAAACAAATGTGAAGATGAGCAATGCACTTTGATGTTTCTAAAACAAACCTCACAGGACGCTCGGAAAGCGTTGTTTGAGCCGAGCACGGGTGCGCGAGCCATGTACGAACAGGCCCGCGCGGCGCGCATTTCAGCCAGTATTTCGGGGAAGGGCCTGGAAATCCAGTTCGCGATCGAGAAGGAGAAGAAAGCCTACCACGTATTACAGTGAAAAAGGCCCCCACCCCCAAAGTTGCAACAATTTGTGATGCGAAGTTTCCAAATGAAAACTTTTTGTCATGCATGAAAGGAGTCTGAATCTTTGTGATGCAGAGTCTAGGCGTGTATCGCATCGCTTCCATGAAAAGCGCCGCTCTTGCTGGGGTCTTTTGCAATACAAATTTTTGCTACTCACGATTGCACACCTGTGATGCTGATAGATGCATGAGGGCGAATGTTTCACTTGGAAAGGTTTCTTGCAATACAAATGCTTCCAAGTTCGGGGACGGGGGCATTTTTCATTGTAATACCACGTGCTGGTGTATCGCGTCCATGGGTACAAGCGCGTGATGGATCAGGCCGAGCGGCAAAGCTTTTACCTGGAGCGCGCGTTTCTGGAGGTGACTGCGGCGGTGGCCGAGCTTTTCCGCAGCCGCGACCTGGACATGGCAATTATGGCGAAGTACACCATGGAGCGCGCGGAGGCGCAGCAGGAGTTGATGGCGCGGCAAGCGAACCAGCACGCCGCGGAGGCCGAAAAGATGGTGAAGACACAGGAGGCGCTCCAGAAGCAGAACGAAGAGAGCGGGCTCAACCTGACGGTGTCGCAGGACTTCTCCGACCTCGCCGTGAAGGCGCGGGAAAAGGAGGCGGAGGCGCTGGAGGAACGGGAGCGGTTGCTGGGCATCTTCAACCGCACGAAGGAGACGCACGCACGCGCCTTGGCGCGGGTGAATCTGACGACCGCCGAGATGGAGATGTACCTGGCAGAGCAAACCGACGACCTGGCGCGCACGTCGGTGCGGGATGTGCGTTTTGCCGTGAAGGCCGCGGAGAATCGGTTGCGTGCACGCGAGGTGGCCTTCGAGCAGGCGGTGGAAAAGACGGCCGTGGCGCGGGGGGAAGGCTTCGTCCGCGCGGAGCTGGAGATCCGCTTTCCGGCCAAGTCCGTCGCCGAGTTTTTCGGGGTGCCGGAATCGACGAACGCGACGTCCGGAACAGGGGCGGGTGCAGCGGCCGCCGCCTCGGCGGGGGCAGCGCCAGTTCCGGCCGCAACCACTCCAACTGCTGCTACAACGGCCGCCGCGGTCACCCTGTTACAGCGGGACGAGAGTTTCCTCCCAACCGCTGGCATGCTTCAGTCGAAAGGCGCGGCCATGCTGCAGCTCGCGCAGGCAGGGTCTTCCGCACCCGAGGCAGTTGCGGATGCAGTTCTACACGATCTTCGGCCGCAGGACTACGACGACTTGATCAATTATCTGAATGACCAGCAGGATAATGCCGGATCTTCTTCCACAGTAGGAGCGACAGCACCGTCATCAGTTCCGCGAGGGCACAGTGCGGAAATGCTCTTTTTGCAGGTCGGCACGGAGTCCACTTCGTACGCGGATATGAAACAAGAACAGGAAACGCGGAAGCAGCAGGAGCTGGCGAAGGCCACTGCGAGTGGAAACAAGAAAGCGACTGTGGTTGATGAGCTAGAAGCGATTCTGGAGGACAAGCGCGACCGAGCACACATTAGTTTGCTTCAGGTCCGCGACCTGAGGGGCCTTGCGGTAGCCACGGCAGATGCGGAAGAGGGGGATGTGACAGATCCCGATGGGGCGCAGCCGCAGCGCGAGCCACTACACGCCATCAGCGAACTCCACGACATGCGCGACGACGAGCTGTTGCTCTCCGATAGCAATCACCTAAGTGCGCTGCAGTCCGCGGTCGCGCAGAGCCCGGAGAACGATGCGCCGATGGAAAGCTTCGCTCCCTCGTCGGCATTGGTGTTAGAGGACGGAGGCGTATCCTTGAGCGAGAAATACCGGCTGGGAGAAGACGCTCGCCAGACGCCGCCGGCCGCTGCCCCAGCGCAACCAGCAGGGTTGCCCTATTTGGCCACTTTCCCCTCGTTGGGCCGGAGCGAGCTGGGGAGCGATATGACGGTTCGCGCAGCGTTGAAGAAGGCGCTGACCGCGGTGCTGCCAGCCGGGCACACCAATTTTAGGCTTCAGAACGACTTCCGCATCGATCGATTCCCTGGCGTGCCGTCGGGCGCCAAGAAAACGGGTCCAGAAGCGGTAGACGAGACGAATGGTTACGTGCGATGGCGCGTCGCGGTGACATTCAACGTCAACAGCACTTCGCAAGAAGAAGTGGAGGGATCCTTTAACGTCTGCGAGGACCCGGCTTCGTGCGATGCAACAACCACGGTCCTGCGCGGTGAGCTCACCAAGCCAGCAAACGTGACCGTGTTTTCCCAACCGCTTTTGGGGGCCATGAAGGTGATGCGCGCACAGATTCTGGACTTTTCCGCGTTTCACGAAGTCAAACCAAACTCAACCGACGTGGCGCCCTGGGTGTACGCGGCGGCGCACCTGCTGGCCACTCGGGTTCGAGTGGAGGAGGACATGAAGGAAAAGAAGCTGTTTGAGAAGACCATGCTGGAGACTTTGAAGGAGCTGAGCCAAGCCGCGAAAACGAGGAACACGAAGAAAATGGCGTTTCTAGGCGCAGAAGCAGAGCACCGCCGCGCGGCCGCGCTGGCTCGCGTGATGCTTTCCGGAAAGAAGAACCGTGATTTCCTGAAGAAGGCATTTGACGACGCGGACTTCGCAGCGAGGTTCTGGACCACACAGCAGAAGCTCTCTGAAGACGTCGACTCACTGCGGGCACCTGTTGCGGTGAGCTTAAATTTCTTGAAACACTTCTTTAGAAAGATCATACGAATTTCCTTTCGTGTGGTTGTCGAAGGTCGCACAACTTTGTCTCGTTCTGCACATCAATTTCGTTTCTACTCCTTCAACATTTTTACAGGAACTCGCAGAAGCGAGTGTCAACAAGACCCTGGCAGAGGACAACAAGGCAGAGCAGGAGCAGATTATCGCCGACACCACGCGCGCAATACCCAAAATTTTATCTTTATGGAAGCTTGCGAACAGTGACGAAGACATTCCCCAAGCGACCAAGGACATGCTGCGCGAGCGCGTGGAGTACAATCAAGATCGCAAAGCCACCGCCATCATCGACCTGGACCTCGCGAAGGAGGACCTCGCGGAGAAGACAAAAATCAAGGAGCAAAAAGCAGCAGCGTTGAAGAAGCGGCGCGCGGAGGTGACCAAAACCGCCACGGAGTTGCGCACGAAGCTGGTCGCCCAGCTGGACAAGAAGGCCTCTGAGGCGAAGAGTAAAGCGGACGAGGCGCGCGCCCTGCCCGGGCTCGTACCGCAGGACCGCCTCGTGCGCGAGAAGAAGGTAAAGGAGGCGCTGTTGGGCGTCACGCGGGCGACGGCGTTGCAGAACGCGCAGAAGAAGGTGCAGGGGTATCTCAGCTTCAACGCGGAGTACATCGAATCCGTCAGCGCGCTGGGGGAGGCGACGCAAGACCTGCTGCTCCAGGAGTCCAAGCTGTTGAAGCGTATGGAGGACGTGGTGACCTGCATGCGGAAGGGGATTATGACGGAGAAGCAGCGGGAGGAGATGGTGAACGCGAAAAAGGAGAAAGCGTTGAGTCTGCTGGAAATCATCCGAACGACGCTGTCGCCACCGCTGTCGTTTTCGTCCCGAAGGAGCACAGCGCGCAAGGGGAAGACGTCCTCTAAAGGCAGTAGAAGCCGCGGTGGACCACCGTCCGCGGCTCCAGCATCGCTGGCGCTTCTGCAGCTGGACCAGACTCCTCCTGCTGCCGCCCCGAATGCAGCACCTGGTGCAACTGCAAATGCTAGTGCAACGGCGGGGCAGCCCTCGGCCGGAGCGGGACAGAATGCCACTGAGGAGGAAGCGATGCCTTGGGACCAGGCAGAGGACCGGTCCTGCACGGAAGAAAGGTCGGCGTACACCAACCAAACGATGCTGGTTCGAAAACTGCGGGAAGAACGGCGGGCGGTCGAGCAGTACATGAAATTGGTCCAGCAGCGGGCTGACCTCACGGCTGCGGCGTTGTCGTTGGGAGCCGCGGAGTCCGAAGTCGAGGAGAGTGCAGTGGTCGCGGAACGCCACCAGCTTGCCTTCCGCGAGTCGGTGGATTTCGTGAACCGGGGCAAAGCGAACTTGGTCGAGCTGCAGCAACAGGTGTTGCTGACAGATGCGGCAGTAGCGGGAAGCTACTACGCGAACAAAACGCTCGTAGACGAGGCGGAGTCGATGTTGCATCTCTTTGCGCGTGCGGTCGTAAGTTCGGGTCGCATGTACAGTCGCATGCGGGTGACCCGAGCACGAAAAATTTTGGCCAGGAAGCGGCAGGCGATGCTGACGGCACAAGTCGACAAAGACCGAGAGAACGCGGTGCGGACCCGCATGGCGGCGCGCATGCGGGGCCTGGAAAAAGCTTGTCGAAGGGCCACGCAGATCCAAAGGGAGGATGCAGCGGCCAAGAGGGAGAAGCAGTTGGAAGCTGGGACGACTTCCGTGACGGAGGAGGAATCATCCGCAGGTCCTCTGCCCCCTCTGCAGTGCGAAGCAGCGATTGCGGAGCAGACGGTGCTGCAGGATGTGCGGCACGGACGCTACGTCCGGAGTCTGCAGGTCGCGGCAGAGAAGCGGCTCCGGTTTCGTGTGTCTTCCTTCGAGTTTCGTGCGGAGAAGGCACAACAGCAGCTGCAGAACAGCCAAGACCAGCAGGCACAATCCAGTCCGAAGGCATCTCCGTTTAAGAGCACGCAGCAGAAGTCGGCCGATAGTGCGGCGCAGCAAGGAACTTCTACAGGCAATGGGACCAACACAACTACCGGAAATGAAACAACCAAGCCCGAGCATATCGATGTGATGAAGAACATGAAGGCAGCGGTCGGCTTTTTTGATGATTTGTTGCAACGCATCAAAGGCGACGAAAAGAACGAGATTGCCGAGATCCTGCTTTTGCTTCGCGGAACCGAGAACTTGTTCGTTGACTCGAGTGTCGCCAAGGCGACAGCCACTGCCACCGCGGACGAGCAGCTGTGGAGCAACTCTACCGCGGCCGTGCGATCCTCGCGCGACGAATTTTTGCGGGTACAGGGGGATGTGCTTCGCGCGGGAGATGAGTGGGCCCTTGCGAAGAACAAAGAGAAGGCGGAGATGAAAGAGGTGTTCAAGCTGGGCTACGCCTACGCCGATGCTGCGCAGACGGAGGACAGAGCGAAAGAGCAGCTAGACAAAGCGGAGCACACCACCGACGTGTGGGCCCTGGAACTCGCGCGAGCGCAGGCAAAGGAGGTGCAGCTGCTCAGCGAGAGGTTCGCGTTGGACTCGAAGAACACACGGGAAGTTGTCGCTGAAGTCGTCTTCGGTTCGCTTCGCGACACGGAGAAGTTCGTCGACATGATGGGCATATCGAAAGACCCTGAGGAGTCTGACGAAGACAAACAGGCACAACCAGCCGGCGGGGGAGGAAAGTTTTTACAACTACACTCCGGCGGTCCGGAAGGTGCTGCCTTGTTGCAGCTGTCAAGTTCGAGTCCATTATCCTCAGAAGTGCAGGAAAGAAAGAAACAAGCGCCCGTCACGGTCACGCCGCCGAGCATTATCGCGTCCGAAGCGGAAGATGCGTTGCAAGCGAACGACGATGACCAGCCGCTTCGCTCTGCGCAAGGGGACCTCGTGTTGCTGCAAACCCGCGTGAATGAGATCGGCGGATCCCTAGCAGCCCACACGACCGGAACAAGAGACACTAACCTTGTATCCTTAATGCAGACCTCCCAGGGGGTGGGGGACTCGACCGGGTGGCCGTCGTGGATGGGGCTGAACTTCGGCTCGGACGATCCTGCGCCCGGCTTGGCGCAGAAGCAAACCACGGAGCTGGCGGCAGCGGAGGAAAGTAAGCTGGACGCGGTGCAAGAGCAAGTCCAAAGCCCCCCTGCGCCCTCGCCCTTGACGGACTTCGCGCCAAGATTGGGGCGGGCGGCGCGAAACTACGCCGCCGTGTCCGCGATGGTGATCCGGATCGAAAACGACCGGTTGCGCGCACAGTCCCTCGCGGAAGTGGCCGAAGGCAAGGAGAAGTACGCCGCTGCGAAGTGGACCCTACACCGCGTCCGGAAGGAAGTCAAGGACGGCTTCCGCTTAATCGAGGCCCAGCAGGAAGTCGCGAAGGCTCTGCTGCAGCGCGTCAATACAAGTTGCAACTTGGCGGCGGGGAAGCAGGAGCCTTTGGTGGACCAAACGCTGCCCACAGTGGACGTGTACAAGGAAATCGAGTGGGGTGCGCAAAATGCCTTCGGGGGAAACAAGAAGGAAGGCGTGACTTTCACGGGCCTCTTGCAGATCCGTCATGTCGGTATTGATTCTGGTGGTCTGCAGTTCGGGGAGCACGAAGCGTCTTGTGCGGAGCCGCTGTCCGCGTCGAGGCTGTCGCACGTCGATCATGTGTTGCAGACGAACGCCGCGCTGCTGCAAGCGATGAAGACCAGCACCACGCACCGCAATTCGAAGACCACGCGCAAGAAGGAACACAAAAACAGGCAAACACCACCCAGCGGTAATGCAACCGCGGGCGCGCCTGGTGCTGCAGGGTCTACTACAGGATCTACAACCGGAGGAGCCGGTGTGCTGTCGGGTGCGGGTCCCGCTGGCGCGGGGGCACCAGGAGGAAACACGACAGCACCCGTGGTTGTACCCACCGGCCCGCTGCAAGGTAGTGGTGCTGGCGCGACAGTCCCGGGCGCTGCCGCAGGTGTTGCTTCAAACGGAACTGCCGTGGGAGGGATGAATGGAACAAGCGGAGGTGCGAACGATACAAATGCAACTGCCGCAGCTCCCGTCGACGGGTGTGCGCAGTCCAAGCGAGCGTTGCGGGACGCGATCTTGGAGTACGAGCGTCGCGTCGAGGCTTTCGGGCGACGCTACGAGTTGTTGACTTCGGCGCGGAACGACCTCGCGGTGGCACGCGCGGAGCGTCAGTTAGCAGTCGAAAGCGCCAATTTGCTCATTTTCCAGACCGCCTTGCAGCTGGGTGACAACGCCAACGGTTTGGAAGCGTTTGTGCAGCTTTCCGTAGCCCGCGCCACCCGCCGGGTGTCGGTTGCGCGGCAAACTTTGCTTCTGACCAAGGCCAGCATTCATCTGTTCCGGATGCGGCAGCAGTACCTGGACAGCCAGCGTACGGGCGACAAGGTTTTCCTAGACACGCAGAAGGAGCTGCTGGTTTGGGACGAGAAAATGTTTTCGGACAGTGCTGCGAACGTTCTGCAAGCGTACGAGCGCGCGGTCGACTTGGCGCGCGAGGACTACAAGAAACAGAAAGGCCTGGCCAACACCACCAGCGCAGTTACGAACGCTGCACCAGCGTCGGTCTTGGCGCAGCAGCGAAAGCTGGACGCGGCGCGGCGCTTTCGGCTTCTCGCACTGCAGGAGTTGCAGGCCTTCAAATTTCAAACGGAGTTGCAAAAGCTCCAGAAGACCGCACTGAAAAACGCAGATTTAGACGCCGGCTCTAGTGGTGGGGCAGCGGCAGGAGCACCAGCAGCAGGGGCCGCTGCCAGCGGTGGACAGCAAGCCGGAGCTGCTTTTTTGCAAATGGAGCGACGCGGGCAACAAGGGGGGCATGACCACCTCGGTTTTGATGCGAACGGGGTCGTCAATCATGGGTCCTCTGGCCTGCCGCTGCTGCGAGTGGATTCGGATCTGGCGGCCGCTGCACAAGAGGTAGCCACAGATCTCGGGTTCGACACCACGGTGCAATCAGACACTAAGGCGCTTCTGGAAGACGAGGAGGATGACGCACCCGCCTACAGTCCCGTCGTGCAAATTCTAGGCCCCCCGACGCGACCCCGCCGTGCCTCGTCGACGGTACCGGTGGCAAGTGCTGTCGAAGCCGGTTCATCCGGTGTTCCACAGACGATGTTCCACGCCGAAGGAGCCGACGGGGAGATCGACAATACCGTTCCGGACGTACCGGCGCGGCGTGTGCACGCCGGCGTGTCGGACGACGAGGCGCTCCGTCTCGCCGCCATGAGCACTGATGATGGCATGATGACACCGCATATTACCATGGCAGATGCGATTGTGGAGCCCGTCACGATGCCTGTCAGGGCGGCGGTACCGGCGGAGCATAATCATCGTCCTGTTGCCGCAGAAGTTGTAGTTAGACCAGTTGTGCCTCCGCCTGTACCTGTATCTGTAGACGGTATTGATAGCAGGATTGCAAGAACTACTACCGGGAGGACTGAAGATCATTCTGCAGCGGTGTCAGGGGAGAAGACGGGGATGCTGAACCTTGCGGAAGTGGACGCGGGGAAAAAAATTGGAAAGAAAGAAAGCGTCACTGAGTCGGAGTCTGGTCGCGAAGTCGCTGCAGCGGGAGCAAGTGCTGAGCCAGCGAAGAAAAGCAATCAACGTGGCCCTTTGGATCATCAGCTCCCGGGCATCAAGAAGAAAGATCACGCCGACGAAGCTGGAACTGCTCCAACGGCGGTTCGTACACCTCAATCAACCGCACCTGATGCAGATATTGTGCGGCGCGCGACGCGGCATGCAGAGCCTGGGTTGGTTGCGGTTGCGCCATCCGTTTCCAACGCCAGTGTTGACTCGATGCCAGCAGAAGAAGTTTCAATCATACGCTCATCACCGGCGATAGAAGCAGTATCGCGGCCGCTCGGCAAAAAGGAAGAAGTGAAAAACGATTTGGCCCTGCAGACCGAAAGAATCACGAACACGGCCCTTCCTGCTGAGGTCAGCAACGTACAGCAAACGTTAGGTATCTGGCCTGCCTCGCTCCTGAGTGTGGATGAAGATCATTCCTCCGCAAGAACGGAAGACGCCAAGGCTGATCCGAAACCCGTCAAATACGTGGCCCCTTCTGCACTTTGGGGCCCCGCGGCCGCGCAGGCCAAAGCGGACGCCGCGAAGGCCGCCTACGCCGCGAGCCTCGCAAAGCAGAAGGCGGCCCAAGTGAAGGCTTCCGTGTTGAAAGCGAAGGGACTACCCACCACGACGGACCCCAAGGCACAGAAACTTGCCGCGCAGGCAAAACTGGCCGTGGGGACAATCCAGGGCACTCCCATTTCCGGAACGTCAAGTTCCGGAACGTCGGGGCCGCAACCGCCCTTCCCCGCCTCACCGAACGCAAACGCGGCCCAGATTGCCATGTCCGCGATGACGGGGGCGCAAGCGCCTGCCCCCGCTACCGCGGCCGCGGCTTTGCAGCCCAAGCTGCCTCGTGTGGTCCAGCTGTCGCGCGGAACCGTCGACGAGACGCAGAAAGACTTGCAACGCATGGGCATGCGCGCGGACAGCACGCGCCTCCTCGGGCAGGCCGTCCGACAGGCGAGTCTGGTGGAACTGCTGGGTTTCCAGGCGGCGTTTAAGAACGCAGATCTCGCGGTCGAGGATGTAAAGCAAGCGATCGACGCCGCGGGAGACGGTCTCACCAAGGTGAAGGTGCGGACCGCGTTGACGCGTGGCGTGGTGGTGATGCAGAAATTGCTGGATACGGCCCGCGTGGGCATCGCGGCGCGCAACTCGCAAACGCAGGCCGAGGCGGAGGCGTACTTGATCAAGCAGCGGACGTTCCGCGACCTGTTGAAGCAGAACCAGCAGGACTTGTTCAAAGAAACGCAGGAGGCGCGCAAGAAGCTAGAGGTGAACAAGGTGGTGTTTCTGGACTACAAGCGACAGGAGATGCAGAGTCACATGGCGGACGCGCGGATGGACGTTGCGCTGGCGCAGACCTGGATTATCACGCTGGCCGCGCGCGCGCAGCTGGACACCGCTGCCGGATCCGTGGCGCGGGCGCAAATGACCGAGATTCGCGCGGAGCACTTCGCGAACCAGGCGGTAAACGAAGCCAACGAGCTTCAAGGTCTGTTAGGAGGGGCCGTCGGGGGCGTCGTCAGCAGTGTGCCCGGGCTCAGTGCAGTTGCGAACGCCACTTCCGGCGTGGTCGCAAACATGACTCCGGGACGGAAGCTTGCAATCGACGCTGCGAACGCTGTGGTCGAGGCGCAGGGACGCCTTTCTCTGGCGGTCAACCGAACCGGCGCTCTGCAAGACTTCAAGAAATACCTGGAGGGCAAGCAGGCCGCATCCTATGACCGCATGACCACCTTGCTTGATGACGCAATAGCGCAGGCTGAGGCTGCGTCAGCTGCGGAAGAAGAGCGGAAGGTATTTTTTTCAATCTTTCTTACCTTGAGAGTTGAAGACTTCTTAAGGGTTTTCTAGGAGAAAACTTCACCACCAAATTTTAAATTTACAACATCTGCAGGGTGTCCATGAGAGCCGAGTGACGGCCGCGGAAGCGCGTTTGCAGGTCTCTGAAGAAACCAGGGATACAGCAAAGCCAGGGCTGCTCGTGGCAGAAGAGGCGACGAAGCTTGCCAAGCAGGCACTGGCTGACCCAGCTCTGCAAGGCAACACGGACCTGTACAATAAAGCGAAAGCCGCAGCGATGGCCGCAGAGGTGCAGGAAGACGCAGCCAGGGACGAGTACGAAAAGCTGGAGGTGTTTGTGCGGGTCAGCAAGAATGCTTTGCGCCAAGAAAAACAGATTTTGACCAAGATTGCATTGCGGATGCTCAACTTGGCCGAACGTAAGGCAACCCTGGAAAACCTGAAGCAGCGCATGGGCGTCTACATGGAGGATCGCACTACTCGGACGACGCGAATAGAGTCCATTTCGCACGCAGTTGCCGCGTACTACTCAGTGCTCGAAGCGAATGAAGAGGTACTTATCTTCTTTGGGCCGCCCTGTTGATGCCGATGCAAAGTCGTAGGTGGCTTCTGGGCTTTAACACACACAACTATCATGCATGCTGTCTAAAAGGTTCTGATGATGAAAATAAGGTTATTACACAGACCTCCACACAAGAAAACCACAACAGACCGGCGGGACCTCGACGAGTCTTTCCACGGCGGAATCCACCAAATGGACTGCCTTCTTGCAGACGTGGGAGACGGTAAAAGAAGATCCGTTGGAGAGCATGACGCACTTCGCGGTGGAGAACAAGCAGTCGGCCGCGGTGCGCGCGCGGTTTCGGCGTCGGGACAGCCGGGATGCCTTGATGCGGCGGGTGCAGGACTGGCGGTCCATGAACGCCCTGCGGAACCAGCTCCAGAGCGGCTTCAAGGCGCTGGAGGACAAGATGAAAACCGCGCCCGCGGACGAGCAGGAGAAGTTGAAGGCCAAGCAGGATTTGCTGACGGCCGAGCTGAAGGCGAAGTTCGAGGAGCACAAGACGCTGCTCGTAGAGATCGGGGAGGCGGAGAAGAGCTTCGTCTCCGCGCAGCGGCTCGACGTGCTGCGGCGGGCCGAGGCCATGGAGTCCTACGCGAAGGAGCTGTACCTGAACAGCACCGACGGGACCGCCCTGGACCAGGACCGCTTGCGGTTGAACTACGAAGCGAAGAGCGCCAACCTGGAAGTGGCCCAGCGGGCGGTGTGGGAGCTGATGGCTGCCGTCGGGAAGTACGAGAAGAAGATCGTCCAGGAGGCGACGGAAGAGCGCGGCGAGTCGGAGCGCGCCTACGTGGAGAAGGCGGAGGCGATCTCCGACGCGCTGAGCGCGAGCGCGGACGAGGCCAAGAAAAGCAAGGAGGAAACGTGCCTGTCCTACGGGGATTCGGCCACCGAGTGCGAGGCCGCCACGCGAGCGTTGGACAAGGTGCAGGCGCGGATCGACGAGGTGCAAGCGGCGTTGAAAATGAACAAACTGCGCACGGTAGAGGAGGATAAATGCCGCACCGCCCGGAACGCGCTCCTGGTCTACCGCAAGTCGCCGAGTGCCACCGACAAGCGGCTCGCCTGGTCCACGGCGCTGATTGACTGTAACGTGGCGCGGTCGGATACGTTCAGTAGTCTACTGAAGGACGATCTGCAAGAGGGTGTGGCCTGCGAGAAGGAGTTTGCGCCGGCTGTGAATCCGCGCTGCACGCGGAAAATCGAACGCGCAAAACAGGCACTGGAAGAGCACACACTCAGCGCAAACTGCGAGGCGCTCGAAGCGCGGTCCAACGTGCTGGGTGCGGGTTTGCGCGAGGCCGCCAAAGTCGCCGCTGCCGACAAGTCACCGGAGAATTTAGAAAAAGCGGGGAAGAAGCTCCTGCAGCTCGAGGAGACGCTGCGAAAAATGGCCGAAAACAGCTGCAACGCGGACGATGACAGTCTGAATGTCGTACAGGCAGAGGCGGCGCTTCTCTGCTCTCCGCCCGGGTTAGACTGTCTACGCGAGGCCGCTGGGAGTAGTAATAGTACAACGACTGCGGCGCCATCGCTGTTCTTGCAAACCAGGAGAGTAGACGACGTTCATGATGTAGAGCCCGAGCCTGTAAAGTTGTCCATTCGACCGGTGAACTGCGATACTAGGTGGGAGACGACCGACGAGAGCGAAACAGAAGTTCTTGACGTGGCGAGAAGTAGGAGGTCTAATGAAGCGAGCATGAAGCGCAGCATTCCGAAGGTCGCGTTTGATAGCCAGGGTCTCAAGTTCGGGGACTCCTATCTATGTGCGCAGCAGTGTCGAGTGTTCTACCCGTTGCACACATTTGCCACGGTCGCTGCGGACCTGTCCTGCCACTGTCACCAAGAACCCATGTGCGACGAGCAAGAGCCTGGCGCGCACACTGTCGTTTGGTATGACTGTGGTGCCAACGACGCACGGGTGGTGGCCAACAGCGATGAATGTGTGCCAGTCTTCTAAAGCGGGGCCTATTTTTTGAGAAGAATATGGAGAAATTCTAATTCAAAGTCATAAAACAAAGTCAGACTTGTGTCTGTCATTGATAGCACTTCCTTACACATATAGCGATGTTGAAAGAGAGTCGGTTTAGACCTTCTAGTTTTTGGAAAAGTTTTTGTTTTACAGCTAGCCGGACCTTCGGTTGCGGCGCGCCCGGAACCACGGCTGAAGCGCAGTCGCTGGATCTCGGTGTAAAATCAGTTTTAAATATAGCGATTTTTTTCACTGGCTTTCGCCTAAAAATGAATTGGAATGGCCTTGCGTGTGCTAAACGTCTTACATCACAGAGAGTTTTTTTTGTTTTTCCAAGAAGAACCTTGCTTCATGAATGATTTGATCCAGTTCCAGGTTTCGCAAATACGTTTCGGTAATCACACTGTAAATGATCGCATGATATATCAGAACGTAGCAACTACTTCGTAGCGCTTTCGAAATGTAGTTTTTTGGCTGTATTGGAAGTGGCGGAAAAAGCAGTTCCACCGCTGACTGACGCGTTTTTTATTTTGCAAGAGAAGTGAGGTTGAAAAGAAAAACAAAAAGAAAAAAATATCAAATTTGAAAAAATCATAAACGTTCTTGCTGAAGAGTCCTTCTTCAGCCTCGTTTGTCGCAATATTCTGTTGTATAAGCTTGAGTTCGACCAGGTTGCGCAGATTTCATTGTTGAAACGAGCGAAAGTCGCCGAGGAAGAGTGAATTTCTGAAGTTTTACATGAAGCGTCTCATCGGACAGAATTTGGACTTCGTAAATAAGGTGTTTGCGTTGTCGTTTTCTTGCGCCACTGCGAAGAATATCCTGAGGGGTCTCGAGACGCTTTTCGCTCGTGCTATTGTCCTCGGTGTGTTTCGGAAAATTTCAGCGGCGCTGCAGAGTACAGAAGCCGCATGCTTTTTCAGGCGTACAACTACGAACAGCTTCAGGGCATAGGTAGCTCGATTGTAGTGAACCTTATTCATCAGCGACAGAGCTCTTCTATCTTCAGGATATCATTGTGACCCGACCCTAAACTCGTCGAAAAAAATGGCGTATCATGCACGCTACTACCACGCCATCGTTCCAGGGGTCGCTTTACACGACAGTGACGATAACTCGCGGTGGCAGTGGACCGACTGGGTGGTCATTCTCCTGGATATAGCCACGATTTTTGCGCCACTTGTCACCATCCAAGGGAACGGTCCCGAGGACTTCGAAAAAGCGCGCATGATCCTCTACGTGGCGAGCGCAACTTATGGATGTGTCAGGTTTGAAATCGACAAAGTTGAAATAATTTGTCATGCATAAAATGGACGCCAGTTGGAACCCGGTTTCCAAGTGGTGCAAGACAAATTTCGTTGGTCCCTAAATCCACTCTGTCATGCTGTTTAGGCAAAGACGAGCGATTTTCTCATGCTACTTTAGCAGCTCAAGCTGTAACCCCAAACAGGCTTACAATCGGCCTCACTTGCCTGCTCTGCAACACACGTGCCTCGGGTCATGCATTTTATGCATTACAAATTATTTCAACTTTGACGATTTCAAACCTGACGCTTCCATACAACTGCGTTGGTCTGCAGCGTGATCACCTGTGCCCGCTTGAAGCACCACAACTACAACATTCCTGCGGGGGCATTTGTCAAGGGAATCTTCATCTTCTCCTGGGCGATCTTGGTATAGGACGTGCTTGTTTTGTACAGAATTCATGCAGATAATGTTGTCGTTTTTCATTTTGATTTTCTTTCTGCTTTTCACTAACTTCTCGCAGTAAAAAGAAAGCTGCAGCACTGCTGAAGCTCGTGGCACGTACCTCCCAAAAAAACATTTACAGTTGGTGATGTTTGTGCAGCAGAACGGCTGCATGAGCCGTCCAATATTCGGGGCAATGGAGGATGAAGAGGTGCTCGAGAAAATTAGCACGATGGTAGCTGAGGGTGGTTTGTCAAAGAGTGCTGCCTCTGCGCTCTATGCGAAGGAGAAACGAGAAGCAAAGCTGACTTTGGGTGTTGGTCTGGGGACCATGGTGGCATTGCAAATTGCTTCTTTTCTCGCATTGCTCTGCTTGGGGAGACACAATGTGACAAGCAACTCTGGGGCTTTGCATGACTACTGAAATCATGCTGGCACAAACGACTATCCTGTAACGCACCTTCGTTGTTGACGAGGCTTCAGTTCTTTAATGTTGTACAGACTTCATCTTGCGGCATTGTTTTGCAGCATTCAAGTATGTTTTCAAAAAATTACATCGACATTTTTCTGGTCTCGGAAATGTACCTACTTAGGAATTTGCAGCAAAAAATTAGCCTTGAGAAAAATTGATTAGCACCTGTAAAAATGTATTGCGCATGCTGAATACGAATGCCGTAGCAAGGTTCAGCCGTTTCTAGAAACACTCCCAATGAATGTATCCGGTACACCACTTCTGGGATTTTCTTGTGGTAGATCAGCATATGTTGCTTGATTTCAAGCCGTTTCAAAATTCGTTTCTGTTGGAGAAGCAATCTTCCATTATTTTGTCGTGCTGTTCTTTGGGATGTGGCAAGTAGATGAGCGGTGCCATGAAGAACAAGAACTTCCTGCTCCTTTTGGGGCTGGAAAAAAAATTTTCGTGAACCCGGGGCGCAAACTGGCCGAGAGAAACGAAAACTGTTTACATTGTTTGCTCATGTTAGCCCGTAGACGAGCGGAGTGCGTGCGCGAAAAATCACAGTGCTATTTTCGGTTTTCGAAGAAGAGAGGGGGAGCGTCGACGGACACAGTTCAATACAAAGTTAAAGATGACGACAGGCGAGGAGGCGGCATCGGCGACGCATGGAAGCGATATGGCCGCCGCGATTCTGCGGTCGCCGTCGCCGCTGCGGAAAACGAGCGGACGAATGTACACCGCTCGGGAAAAGAGTGCGCACTTGCGGGCAACACCCGCTTCCGATGTGGTGTTTTCGTCCGTTAAGGGCGGCGGTACGGAAGATACAGAGTCGAGCTTCGTCAGCTCGTCTGCCGCCTCGCCCGCCGAGCGTACGCCCAGCCAAGTTTTTTTCTTCGAGGGCGCCCAGCCAGTTTTGGACGAGAACAATGGAAGCAGTAGTGCGTCGCCGGAGAAGGTACTGCTGGTGGATGACGCAGTCCCCCAGGGCGGAACAAATTCGCTGGCTGCTGGTAGTACCACCTCCTACTCAGACGCGCGCTCCGGATCTGGATCAAGTCACCCGGAGGACATAAGACGAAGCGAAGCTGCATCTTCTACTTCGGGTGCCAGTGCGGTGAGCCGCGGTGGTGTTTTTCGTACAACAACCGGGACGAAGATGATGATGAACACAGCGGCGGGGAGCAGCAGCGTTGCTAAGGACGACAAGTATAAAAAGTATATGAAGGCGGTTGCATCGGTCACCAGCCCGGACGCTGCTGGGGCGACGACGAGCGGGCAAGAGCCTATTGAGTTTTTCGATATTGCCACCCCGGGAACAAGTCTGGTGCACTCAAGCTCGTCGCAGATGGAGCGTCGAATCTCTTGGCTCATGGATGGCAACAGCCACTCGACACAGTCACTGCTGCTCGAGACCAAATCGCAGTGTAGTTCCACGGGGCCGGCGGCCAAGGTGGAGCTTTCTTGCGCGAAGGAGCAGTCTACTGCGGTTCATCCCGTCCGGTCCTCCGAGGCCGCTCACGTTGTAGCCGAGAAGCCTAGTAGTCCAGACACGACGTCGTGTAGAGAGCATGAGAAGTGCAGGGAAGATGAGATCATGTTGTCTAGTAAGGGCAGGGAACACGATCGCGCAGCAGCGACAGTGTCTACTTGTAGTGAGCAAGGACCTGCTCCGAGGATATCTACTTCACCGAAGGTGAAGGAGGACGAGCTACCTGCCTCTGCTTCCTCCGTAAAAACTTCTTCGACGACTTCTTCATCATCACAGCGCGGTACAACGTTCACGAAGAAATTCAGGATACCGCCGATGTCGAGTATAGACGAAGTCACGAAGACCATCGCCGCATCGACGCCGAGTTGGGCCGCGACACTGGATGGTAGTGACCTGCTTCATTCAGCAACACCACAGGATCAGGACGCAACAGAATCCGGTCCTCCAGATCGTCCGATTCGACACGCAAAAGGGGATGAAGCTAGCGACGCGACGGCAGACGATCAGTTTGAACCACTGGTGAGTGGAAATAAGCGGGCAAAGGCTGCTAGTGTTGTACCGGCTGAGGGGATAAAGAAGAACACGACATCAAATGCCGGAAAAGGAATGACAATTTCATCATCAAGTTCAAGCGTCGAGGAAATAAAGATTGGTGTGCACCTTCCACCGAGGAAGTTCGTGCAGTGGCCTCCAACGTCTCCTGATACTTCGGATAACATTCAGGACATAGAGGTGGTGCTCCTGAAACAGGAGGTGGCGCGAGAGAAAGACTTGCGCCTGGCCCAGGAGCTGACAACGTCGGAGCTTCGTGAGGACGCTGCCAGGCGAAACAAATCACATGTGGCCACGGTAAGGTTTAGTTCTTTCCGAATCTGCAATATGCACGACGAATAGAGAGTCTTAGTTGTCTTACATCTTCCGAATCGGATCCTCGTATCTTCACGTGCGCTTGTTATTGAATGAAGTTGTTCTGGGTTCTTGTTCCTGCTGATGCTGATCTGCGTAGAACCACTACACAACCAGGTAGAGAAGCTTGGCGAAGTTCAAAGTGCGTTGTTGGAGAAGGGACGGGAGGTCAAGCGCTTGCTTCTGCTGCACGGCAGCACAGAAAAAGAAAACGTTGCATTACGGCAGGAAATCGAGAGACTGCGACAGAAAGTGCAGGACGGTGCTGAGAAGTTACGCGTGGAGGTACTTTACTTACCTGATTGGAATAGAGGTCTTTTCGAGAGATTCCTGACTACATACGTTTTTTAGTGTACGGACGGAAGTACATGATTGATTCTTGCTAAGGATCTGTGTATTGTCCTTTCAGCCCACAGTTGTTTATTCTACCGGGAAGTTAAATATACTTTTACTTCCTTCGCGTTTTCTTTCATCGCAGGACGACTTGGAAAGGGAGGAAACGGAGCAACGGGTGAGGAGTTTGCGCAAGCAGGTGGAGGAAGCAGCCTTCGCTCAGCACGACCAGCGACAGGAAAATAATGCTTTGCGCGAGCGAGTTGCTAAGTTGGAACAGAAGATTGAGACGGGCGAAGCGGTGGTGAAGCAGCTGAGACACGAGAAGACCGTCGGCAGCAAGAAATTTGCCGAGACCAAGCATGCGCTGCACAAGGCCGAAACGGAACTTGGCGTGGTGCGGCAGCAGCTCCAGCACGCAGAAAGTATGGCACGAGTGGACGGCGCGCAGGGGAGCAAAGAGGTTGCCCATTTGAAGAAACACATGCTTGCGATGAAGGACGAATTCCTCAGACGGGCGACCGAATGGAAAGACGATCTCGATGGCAAAAAAGCGGAACTGGCGGACGCGCAAAGACTCGCGAGCCATCTGCAGGCGAAATTGCATGAACAGGCCGCGCAGTTGGAGCAAGGTCGGGCGCCGGGAGATCAAGTTGTCGCACAGGTACCGCCCTCCTCGAGACCAACGTCGTCCTCCTCATTTTCGGCGGAATCGATTGCGATTCAGGTATCATTTCCTAGTTGAGTACTTTATTCGCACGACTCACTTAATATAGCGACTGGGACCGTCGACGAGAATGTTGAGATGAGATACGATAGGTAGAACATACAATCTCCCTGTCGTTCTTGCCGTTGGGTCTATACGGAAAACGACAGAGTTGTCAGGAGAAACTTTCAGGCGGACGACTTGATGCAATTTTTTCTTCAGGACTTGGAAGCTCGGCTCAGTGAGCGCACAATGCGGGTGCACGTCTTGGAAAAAGAAAACGACCAGCTGCGGAGTGAGCTAGCTGATTTTCGAGCCGAGCGACAACGTGCCGTGCTCCAGCTGCGCGAGAAGGCGGCCAGCTATGACCGCAAGCGTCAGGAAGCCAAAGAGTACCAGCGCCTCTTGGAACAGGCACAGTTTCCGGCTCCATCACGCTAGGTGTGAGAGGTGGCTCCAAAAACGCCGTCACCGTGCACTGTTGCATGTCATACTTTTCAAAGACAGCCCAATAAGAAAGCGCCCGTGCATACTAACTCTTGAGTACGCGAAAATATTATATCTCCATCCAAATCGTGCCAACCGCGAAGCTCGCGGCTGCTTGAGCGCGCCGCTTTTAGAAATTTCAACAAGTCGCTTGCACGAGCAGAAACTCTGAAATGTTGATCGTGCGCGTTAGTGAAGGATCGGTGTGTTTTATTTGTGGTCCATAGCGATTGTTGAAAGTGAAAGCAATGTCAAGTTCTGATCAAAATTGATTCGTGAAGAATGTGGGTTCCAGCACGTACAGTGCGAAAAAAGATCCCCTATTTTTCAAGTTCTGAAATCCGACGTTGTCGATCAAATACGGTACGCTGAAGATCCAGTTGAAATAGCGAAGTAGGTCACAAATTTATGGATCCCCATGTCGAGGAACAACGACGGCACAACTTCAACAATAATCAACTGCTTACCAGTTCGACGACGACGACCGACGACACTACTTTTGTAGCTCTAGCCTCCCGAGCTGACGGGTAAGAACGTAGTGAAGGGTTGCCTTTGCTCCTCTACCTCTACTACAAAACAATATCCCTACCCCCGTACTTGAATTATCGCATTAAGCAAGCTGTGTAGAATAGGCCACACTCAACACAAAGTTATCGATTTTAGAATAAAAATAAACTACACATTTTTATCGAAAGAGTAGAGGAATTTTGATTCTCTTGCAGCCGTTACTGGGCAGTACTGCTTTCATCGGTGGTAGAAGTGAGTAATTGTATAAAGCCCACTCACCACCGAAAAGGGCTCCAGGAGCAGCGTTCATATACATTTTGAACAGCATCGCTTGTATCCCCACAAACAGACGCCCAGGTGCAGTTAGCTTTTTGGATACGCTGCAACCTTCTTCGACTCTTCTCGCGAAACCTCGTTGCCCACACGCAAACAACTTACGGTCTATGCGCTACGCCTGCGTAGCGCAGACGCATTGTACAGCGCGCACGCAGCATTGCATTCAGTTTTGGAGTCGCTTGATGTCTGTACCCGGCAGAAGCGATTGGCATTTTATCATACTCAAACAAAGGTACCTAAATCAAGCATAGTGATAGTCCTAGCGTATTAAGGCGTTCTATCTCGTCCCAGATTCAAAGAGTCAGTATTAACATTACTAGTACGAGTAGAGTAGGTTATTCATATTTTTTGTCTTCCCGTTTCAAAATCAAAGAAAGAGAGAGGCGAGGCGGAACGTCAAAAAAGCAGGTCCGAAAAACTGCGAAGACGCCGAGCGAATTCAGACCTTCTACTACAGAACTTCCGCACAAAACTTTACATGATATTTTTCCGTTTTTACACGGCAGACTGGGTAATAAATTTTCATCAATTGAAGTGTGCAAGGGGAACCGATTATAGAAGAAGGAGGGCGTGGTCGTTGGTGGTCCGTGTGTGTGTATAAAAGGCGTCGTCCGTGTTGAGACCGGCCCCCACGACCAACACTGGTTACTCCTAGGAATTATGTCCTTGAGACACTAGGTAATTTCATCCTTGAATCATGTCGCCTCCGATATCCGCTCGAAGTCGAGAGCAGGACAAGAGCGCGTCAAGTTCCAGCCCACCGGACGGGAGGTACAACAAGAGGAAGGGCAGCGGCGCGAGCTGCTCGAGTGCTGGCACTGTTCAGCTGCATCACCCGCAGCCACAATCCAAGCAGAAAGGGAAGAACAAGAATTCTTCGAGTTCCTTCTGCACGCCCACGATTGAGGAAAATGCCGTGCGCGCCAAATCGTTGGAAGACCTGCAGGATGAAAAGGCCTTTCCCACCCTGGGAGCAAAGGGTGGCGGCGGGGCAAGCTGCAGCAGTGCCTCGACCCCGCAGCACACTACACATCGTTCGTCAACAGCAGGCTCCGAACAACAACTGAACCAGGCGACCCCAAGTTCGGTGGTTCACGCAACGACGAGCGCGGCGGCGGGTGCGGCCCCCGGTTGTAATGTTTCTTCGTCCGCGTGCAGCTCCGCGTGCTCGTCCAGCACTGGATCATCTTCCGCAAACATAATTCTCTCGTCGGCCACTACAGGGGCGGCGCCGCAGCAGCAACTGAATCCGCAGGAGAGGTGGTCGTCGTTTCGAAATAAGTCGGTGACGCCAGACCTGGATCATGTGTCTGCGGCGACGCTGGAAGTGCCGGAAAAGCTCGTCGTGCGCGGACTCCCCACGACGAGACGCGACAGCCTGGAGGCCGAGAAGAGCAGCAACGACGCACCCACGCCGGCGACGACGTCGTCCTCGTCCGGGTCGCACGCGCCGGACCGCACCGCGGGCTCGTCCACCGCCGCCGCCACGCGGGCTGGCTCCATCGATCAAGTGAGCACTACGTCCTCTACGCGGGGACGGGTTCTTGGGGCGGAGGAGGTCGACCACGCGTCGTCTGCCATAGAAGTTCATCACCCGCCGGCGCTAGTAGGGCCGGACGAGCCACGCAGCTCGGCGTCCACGCGCGAGGGAGAACAACAACTTCTACACGGTAGTAGTAATTCCGCCGGCGCCACGCTCCGGCAAAAGAAGGACCAGCAGCCTGGAAAAAGACTCCCCAGCAGCAGTACTTCCAGTGCGACGTCCACAGCGTCCAAGTCCTCGAAGAAAAAGAAGCAGAAAAACGCGGAAACATTTACCATCACGGCCGGGGGCGCGCGGGGGGGCCAGCCAGACCCACCGGCGACCAGCACGACAGCAAGCAAAGTGTTCGGTGCGACGTCCGCGTCTGAGCACGTCGCAACATCATCAGACCCCAGCTGGACCAACGGCGGCACGGTGGCGTCGAGCACGGCTGCAGCGACATCTTCATCACACAAAGGAAGCAAAGGGAAGGGCAAAAATAAGTCCGCACCCTCGGGCAGAGGTCACCAGAAAGGAGCGCACCAGTATAATAATCCGCACGAGGGAGGTGGTTCGCTGCCGTCCGGGAAGCAGACCGGGGGCGCGAATAGCTACCAAAAAGGCGGGCCCAACAAGAAGAAGGATCATAAAGGGACGAAACCAGACCGATTCACGAGCGAGACGCACATATATCATGCGAATCACATTTTCAATCCCGTCTTGCGCACCTTGGCTACACAGGGGCCCGTCTTCGTGAAGCAGAGAGACGGCACTCACGTGCAGCTGCAGTACAACCGCCAAAATTCGAATTCCACCACGGGGACGCAGCAACACGAGCGCGGCCAGCAGAATGCAAACCTTTCCGCTTACGGCGGGCCCGCGCGCAGTTACGAGAACGGAAGCGCCGGTAGTAGTGCAACTGCGGGTACAAGCAGGCAGCAGAAAAACAAGAACGCCAGAAACGATTCTTACGCTGATCATGCGCAGCACGCAGTAGCACCAGGGCCAGGAGCAGCTGCTGCGTTTCAAGGATATCAGATGAAGACTAAGGTTTTCAGCGACTTGCCGGCGGAAAAGACCTTGTACGCCGGGGTGGCAGGCAAAAGTACGAAGGCACTACAAGGAACATCTCCCTCCGCTCAGTCTTCATCACGCACCCCAGGAGCTTCGACCAAAGCACTGGCTTCTCCAAGTGTAGCGCAACAGTCTCCAGCGGGCACCATCCAGGTACTAGGTTACTGTTTACTTTTTATGCACACAATTCTCGTCGCTGTGGCTGTCGCAGAAAAGCGAAAAGTAGATAAGTAGATTTTTATGCGCGGGAACGTGTTCTAGTTCTCCTTCTCGGGCTCGGAATCCATGGTGGTTTTTATGTTTTTTCCAAGTACAATGTGCCTACTTCTCCTGTTCGGGGATCTTTTTAGACAAAGAGCAATCTGTTTGAAAATGAAATGGCAACAGGTCAGCGCAGGAACGCAGATGAACGTGTATGCCACTTTGAAGGACGGGAAGGATGTGGTAGACATCGGAGATGGAAGTTTGTATCTCCGCGATACACAACCAGGTGGCGGAAGCTACACTCTGGAACGGCTCGCGCTCACCCCGAATCGGCCGGCGGAGCAAGCTGGCCAGGTGGGCGGATCATCCTCCGCATCTTCGCACAATTCGCAGTGTGGGACGTCGGCGTCCATTGGCTCGGTGACGCCCTCTACAGGAGCCATGCTCAACGATGCCATCGCACAGTTTTCCTCTAACCAAGCACGAAACCAGCATAATTCTGGACTGCAGTCGGGGGGTGGCACCACCACGAACAGCTCCCCGTCGAATAAGAGTGTCACATCCGCCGGAGTTGGCGGTTTGCAAGAAAACGTGACGACGACAACGTCGCAGACCAGTTTCGCCGGAACTACCGGTGGCAGTCGTGACACAGCAGGTGGAGCAAGCATGATGCAGCACAGCAGCAGCACCACTAACTCGTTTCAACATTCCACCGTACTGCGATGCGGACCTAGCGCTGCTTCTAGCACGTTGCAGGTCGGCACTGCGCCCGCTTCCTCGTCATCCGCCTCTTTCGCAAGTTTGAAACAAGCCGGATCAACAAGATCGGGCACTGTGTCTAGTTCGGCACCGCTGCAGATCGCACAGCCGGGAGCAATGCTCAATACCGGTAGTACTGGAACAAATGGATGCGCGACCGGGACGTCGTTGACTCGGAACATGTCTGTGCCGGCCACGCCCTCTTCGGCGTCGAGTCGGAGTAGTCATTCGTCCACCGGCGCTGCGATGCAGGGCCTGCGGGCTGGCGTTGCAGGTGCGTACTCCGCGCCTGGCGTCGGCGGCTTGTTTCAACAACAGCCGCATCAATTGCAGCAGCAGCAGCAGGAGAGTAGTCGCGTGGGACAGGGAATGAATGGAGGTACTACAGTGCCTCCGACACGCCCCGGCTCAGCTCCTGTAACAAGCGGAATACCGCTGAGCCCGACGGTGCCGCCCGATAATCAAACGCAACTGCACCCACTGCAGCTCTTGCAACTCGGGCACATGGCCACGCAAAATCTCAAACCGCATCAGCTTCAGGCCTATCAAGAGTGCGTGAAGAGCATAGCGATGGCGCAACGAGAGGGCATAGCGCTGGAGCAACAACAGGCAGGGCTGTTGCAACAGATTTCGCAGACGTTACTAGGACATCAACCGCAAGCTGCTGGAGGCGGGACTACACAGATGCATTCTCATCTCCAGAGCGGGGTGCAGAGTGGCCAGTTCAACAATCAAGCACATGAGCAACTAGTGCATGCCGCAGGTAATATGCAACAGGAACCACAAACGCTACTAACCGCAAATAACACGACGCCGACTCTCCCGGCCAACTACAATCAGCAAGTCGCTGTAGCTGTTGCGGCGCAGCAGCAGGCCGGCCTGGCGACGCAGTCAGCGAACAAAAAGCAACATCAGCCCCAGATGGCGCTCGGTTGCCCGCATCCAGTTCTCGCACTCTCGCAAGGTGGACAGGTTGCACCCTTCTATAGCACCATGCAGAACGGGGTGATCATGCCGGTTCCGATGCAATTTGTTGCCGGGCCCGCCGGCGCTGTCAACACGGGTACGTGCACGGGCGTGTTCATGATGCCGCAAAATCACCACAACGTCGGCTCCCACGTCATGGCGCAACCAACCACACGGGCTACCGGTTACAACTTGATGCCCGCCCACACGGCGAATCATGCGTTCGGTGCTGCGACACAGTTCCTCGCACCGCAGCCTGCGTATGAGGCGGTGCTTCCCTACAACAAGGAGGTGGAGAAAGCCCTCGACGAGGAGTTGTTCGCCTTCCTGGAGCAAGTGCAGATGAGTGCAGACGAGAAAAAGCAACGTCTCTCGTGGGTCGACGAACTTCGTGGCATCCTGTGCGAACACGACCTGGAGGTGTTCGGCTCGCTGAAAAGCAACCTTGCCCTGTACACAGCCGACGTCGATGTGTGCATCACTGTGAAGAAGGGGACGGACCCGAGGAGCAGTGCGGTCGTGGGCAGCAAGGACACACGGGACTCGAAGTCCTCGGAGGACGTAGCACCCTCTTCGACGAGCTCGACGGTCACATCGAAGCATTCCATCCCCGAGGCCTTGCACCGTCCGAGTCAGACGCACGACTGCATGGAAAGAATCCGCCAGGCGATCGAACAGCAGTGCAGCCCGCCGGTGGTGAATACCCAGGTACTTTTATTCCGAAGCTTGATCTAGTAATAGTACTACTCTTCAGAAGAAAAAGCTACAAGCTGCAAGAAGAAATAAATGACCTCCGCAAGAAGAGTTTGTGATGAAGAACTGATAAACCTGGCTTCTTGTTTGGCATGACTCTACTTTGGTGCAGGAGAGCTTTTATTACCCTCTCTTGAATCTTGACAAAGACGACCGCCCTATCGATCTTCGAATCAATGTGGACATTCTGAAATAGCATGAATCCGTATCCGTAATTTTATCCTACCGACGCATATCCAAATGTTGAATTGAATTACAGGTGATAAGCACAGCCTCGATGCCGGTGCTGAAGTTGATGCGTGAGGATCGAATTGAAACGGACATGGTATTCTCACCCGAAGGAATCAAGACGACGGAGTGGATTCAAGCGGAAATGAAAAGGTAGCTGCTATATTTTCAGCCTTTATGAATGATGAAAATTAAATCATGATTATGTAGTACTTGCTAGTATAGTAAAATAGAAATGGTGGACCTGGTTGTTTCTAAGAATGGTGCGTGACCCACAAGTCCTTACCCAATGCAATTTTTTTTCTAGGGGCCAATACCCGGAGCGCTTTCGATTGGTGCTCATGTTCGCTAAGTATCTGTTGGCAAGCCACAACCTACACGACACATTCTCCGGCGGTTGTGGCAGCTTTCTGCTTGGCATCCTAGTGGCGTATTTTATGCGGGACGAGGCACAGCATCGCAAGAGACAAGACCGAGTTCTTCCTGCACGAAGTGCGGTGCGCGAGCTGTATGAGTTTTTCCAGTTCTACGGAAAGATTTATCACGGGGAAACAATCAGTTTTCGCACAGAAAGGAAGAAAACAGTTGCACAGATCTTTTCGAGGTACTTGGTCGATTTATTTGTTAAATACGAGCACCTGGTCGCAGTAGAATAGGATAGCACCCCTCCAAGCATCTAGTTTGATTACAACGCCGAATGCTTTTCGTTTGCCGGTCGAATTTTACATGAATTGGAACTATCCACATGGAAGAGGAGTGTATCCTTGTTCGTGATTTTGTCCTAAAATGAATAACCGTGGCTGATGTGATACACTTTTCAGGCAACCTGCTCCCTGCAACGGAACTAGCCTGTCCGTACTTTCGCCAGTGAACAGTAAAATCGATCTGGGTGCCAAGGCATTTCGCTGGAACAACATCAAGACGGTCTTCGACGCGAGTTTTCAGACGATCCAGCGGTACTTGCGGGACAAGCGAACGACGGGCCTAGTGAAGGATCTGCTTCCCAAGGGTGTCTTTCAGCAGGTCCAAAACCACCGTGAAGCTGCGAGTAGATTACTGAAGCAGGTCCCGGTATCGACCTCGCCGCCTCCGGAGCGAGCCGTATAGATTATTTGCTAACACGAGGAATTGCATGATTATGATTATCATCTTCTTCAATCTTTATCTTTTATCTATTGCATTTTTAAGTAGTTTCATTTCGAGGGGGGGATGGGGATCTACTCACTAGAAGTTGAAGTGCAACCATGAAAAATCTTTGCGCCGGAAAAAAAAACAGGACAACAAGCGAGGAGCGCGGGGTTTGTCCACGTTGTCTGTGACGGAAACCACCATGATTACCGTGGCTTCCCCTTCGAAGCTCGAGGAAAACAAGTCTCGCGCGGGAAAGGTATCCGTAGCGCATCGGCAGTCGATGAAGAAGCAGATGACCGCCCAACAGCAAGAAGGCCAACTTCTACACCCCGCCGGGTCAACATCAAGACGCTCTTCCGCCGCTTCTGCCACGTCATGTAGCAGCAGCTCGTCATCGTCCAGCAGTTCTGGCGGAAAAAATAAGAAGACCACGACACCCAAGAAAACCACCACACCAAAAGGCCGGAGGAAGGTGTCTGCGGGCGGAAAAAATCATGTAGACGTGACAGTGCCCGGCGACGGCGTAGACGTGTTGAATCGCAGCCAGTCGGAGCCAGTCGTGTACGAGGCGGTGGCAGATGAAAATGATGCAGCCCCCTCGGGCGAAGTCGGGGACGGAGGCGAACACGATAGCCGAAGTAGAAGCGGTTGCGCAAGCGCAACTATTACTTCTACGGGCAGGATGAACAAAAAACAAAAAGCGAACAAGAAAACCAATAACAAATGCAATGCTGGCAAGCAGGTCGTGGAAACAGTCGACGGCAGTATGGAAGAACTACAAGCTAATGTTGACTGTGCGAACGAAGACGAAGAAGCGGAGGTAGGGAGTAGTAGTACGAAAGCTGCTGAAAACACGCAGGGAAAAACATCAAACTCCAGTGTCGGTGAACAACAGGAATCAACAACATCCGCTACTGGAGCAGCTGCGGCACGGCATAGAAGTTCTGAGGAAGCAATTGCGGATGTGGAAACGTGCACATCAGCGCCTGTACCAGAACCGTCGCACAATAACCCAGAAAAGTCCGCGGCCACGAGGGATGATCTTCAACACTGTTCTCGGGAAGCCGAATCGTATCTGCAAGGTGGAAAGCGCGGAATTTGTCCCAAACCGGCGACGAACGGGAACCAGCTCACAGCCACAGACATCTACACGGAGAGCAAGAAGGGAGGCCCAAATGTCTCGGACGAGAGCACTCGCTGCGGGTCTAGCAGCTCAGGCGCCCACGACCACGAGGGAGAGCCTAGTAGCTCTGGCGTCGATGTTGCTGTCGCTCCAGTCAGCACTTGCAGCTGCGCTGAGCCCCTTGGTGTCGCGGAAACGGCTGTAGTTGCGCCGGAAGAACTTGCAGCGGGGGCCCCGCTGCTTGTTCAAGGTAGCTGCGCAACTTTCACTAGCAGCGCAGCGGTGGGACGAGAAGAAGCGGAGCACGACGATCGGAGTAGAACTCCACTCGGTAAGGACGGTGATGAAGCTGATGACAATTCGGAGGATAGAGCACAAGTCACGACAGCGAAGTTAACGGCAACGAATGTCCATCTCGACGTCGGCTCCAAAAGCGACTCGTGTGCAATACGTCCTCCAACCGACGCAGCAGCCGAAAGAGCCACCGCATCTCCGAGGGATACGCATCCAAGCACAGGAGCAACCAGGTCCGTGGGTGAGCGGCTGGCATACTGCGCCGGAAGCGACGAGCATAAAGAGGCAGCCGGGTCGGCGTGTTCAGCTTCAGGGACAACTGGTAAAAAAGAAAACACAGTCGCGCAAGATCCTGGCGAATCAGTGCAAGGAGGGATGGCATCGGCCGATTTTGTGGACACGAACACGTCACCTAGAACTACTACTACACCAGAGAGCCAAAAGCGGCCGCGCTCCAAGTCAGAAAACAGTCCGCTGGGCAAACTCTCCTCCACTCCGGGGCGGGGCCAGAAAAGAAGGCCCTTCAACGCCTTGGCCCTCGAGAGTGCGTCGCCCTCTCCTCGTCGTCCGCTACAGGCAGCGGTGCAGGCAGCCTCATAGCACAAAACTAGAAGCAATCTCTAGCGCATTTCGTCATCCTCGCAAGAGTTGTTCCGACGTCGAGCCTAGGATCTCAACTCACTGATCCTGGAAGTTCCTTTGCCTTTGTAAAAACAACGTCTCTGCGATCTAAAGGTGCAAAACCGTCCGTTGCGTTCGCCCATGTATGGCAGGCGCGCAACAATCAAAAAGAAATTTACTGATTCAGGTCATCTTCAGTGGGGAGCATTCTCTCGTAGTATTTTTTAAAGAGATCTTCATGGCTAAAAAGTAAAGGTAGACACACATCATCTAAAAGTCGAAGCATGTATTTGATTATCAACGCTATTTTAAAACCCTATGTACGAGCAGCGGCGGTCTTGCGCTGTTCCACTATTCGCTATGTAATAAATTTTCTACGCAGAAGTTCGGCTCCAATCTATGTAACTTTGGGAAGACTAAAATCTTCGAAGCAAAACCTAACACACAGGAGTAGTCGTTGCATTTTCTACATTTTGGTTATTGACGCACACGCAGCGACAACTTCTGGCTTTACCTTTTTCTATGTACTATTGACGACAAATCTTCTTCTACTTATTTGAGGCGACTGTAAAGCGGGAGACATCGAGAACCTCTCAGCGCCATTAGGACTTCTAACTCCAAAATTGACGAGCAGAGGAGTCCCCTTCGGGATTCGTTCTTTGGCAGAAGAAAATCTCCCCGTGCAATAATTGGCGTGCTCATTTGTGTTGAGTGTGGGAAAACAGCGCAAGCTTCGAAAGCGGAGCTGAAGGCGAGCTCGCATATTTTTTTATTTCTTACGCACAAGGACAAGGTGGACAAGAACAATTCTTCAGGATCGTATTAGATCCCTTCTGAAAAGAAACATAACGACGACAAGAAGAAAAAGAGGAGGTATAATCGTGCAGCTGTGAAGATGAATGTCTGCCGTTTGCTCTGTCTGGTTCTGAATGGCAGAGATGTGTTCGCGACGAATCGCAGCAAAAGGTACAACACTGCATGAAGACCTCAACGAGGCCGCCATGGTCTGCACAGTTAAGTCGGTTTCGGTTGCTGTATTTTTGTCAAAAAACGGAGTCGGACTCGGTGTTTTTTCCTGATTCTGTCATCAGTTGAGTTTTTTTATTACTGCGCGCCGTCTGTTCCGGGGCTGAGGCTGTCCGCATCGGTATGAGAACATCAGCTGATTGCTCTAAAATGAAAGTGAATGTAAGTAGCATCGCGCCGTCGGTCCCGGTTGTCGGTAATAGAGTATCCGTTGCCTACAAGGTAACCGCAAGAATCGCAAGAAAATTCTTGGTATGGGAAAAACCGTACGACATGGAGGACACCGCAAATTGGACGTGTGTATACTGGTTCCGTTTAGCGCATTTCTACGGAAACATTTTTTCTATTTTCAGGTTGCCCCATTTCTTGCCACGTCGTTTCACATGACGAGTAGGTACATGTACGTAGATTTTTTGCAAGATTTTTGTGGTGGCCAGTACGGGCGAGCACACCAGATGGTTCACCGGTGCGAAGGATGATATATTTATCAGAATGTTCAAAGTTAAATCACCTTTTGCGGGCCAAATCAAAATGGCAATACGATTGGGTCCTTTAATATTGAAGTAGATCAAGATGCAGGAGGACGAGGGCAACTCCGGGAGTTTCCCGGAGATTCCTCGCCCGAGGACGAGCGAGACAGAAATGTTGCTGGATCGGGACAATCCCTTCCGCAAAATAGCGGTTGTCCAACAAGAAGAAGAAGTAGATGACGTCGGCCCTCGCCGGTCTGATCCACCACCGCTAGTATCTGGCTCCGGCCCGCGGGAGAACAGCAAACGGGGGCCCCCGAGTGGGCCACTGGCCCTCTCGAGCGGCAACTTCGATCGGCGCCAACATCCGACGTCCTCCGGTCGGGTTGCAAAGGACAGCGTCACGTCACCAGGTAATAGTACCGCTAGTGCGCCAGCATCTCAGTCGGAGGAGTACGACTACCCAACAGATTACAACAAGGACATACGCAGCGAGCGATTCGCGGCCTCGGAATTCAGCTGTCGCAAGCTCTGCCAGAACCCCGTCGCAGTGACCCTGATCATTTTGGGTACTCTCTTGCTCATCACGATCGTTGGGACGTCTGCCTGGTGCTGCATCAGTAGGAGGGCGGAGGAGGAGTTCTTATTTCTCGCTGGTGGTAAAGCTACAGCCTAAGCCGGTGCGTTGATTCATCTAGATGGAGAATGATTCATTTCTGCAGCTGTAGTTGTATACATTCAGTTTTTCTTTTTGCTGGATGATGATGAAGCTGTGTAAGTATGATGGGCGGTTCATCATTTTCACGTGACACAGCTGGTCTTAGGGCTACTAGTCATGATGTGTTTGCATGGTTTGTAGTTGAAAGTCGCTATACGATACTGGCCTGCGTTTCGAGAAGGTTTAGACATTATGTGCGGGAGCAGCTTCACCTCCGAGAAATATCGACTTTTTGCAAATTCATAACTCTTGCCTCTGCAGCGCAAGACAAGACCACCACTACTACAACCACCACAACAACCGAAGCGGCGCACCTTTCGGCATTTTTTCCAGGGGCGGGAGGTGCAGCCTCGTCGGGTACTCCCGAACGCGGTCCGCCCGAAGTACTACCTGGGCGCACGACTGCTGAGCCGCAGGCTCCTACTACACCACACGACGGAGAACCCCTACACCCCCTTCCGACAAACGGCACGGTTGAGCTTCTCCCCCCGCCTGGTACCGTACACCGACCTGAGTCCGATGGATCACCGATGAAAATCCCGCCGGTGGGCGGGGGCGGCGCGCGTGGTGCCTCCAAAGCGTCCCCGGCTTCGGCGAAATCACCTGCCACTCGTCCCAAGCGTGGTTCATCTGGGGACCACGCTCAGGACCATCAAGCCACTCCACAGTTTCTGGACCACAAACTCGACCGGGCGACTTTTTCCAAGAATGGAAGAGGAAAGGTCTTCTGGAATGCGAATGCGTGGGACGATATCCAAGAACCTCACCGTAGTTCCCATTGGCCAACGACCGAGGAAATGATGCAGAACAACTACGAGCGGCAGGTACTACACCAACTGTGGGGGCCTGAAGCTGTGTGGCGGCGTAAGACACCCGACGTTTTCAGAGAGAAGGTGCTTCGAGTGGCAGATGGGTTTTCTCAAGATGATTGCGCTCGACATCCTGGTGTAGTGAATTATGTCTACCATCATGACGTAGTTGTTGAAAACGACGCAGACGACTCCGAGAGACCCCTCGCGGCCTGCGGTTGCGCGTTCTCGTCGGGGGCCGAAGACAGCACAGTCGAGAACAGACAGCGGCATCCGTTGCTTGGTGGTCCTCACAGGAGAGGTGTCCGTAGGTCGTCGAAGCTGGTTGTCGTGCACGCGCCGGCGCCTGCCCGGTTCTTGCTTCGCTTCCCTTCCACGCTTGAGCGCTTTAAAAACGACGAAATTTACATGACAGTGGATCTTCGTTCCGTCGCAATCTTTCAGAGCGGGTCAGTCACGGACAGGATCACGTCATTTGGAGCTTATGCCAGGTTCTTCGATCCCCTCCTCGATGGGATGAAGGGGATTCTAGATTCGGGCTCGCCCACAATACGACTCGCACGGCCCGTGTGGCATCAATTTGTAGAGTCTTTTTGGCTTGCAACGGCAGCATCAAGAGACTGCTTCCAAGGCCCTAGCATAGGTGTAGCTGTAGAGATAGGCGAAGATATCAAAATAAGAAGCCCTCACACCACCTTACACCTGAAGTCTTCAAGTGGCACACGCAATACGATTTTTCACTCGACATCCGTACGTATAAGTCTGTTTCGCAGGAAAGTGAAGCAGGGAGGTAGTACACTTGTGTAGATTTGGCAGTACGCAGAGAGAACAATGGATGAAGGTGCGAGTGCCCCCCTACCACATGACATGACCAGTTGCGTACAGAAATGCAGCAAATCGGGGGAAGCATGAGACTTCGTTGCATGGGTGTGGTGTGGTGGTGTTTTCTACTGACATCGGGCCAACTCGCTGCAAATGTTGACTTCGAGGAGACACCCGGCATGCCCTACTGGTACGTCATAAGCCCGCGGGACTACTGCAAGACTCCCGGCGCGAAATTACCAGGCTACGGTGACGCCGTTTATCCGTCTCACGACATGATTAGTCGTATAGTTGTTCAGGAGACGCTCATTGGTTTTCGGACGGAAGAATTGGGTTCTAGTGTCGCTGTCGTGCTCGGTGAGCCATTCCATGCTGCCTACTATATCCGCTACAACTTAACAGAGATTCTGCTTCCAAAATTGGACGAGCCCCAATGTCTCCCTGCTGAAGAGTGAAGGCAGCAGTGTAAGTGCTGGATTTTGTCACTACTTCTTTCTTATATTCGATCGATAGCTCGTGCTTTTGGTTTTTAGAGAAGTGTGTCTTTTTCCATGACAACTTTTGCTCAAATGCATTCATTGACTGTCACAAGCTAGGAATAATACTCGCACACCAGAGGTAAATTATCGGGGTACTTGATATCGTACTACGTCCTATTTTTTTTTTTGGTTTTGTATCTCGCTCACGCAGGCGGGTTCGTGCACCATCTTAAGTCCTACAATTCTCCTACACGCCGGAGATACAAAGTGAAAGTTTCCTTAAGTAATGTAGAATGACAACTTCTACTTCTCGTTCATCTCGATTCGAGTGAGATTTTGTTAAATGCCCAACGGCTTCTCAAGGGGAGCTTCATGAAAGATGGCCGATTGGCTAAGCATTTATGTTGCCGTGACCGGCGCGAACTCGAACATGTCTGTGCCCTGAAAGGTACTAACTTAGCTTGCGCCAGACTATTGAAACGTTTTCAGTCAGAAATCACGTTCGCTGTAGTATCTCATGGTGGGTGGTTTTGTCGTCTCTGTCTATCGGCCGCGTTGGACGTCATCACCTTTGGAAGCAATACGATCACGATTTGATGAAGATCTTGATCTTCGGCATGGTTGATCAGGTGGTATTATATGGTCGAGAAGGCTTTTTCACTTTGTGTTTGCCAATGTCGCAAGATACGCGTTACACTAAGCGGACAACGCGGCGAGGCGCTGGATAGTTATGTGTACACCGTGATTTGTTCACTTCATCCGTGATATAAAAGGATTACCGTTACTGGGGATGAAGAACCAGCAAGAAGATACTATGTCGAGAAGTGGAAGTTGTGATGAATTTGCTTTCTCCGAAGCCCGTGCTGGCACGTCCGGTTGTGCACCTTTTTCGGCCCAGCGAGGTAATTTCAGTGGCCGAGCTCGGTTGTTTGGAGTATGCGAAGGTGCTGTGGAACCTGGATATCCGTGGTCACCCGGTACTTGTGAAGGACACGATGGAGAAAATTCTGGACGCCGGCAGTGGGACGTGTTCACCGCACGTCGCGTTTATGGGGCAAAGCAACGTGGGGAAGAGCACTCTGGTGAACGCCCTGCTGAGCCAGCACAACCTGAACCGGGTGGACGTAAACAGGTTGCACGAGACGAGGGATCGCGCCAACCTCGCTCGAGGCCGGTTTGAGCCTGTCTTTCCGCTCGGACACGAGGACGCCGACGGGCGGATCACCATGACTGTCCCCGGGGGCGGGGGCGGTGGCGCGTGTAGAAAGAGAACAAGCGCAGTAGGTGGAGCAGCAGGTCGTACTGTTCTACTTGAAAAATCTACGTCTAGCGGCCATGAGGGGACGTCGAGTGGACGACGACCTGGCGGTGTGGCTGGTGCCGAGAACAACATCCTGCAGATGTTGAAACCTGCTGTCCGGGCCTTTTCTATTTTGTCCCGGTCGCGCCCCCGGCTGCAACGGAGCCAGCAACAGGTCCAGTGGAAGCAGCACATGAAGATCATAAAGACCGCAGAAACGCGGCGGGCCCGGAGCCATTACGGCAAGCTCGTGCGACAGGGAGTGAAGGCGCCAGGATGGGCGCTGCAGAGCAAGCTGTGTCGTGATCGCGGCAAGCGGGCGATGGAGGAAACGCTGAAGCAGCGCATTATCGACACGAACAAGGTGCTAAAGCGTGAGACGGTCGGCACCACAAGCCGCATTTTGGCAGACAACGTAAAGGCTTATTGCCGCGAGCTGAACCTGGTGAAGGCCAAGCGGCGTACTCTCCGGGCGGCGCGCGAGACCGGGACCAAACCGAAGATTGACCACAAGCAGCTGGGCAAGCAGTTGTCACCCGAGAATCTGGCAAAGAAAAAGGCATCACTCGTGAAGATTGACCACACGGAGGACCGCGCTTTCACGAAGAAGGTCCATCAATTTATGCTGCGCGAGGGGCGGATCGACAAGGCGGCCCGAAAGTTGAGCGACGACCCTTCTAACAAGCTGACCCTCGACAGCAACGAAGTGACTTTCAGTGGCTTGCGCGAGCCAAACACGGGGAATTGGCTCTCGAAGGCGGAGTGGCGAGCCAAACGTCGGCAAGATAAACTGGAGGCACAGACCGGCGGCACCGGTGTGCACCCGCATGACCGTAGTCGCGGGAAAGTTGCAGGATTGCAGGACGAACAGAACGAGCTCCAGTCCGTCGACGGAAAGAGCGCCTTGCCCTACAGTTTAAACTCCACGGACGGAAACCTCGTAGAGCAACAGAGGGAGCGACAGAGGCAGGTGCGGGGGCGGCAGCTCTTTAATGCACCGTCGTTCGCTCCCGTGTCCCGCACGGCGGGGCGCACAAGGCAACTGTTTCGCTTCGAGATCGGCGGCCGGCTCATGCTGATCGACCTGCCTGGGTACGGGTTCGCGGGAAAGGCGGGGAAGCATTTCCTGCGGGATTGGGAGCTCATGATGGATGCTTACCTGGAAGTGACAAAGCCGGTCGAGCGGCTGAAGCGCATTGTCAGCCTGATCGATGTGAATCTGGGCTTTACGGATCGCGACGAGAAGCTCTGGGACATGTGTTTGAATCACCAGATCCCGATCCAGATCGTGCTGACCAAGTGTGATAAAAGCAATCCATGGAAGCTGCACAACTGCATGGAGCAGATGCTGAACCTCGCCCAACAGGTGCATGCGGATGGAAGCGGGAAAGACGACGCAACGCAGCAAGTGATTCATCCGTACATCCACGCTGTTTCGGCGCTGGAAAACATAGGCATGCAGGAGCTTCGTGTTTCCCTAGCAAGTATTGCAAGGGATGAAGAAAATCTGATGAAAATCGCACAAGCAAGATTTTGACTTGCTGGACGATCGACATGACTGGCACCACGTACTGGAAATTCACATGATGCACGCCACGGCCAATCATTCTTGTGCACTTTTTTTCGCGTGCATCTTTGCCCTGAGTTGATCTCTGGAATGTTTAGGGATCATCTGTTTTTGTTTTAAGGCAAGAACCATCTTTGTTCGCTAGAATACCACAACTGTGTTTTCCTTTCAGCGACAGAGCAACAGCGACAACTCTGCTTCATCTCAACTTTCGATCAATAGATACGGTGGCGTCAAAAGTACGAGACCGAAAGACTGTGGCTTACTTGTTTCTCCAGAGAGAGGCCGTTCTAGCACGTTTTGCCCGATGAATAATCTCCTCGAGAATCAATAAATCTAAGGTCGTAATCAAGAGGATACTCAGCAGAATGTTTCCGAACAACTTGAACCTGCAGCATGGCGCCTTTTCGCAGACCTGCTCCAGCGGTGTGGGGCGGTGGTACTACGCCGGTGCGAAACCAAACGTGTTTCCGACCGTTGGCTCTCCCGATCTCAACCAGACGCCACTGCACCCGGGTACGTCGATTGTCTCCTACGGACAGAAGTTTCCGCTCGCGAGGCTGAAAATGCTGACCAACGAAGTGAAGGTTTGCGCAAAATGTGGGAAGAATTGTGCGAAGTCCATGCGAAATTGCAACTCGTGCGGCGCGAGCCTGCAACAAGTGCCCATCACAGAGACGGAAAATTTGCTGGCCGGGTTTGCGTTGGGACTGGAGAGATGCGAGCGGTTCCCGCTGAAGATCGGGATCCGGCGACAAACCGACCGCGTCGTGGTGTTCGACGATCTCCTCTCGCTCACCTGTTGTCACCTTCTCTGCGTGCCGACGTTCGCCCACCTGCCAGATTTTCGGTACCTGTTCGAGCGGCCACTGGAGGGGCTGCGGTTGCTGAACGAGCTGCGGCACAATGCGAAGCTCGCGGTGAAAGACACTTTCTGGAATGACGAGGCCTTCCGTGACTTTTACTGGCGCAACGTGGCCGCGCCCAATCCTCCCAAAGGCGGTGCTGACCCAACACCTGCTTCGAACACCAGCACCTCGGGGCAGCTGTTTGAGGAGTACTGGCGCCGGGACGTGATAATGGGCCTGAACTACCCGCCGAGCCAGTACTGGCTCCACCTGCAGGTGGCGTGTCTGCCGTTTTTCCCGTTTCACCAGAACCTCCTGCACACCGCGGACCACATGCACTGGCACCGCTTTTTCGGGCTCGACTACGTCGCGGTGGTGCTGCAGAATTTGATTCGCGTCAACATGTCCATCAAGCTCGTGCAGAAAGACGACACTATCCCTTCTTCTAAAGACAGCAAAAAAGCGGGAGAAGCAAACGGGAACAACGCAGGGATGAACAAGCCCCTGCAAGTAGTGCAATTTGACGCGGAGGGGGATGTGTCCGAGTTGCTTCTGTTCTTCAAAAACACGTTCAACATCGACTACGACAAATACCACACGGATTTTATCGACAGAGTCCAGAAATCCGGCCAGCGCCTCGCCTGCTACCGCGAGCACCACTTTGAAAAGATGGTGGTCGTACGACCGACCGCGCCAACGGGGGCTCCTGAACAAACCGCACTCGCAGCAGGCGGAACACGTCCGCCGAATGAGTACGCAGAGACAGGAACGAAAGTCGTGCTGAACCTGTCGGATCTCTCGCTGGCGGAGAGTCAGGACGCGAACGCATTGCAGGCGGCCGACAAGAAGATGATGCAGAGCTACGGCCGCCCGTACTCAGAAAGTACGGGCAAGGAAGAAGGGCTTGGATACTACAGCGGATGTGGCGCCGCGCCGGTGGACGGCGACCAGATGGCGAAGAGAAAATGGTGGGAGTGGATGAGATTGCAGTCGCAAAGTTCGCCTCAAGGATCACCGAGAACATGAGTATAAAGCGCAGAATTGTACATGTACGGTGCATTATCATCTAGATGTAATATAACGAGTAGAAGCCTATTTTCTAACGCGTGCGCATCACCACACCGAAAATTCGAAGTAAGCACAGCACACACATGGTCTTTTCATGCGCCCAAAAAAGCGAGTGTTCGAGCAGAATTGTCGGTCACGTGCCTCGAAGCATGACGTGGGATGGAAATGCAGAGGCCTGTCTGGAAGAGGCTGTTCTTGCAACGCCACCTGCCTCGGTATGAATTTGTTAGATCATCTCTATCGCTCTACTTATGCAGCAGTAACTACTGCGAGCCATTCATGGCCGTGGTTTGGTGCAGATCATCAGGAGACTCGTGCAGATCCCGTTCCTAAAAAAAGAAGAAATTCCTTCGATGATGCTTTTTCCATCTTCCTATTCGATCCAGAGCATTACAAGAGCGCAACTGGCCGAAGCCCGGCTAAAGTAAGTGAGTAACAAGCACTTCTATGACGAATTCGCTCGTTTATGTAAAAACATTGTACAACCTTTATGATTTCATTTACGCGCCGCACCCTCTCTTGTGCCTGAGGGCAACGAGAAGGTAGTTTACGTAAGTCGATTTATCGATTTCCTGTTTCAGTTAACATGGACGATACCGACAAGGCATGAAGCTCTTGCGGAAAAACATCGACGCGGCGACCTCAGCTGGGTCGGTCGTCGTCATTCCAGAGGAATCAGAGGACATGTGGCACCTGTACAATCTGGTTGCAGTGGGTGATCGCATCACAGCCCAGACGTGGCGAAAGGTACTTACTGCTGCCCCGGGTTACTTTACAGTGTGTTACTCTAGTTCCAAAAATGTAAACATGGAGCTTTTTGTCCTGAGTGCTGCTGCCCCTACCTCTAGTGGTGTTTTCGCTCTTCGCTCCGTTTCTACCTCAGGCGGACAGAGGTACATCATGCAGCTTTTTGCCACAATCCGCTATGAAAATTTAAACTTCTATGTACAACAGATCGAGAAAGCCCAAGCCACCGGAACAGTGAGCAAAGAGCGAAGACGGGTTCGGCTCACGATCGAGATTACGAAGGAATCGGAGTACGACGCGGAGGGCGATGAGCTGCGGTTTCCGGGGCAAAACGTCGAGCAACACGAGCACGTGGCGCTGGGCGCGTACCACACGATCAGTCTCGAGTTGAACGAGAAAATGACGATTTACAAGGATTGCTGGGACACGGTTCACCTGGACATTTTGCAGGAGGCCTCGGACATCCGAAAAGCGGCGGACACCTGCGTTTTACTGATGGACCAGGCCCAGGGACTGGCGCAGTTTTTTTTTCTGTCGGGCGTGCTGGCCAAGGTCGCCTTCAAGGTGCAGGTGTTTTTACCGAAAAACCGGAGGTTCGAGAAGGCCAACTTCTCGAAGGCCCTGAAAAAGTTCTACGAAAAGATCGTCGAGGGCATCAAACTGCACGTCCACTTCGAGAACATCAAGTGCGTGGTGCTCGCCGGGCCTGGGTTCCTGAAAACCGAATTTCTCGCCTACCTGAAAGCGGACAACGGCAGGAACATTGAGGCGCTCAACCTCGACGGCGGCGTGAAGAAGATCAGCGAAATTTTCTTCGAAGCTTCGTGCAGCACCGCGAACAAGCAGGGCCTCCAGGAGCTGCTGGAGCAGGATGCCGTTGCGAAGCGCATCGCCAGCACGAAGGCGGGCGAGCAGGTGCGGGCCCTGGACGAGCTCTACGAGCGACTGCAGAAGGACCCGGACCGGGCCTGTTACGGACCCGCCCAGGTGTCGGTGGCGCTGCAGAACGGCGCGGTGCAGAAGCTCCTTGTCACGGACGCGCTGTTCCGGCAAAAAGCGGATCTGAAGGAACGCCAAAAGTACGTGAACCTAGTCGATTCCTGCCGCTCGCTGAATGGCCGGAAGGACTCCGTAGTCGTCTTCAGTTCGCAGCACGTGACGGGGGAAAAGTTGGCGGCATTGTCGGGAATCGCGGCCCTGCTCCGGTATCCAGTAGACGATTTGAGCAACTACGGCAGCAGCGACGAAGAAATGGAGGAGGAAGGTGGAGTAGCAGGAAATACAGACGATCATGTTGACATATCACCCACAAATGGTGCAACTGCCACCAATGTAATGAGGACAAATGAGGAAGCGACCTTGGCACAGGCTCTAGACGACGTGTTTGAAATGTAACAACTACGACATTCACGTTTTGCGACGCATTTAGAACATAAGGCTGCTTCAACGGTTACCGGACGAGCAGTGATGTCGAATTCGCTATCACTGCGTGTTGTACTATCTCCTGTCAGGCTGAATCTTCATCGTGCCGAAGTGGCAGTCGTAACTCGTCTAAAATCTTCGGCTTCATTCGGGAATTAGATTCGTTGTCGTATCGCTGTATTTGCGATCTTGGTCGATTTCGGAATTTGTCGGCAGTACCAACGAAAGTCGTCGACCAAGTGTACTTTTTTTTGTTTCGTCAGTACATGAATGGCCACACGTTAGAATCGAGGTGCTCGCACTTAAAATGTGTGTAGCAGAGAGGTACTGGTGTACGTGTACGATTATGTTAAAACTTGAACGAAAACGAAATGTAATGGCAGCGTAAACTCGCGGCCTTCGCACCTGCTGCAAGACGGAAATACAGTACGAGAGGACCCTGACGGTTGACGGATGAGCGCCATGTCCGGTGCCGATGGAGCACTGTTTGCGATCAAGTCGGGGATGCAAAGCATCGCGAACGTGGCGGATTTGGCGCTCGACCAAAAGCTGATTGCAACCGACTACGGCGCCCTGATCACACGAAAAATTGACCGCATGAAGCAGGACTGGGCGCTTTGCGAAGAGCACGAGCACGACCAGGTGGACAATCCGGACATCGAGGAGGGGGGCAAAGACGCAAACAAAAGTCAAAAATGGAAAGACGCACACAAAAAAGTGTCTTCCGATGCGTGCCGGTTCATTCTGAAAGACGCTAACACGATCCAGCGGCTGCGCGAACTGGCGGGCCTGCACCAGACGCTGGTGCAGCGAGCGCTAGAGTTGCTTGACGCCCGGATTCGCAGTGTGAAAGGCAATTTTGAACGATTTGTGCGTCTGCGGGACGTGGCTGCTGCGCAACCGGAAAGGCTGACCGTCAGTGGGATGAAGCGGCACCTGATGGAAAAGTACAAACACATCCTGGACGAAGAGCAGGGGGGCGACGACGGCGAGGACCCAGCAAGCGCCCAAAGTGCGGCAGTCGAGGACCGGAACGACCCGCGTGTGGGGAATCACATAAAGCTGACGACCGACGAGCAAGAGCAGTTGGATCGCGTGCTGCCCATCACGGAGAGAACGCCGCTGCACTTTTCGAAGGCGACACGGGTGAAGAAGAAAGCCCATCCGGAGTTTGCGGTCAATGACGAACCGACGGGGCCCCTGTTTAAGCAAACTGTTGTAGACGATGAGGACGGGTTTGATCTTGATCATTCCACCGATCCATTACCAAAACCGCCACTGGGACTCAGAGCCGAAAATGCGAAACTATTTCTCTAGAAACTGAAGAGTGACTCTGAAGATGAACATGGGAATTGTAAAATGAAAACCAACCACCACTACGTATGGCCGAGGCTACTGGTTTTCTGTTAAGCGATCCACAATTTTGCTGCCTCTTCTGCAGCAGAGGAGATAAGGTGCCTAATTGCCTAATTAAGGTTCTTAAGTGCTAGCGAAAACGAAAACTGAAGTGATTGAGGGAATGGCCTGCGCAAAGTCTCTTGGTGTTGTTTTTTTTGTCCGCTACTAGCGCGAAAGAATCTTCATTGCGAAGACTGTTGCGAGCGATTTGAGAGATCGCATTTGCAGTCTCTCGCACTACACTTCAATAATCCATCCTCTGCGGATACTTTTTTTCGCCCCTGTACTTAAGCAAATACAAAGATCGCCCCCGCTCGTCCGGCAGAGGAAGATACCGAGTCTCATCACTGCGAGGTTGAGGTTCGCAGTCGCATAAAAGAACATGCACCGCGTCCACGCTCTTTTGCGTCATGTCCGCGGCGGCGCATCAGTGGCCGCGTCGCCCGCCGCCGCGGCCCAACCCGCCAGAACCGCAGCGAGTAGTAGCTCGTCGTCGTCCTCCAGCAGCGCGGTGCGCAGCTACAACTTGGATGTGGGCCCTGGTAAGGTTCTGATCGCAAATCGCGGCGAGATTGCAATTCGCATCGCTCGGGGGGCCAAGGAGGTCGGACTGAAATCAGTGGCAGTGTACGCACCGCAGGACAAGGATTCACCACACATTCGGTACGCAGACGAGGCCGTGGAGCTGCCACTTCCGGCGGACGGGAACAAAAACCCCGTGGCGCCCTACCTCAACATTCCCGGGCTGCTGGACGTCCTCGGGGAAAAGAACTGCGACTACGTGCACCCAGGCTACGGATTCCTTTCCGAGTCCGCGGATTTCGCCGAGGGCGTGGAGTCGGACACGCTGAAAAAAACCTGGGTAGGCCCGAGAGCAGAAGTGCTACGGCTTTTTGGGGACAAGGTGGCGGCGCGGACGCTGGCGATCAACCACGAGGTTCCGGTGGTTGGGGGCAGTCCGAATCTGGAATCCGGCGAGGCGTGCGAGCAGTGGGTGACGGAGCAACTGGCGAAGCAGAAAAGCACGTTTCAGTTGCCGGCCATCCTGAAAGCGGCCTACGGCGGCGGGGGCCGCGGAATGCGCATTGTGCGCGAGATGAAGGAAATGAAGTCGAATTTTGAGACCTGCCAGCGCGAGGCTCTCACGGCGTTCGGGCGGGGGGAGGTCTTTATCGAAGAGTTCTGGGACAAGACGAAACATTTAGAGGTGCAAATTCTGGCAGACGGGCGCGGCAACGTGGTGCACCTGTTTGAGCGGGACTGCACGGTGCAGCACAGGCATCAGAAAATGGTGGAGATGGCACCCGCGCGCGACATCCACCCCGAGCTGCGGGAGAAGCTGACCGCGTGCGCGAAAAAGTTGGCGCTGCAGTCTGGATACCGGGGTGCGGGTACGGTGGAATTCCTGGTTCGCGGATCGCTGACGGACCCAAACGCGCGATTTGTCTTCATGGAGATGAATCCGCGTGTGCAAGTGGAGCACACGATTACGGAAGAAGCGACGGGGGTGGACATTGTGCAGACCCAACTGCTGATGGCCAGCGGCATCTCCTTGCCCGAGCTGGGGCTCGAGCAGGACAAGCTGCACGTAGAGCGTTACGCGTTGCAGGGGCGCGTGACGATGATGCCGGGAGGCAGTGAAACCATTACTGAATACCAGGAGCCCACGGGACCGGGCGTTCGCGTCGATTCCGCTGGCTTTTTCGCGGGCTTGAAACCCAATCAGATGTACGACCCTCTCGTCGGGAAGCTCATCTGCACGGCTCCGGATTTTTCCCAAGCCGTGGACAAAACGCTGGATGCCCTGCAGTCCTTCAAAATCGGGGGGTTGAACAGTAATTTGGCCGCTCTGCAGCGCATTCTCAAGCATCCGGAGTTTCTCGACAACTCCATGTGTACCGACCTGCTAGCGGAAAATCCGGAATTGCTAGATCTTCCGAAAGCGGGTGGTGCGAAAAAGGCTGCAACAAAAGCTGTATCCGCGCCTCCAGAAAAGCGGTAACTTGGAATCTTTATTCGACGGCTGTGCATTGATTTTCTCTAGATGTAGATGAGGAAGCCCCCGATGTTTGTTCTCATAGACAAGTGCATCATTATTGCCCGAGGTCTTCGATTCACTCTCTGATGCAGGTACAGTGACAAGCTCGTGCAAGAAAAAATCACAACACCGATGACGGGCAACATTTTGGAAATTAAGAAGAACGTGGGAGACAGTGTCGAGGTGGGGGACACCATACTGGTGATGAGCGCCATGAAGCTCGAGACGGATATCGTGTCGAACCTGCGCGGCAAGATTGTTGCATTGAACTGCGAGTCCGGTGACCAGGTCAGCACAGACCACGTCCTTGCCATCGTCGAGGGTTACGAGGAATTGGCAGACGGTACGCGGGAAGATTCTTGACAACAATTACCGACATAAAGCGGCCTGCAAGGCTCCTCCTTTCTGACACTGGCAGTGAAGATTTCAATTTGAAGAGCCCTACGTATTTCAGTTGTATCTATGCAGTCTAGAAGACTTCAGTCGTGTAAATGCAGCGTTGTAGGTGCAGCCAGGTTACCTGTGCCTCATGCGCTCTCTTGTAGCGATAGAGTTGTGTCAAGGAATCTACTTTTGCGTTTCATAGCTGAGAGCGAAGCAGAAACCGGCTCCGTAGGCAAGAGGCGCGCCGCTGCCGGACAGGGTTTGGTGAGCACGGACAGCGATAAGGAAAGCGCGGCCGCAGCGTGGGGCGACGGTGCGTATGCTTTTCCGGACGAAACGACTCTGCCGAAACTGCGGTCCGCGACGAAGTTGGAGGACGAAAAGGCGCGGCAGCGCAAGGGGCGCAACACAGATTTGAAACTTGACTTGCAAGATCGACTCACGCACGTTCGCGCCGGGGGCGGCGCCAAAGCGGTGGCGTTGCACCGGGAGCGCGGCAAGTTGCTGCCCCGGGAAAGGATTGAAGCGGTACTGGATCCGGGTACGGAGTTTCTGGAGCTGTCGGCGTTGGCAGGTGGCGAAGCGCTGTATAACGACGTGGACGGGGACCTGCCGAGTGGGAGCATGGTCACCGGGGTAGGTCTGGTCTGTGGGCGGGAGGTCATGTTTGTTGCCAATGACGCGACCGTGAAGGGGGGGACCTACTTTCCGATCACCGTCAAGAAGCACCTGAGAGCGCAACAGATCGCGCAAGAAAACCGTCTGCCTTGTGTGTACCTGGTGGACAGTGGAGGCGCGTTCCTGCCGAAGCAAGCCGACGTCTTTCCGGACCGCGAACACTTCGGCAGGATCTTTTTCAACCAGGTATCAATCCACGACGAGAACTTTTTCCTTTTTGTTTGTTTTCCTGCGCCTGGTCTTTGACGCTGCTTATCCTTTATCGTTATTTTTTTGTTGTTGTGTGAACGAAAAGTGAAAGTCATCAAGTTCCGTGACAGGCACGCATGAGCCAGATGGGTATTCCGCAGATTTCGGCAGTGCTCGGAAGTTGTACTGCTGGCGGAGCCTACGTGCCGTCCATGTCGGACGAGAGCGTGATTGTGAAGGGAAATGGCACCATTTTCCTCGCGGGGCCGCCACTGGTGAAGGCCGCGCTCGGAGAAGTGGTTAGTGCCGAGGATCTCGGGGGTGCGGAAGTGCACACTTCTAAGTCCGGCGTCGCGGATCACATGGCGCTCGACGAGCCCGCGGCGTTGCAGAAGATTCGGGATATAATCGGCGCGCTGCCGCCCGATGACAAAGTGCCGCACCGGAATATTGGCGGAATCGTCGTACTGACTTAGTTTTTCGGGTTTTTTTTTCTCGTTGTGCTGGCTTTGTGGGTCTAGGAATGCAGAAGTGGCGTTTCGTGTTTGTATGTAGTGCACAACTGATGAAACAGTAAGAGTAACAGAGTGCACTACCCTTGTGCCCTGTTTTCCTCCTCGCTCTTGAGGAAGAGTACGTATACGAATAAAACGATTGCTGAGGCTGCCTTCATCTCAACTACATCACGACAGGAGCCGCGATACCCCATGGAGGATTTGTTGTCGATTATCCCGGAGGACAACCGCATCCCGTTCGATGTCCGTGAAGTGCTGGCTCGGGTGCTGGACGGCAGCGAGTTTCACGAGTTCAAAACGAACTTCGGGCCCTCCCTGGTCACTGGGTTCGGGCGGATCTTTGGGATGCCCGTCGGGGTGGTGGCGAACAACGGGATCCTTTTCTCGGAGTCCGCCCTGAAGGCGACGCACTTCATCCAGCTCTGCGGGCAGCGGAAGGTGCCCCTGCTGTTTCTGCAAAACATCACGGGCTTCATGGTGGGACAGAAGCTGGAAAACGAGGGCATTGCGAAGAACGGGGCCAAGATGGTCACGGCGGTGAGTTGCGTGGATGTGCCGAAAATCACGCTGCTGTTCGGCGGGTCCCACGGTGCGGGGAACTACGGGATGTGTGGCCGGGCCTACGATCCGCGGTTTCTGTTTTCCTGGCCAAACTCGCGCATTTCCGTCATGGGCGGCCCCCAGGCGGCCTCCGTGCTTTCCACCGTGCGCAACGAGCAGCTGACCAAGAAAGGGGGCTCCGCAGCGGCCATGTCGGACGCCGAAAAGGAAGAGTTCGAAAAACCCATTTTGGACAAGTACGAAGAGGAGGGCAGTCCCTATTTTGCCACCGCGCGGCTCTGGGACGACGGGGTCATCCAGGTGGAGGATACCCGGAAAGTGCTGGGGCAGGCGCTTCGGATCGTCTCGAGAACGCTTCCTGCGCAAGAAGACGCGTCGCATCCCGTTGCCGGAAGATACGGCATCTTCCGGACGTAGGTTTTGAATTATCCACTGATCAGCCGCCTCCGTCCGGATGCAGAAGTTTTGTGTACTATGAAGAAGGAGGGTCGCCCACACCTCCGTGAATTGTCACGCCGTACTTACTAAAGGACCCCAAACTCCTCTGCACTGCTATCATATCACTGGATCGCCGTAGAAGGATCGTGCAAGGAACAGGATCAGCATCAGTTTTTGAATAGTAAGTTATGTTCTTGCCCTACGAGAAGTCCGTTCTGAGTTTGTATTTGTATCCCTAGAAGGTGGCAAGAAGAATGCCTATGCCGCGGGTGATTTGCCAGGATATTTTGCTGCTGGCGCCTTGCGCGCCGTCTTGTGTAACCAAAGATAAGCACGCAATAAAAATGAATACCACCACCTTATGGTTGGAAAGTTATGAAAAAATGAACGAGTACAAGAACGTGAAGGACAGGACACTAAGAACCTCCTGCAAGAACCAACGATAAGGACAATAAACACGAAAGACTTACTGATCAGCAGATGATGAAGACCACCTCGTAGGAACGTGATACAATAGTGTTTCATGGCTCTCAGGTTCGTAAAATTGCCTTGCTCACGATTTCGCATGAACGACGTTCTACCACTCGCTCAAAGTTGTTGTACTGTGACCAGTTGGACGGCAATAGTAGTTCTTCTTGGGAATAACATCGTTCCAGCCAGTTAGAATCGATGCAAAACTTAATCTTTTTCATACAGGAAATCAACTATACCAGGCTCCACATAACTAGCTAGTCGTTCTGTTGTTTTCTCTCGCCCGATAAAACCCATTGAATAGATACCTCTTAGTGCTGTATGACTTTAATAGATACAAGCCCTGTAAGTATTTCCCACTGACACTACCCACCCAGCACCTCCATCAATTTTTCGATTATGTAAGTGCTCGTGTTAGAAACGGAACCCGTCTAAAGAAATTTTATATTTATTTTGTGAATGTGTAGGAAGCAATTCCTACGCACACTATAGACCATCCACACAAGGGGCAAGCGCCAAGGAAACTTTCGCAAAAAGCGGCCCAGCTTTGCCTGAAATCTAGAAACAAAGGGACATGCGGCTTTGAGAAGCGCGCACCTGCAACGGCAGAAGAACAAGTGGCGCTACGTACACCGGATCCACCGTGACAGAGGTGCCGCGGCAGGCCACGGGCATGGCGAAACGAGGCGGGGATGACCCCTTCGACATCGAAGGTGGTGATCAAGGAGAAGAAGACCACCAGGGGGACGACGGCTCCAAGCGACAACGAACCTCAACGGCGTTCTCCCTTCCGGGCGACTTTGATGATGATCAGGAAGTGCCGGACGTGGGCAACGAATCGTGTGCGATCACACCCGGATTCCTGGAAGGGCTCGGAGGTGCAGCGAACGTCACGCCTTTTGGAGTCGACATTGCAGATAAGCAAAGGAAAAAAAAGTTTTGTTGTACCAAGTGAAGTGAATGCCTTTATTTGAGAACAAGATAATCGGTTTCGATATAGGCGGCTTTGCGGTTTGGGTTTGCATTCATTCTTTTGCGCTGAAAGAGAAAGAGGTACTAGCGAGGTTTAAAATCATCGACCTGAAGTAGAGATCGCGCAGGTCGTCAGATAGGGGGATAATATCAAAGTTACTTACATTCGCCAAAGGAGATGTTTATTCGGACATGATAAAAACGTATGAAGCCGCGCAACAGAGATTCTAGCGCAAACGCTGTTTGGCTACAACACGAGGTGCAGCGATTTTTTTCCAGCATGACTGCCGGCACGTTGACGCTGGGGAATCAGAGATCTCCTCCTGGAACACCGAAATTAGGCTCTCCGCTCGTGCGACCGTCGTCATCGCCAAAGGTTGCCGTAGGAAGCCCTCAGATAGGTACAACTTGCACATAAGTAAACATCATTCATTGAAGATCAGTGGGGCTGTAGCTGTATTTTTTAGCGAATTACTGCAGATACACGATGCGTGCATGCTGCTTAATTTTATATATTGCATTCGGACACCCACACCAGACGTGATGAGGACGACGTGGTGAGCACATCTGACTCATCCAGGGTCGAGGATGGAAAAGCGGGATTGATGATCATCGCTCATTGATACTTTTTCAAAATTATTTTAATACAGGTGCATTTCCCTCGGAACAAGTAGGCGGCTCCTCGAGTAGTTCCGCGAATCTGACCCGGGCCGAGCAACTTTTGCTGAAAGGAAAAAAGAAGGGCAAAGGCAAAAACGGGGACGGCGAAGCTCGTCCAACGCACAGCCACCAAAACAACAATGTGAACAAAACGGACATTAACGGCAGTGCGTCTAGTCGGCCTGCGCCGAACCAAAAAACTACCACCCGGCCGGGTATGTCGCTTTTTGACGCGCTGGGGAGACAGGAAGTGGTTGACAAGTATGAAACAGGAAGAGGAATTGCGACGCTCCTTTCTGCATCAAGTTCAACGTCAATGTTGAAGCATTTTTGCGTACTTGTTGAGGGAGGTGAAGCAAGTCATCAAGAAGAAGTTCATCAACGTTCACCTTGTATGTAAAGAGTTCACTACGTTCTGTGCTCTATTCAGTGCAGGTGCAGCTCAACATCAGCTCCCACCCGGCGCAGGAAAGATTGATACTGACGAGGACGATTTTGTGACTGGGGCGTAGTCTTTATCTTTTTTTTTGCTTGCATACGTGCGGACACACCGGCTGGACGAAAACGGGACCTGTTCAGAGCGCGTTCTCCAAGGCCAGCAGCCGAGTTGTTGCGCCGCTGTCGCAAGCGAAGGAGAGTCCGGTGTCTCCTCTCTTAAATGAGGAGGACGAGATGGACGTGGACATGGAAGACGCGGACGACGGCGGGGACGAAGACGAAGAAGAAGAGCAGCGCCCTGCTCCCGCTCCCAAGTGGGCCGGTAGTCAAATGGACCTCGAGGAGGGGGAAATCCGGGCGACGGAAAATGACAAGATTTACTACAGGGACAACGAAGGCATGTGGGAGGTGCTGCCGGACGGCACCATCAAAAAGTATGACGGCCCACCGCTGGAGCAGTTTGATGAGGGGAAGCAGTACGGGAAGCCGTACAGCGCGACGGCATGGGAGAAAAAGTGGACATATGTACAGTACGACCAGGATCCGGATGCTGTGCGAGCCGCAGTACGGAAGGCGTATGAACCTCTTACCGGACACAATTCCCTTGTGCAGAGAGAGAATTTTGACAGAAGATTGCACACAGAGTTTCATCGAAAGGCCATGCTGAAGTATGTCGTCGAGCCCAAGAACATTCCGTTCAGAGAAGAAGCGGATCGGATGGAGGCGGGTTGCTACTTGAATCCCTCGGATGTTGGTTTTGCCCTACAGTGGGAAAACATCAAAGACCGGAACAACGAACCGCTCGAGTGCGCGCGAGTCATTGACGAGTTCTCATACGGGTACATGGTCATCTACAAACCTTGTGACTGGGTCTGCAGTAACGAAAGTACGCAAGCATGTCGAAAACCGCCGAAAAACCCAAAGGACAAAACCAAAAACCTCGCAACCTGGCTCGTCGCGAAGTTTGGGGGCAAATACCCCTTCTTGTGCCACAATTACGGGGTATTTTAGTCTGTTTCATGCTTGGTGGAAAAAAATAGAATTGTCGCAGCTTGTTGTTGTGATTATGCTCTACTATAGTGTCGAATTCCAGGCTAGATTAGGATGAAGTACTCTTTTAGGGTAGCGTAGCGGCAAGTGAACAGCAACATGTCGCTCGGCGCGCGGGCTCTCGTCATAGTGAGATGATTTATCACTACCGTGTTGCTTCTCTGTCCGCGTACCCACCAGTAAGTATCTTTTCTTGTCGTGGTAAATCCATTGCGAGCCCGTAGATACATACTGCTGCTGTTGTATGCAGCTTCAAATTCATGAGAAGCTATCGTTTATTTTGCTTGCTGCTGCAAGGAGGGAGGGTTTTGGTTTATAGCATTAGCACGAACATCAATGGGTTTCAGCACCAGAGCTATAAAAGAACAATTCAACACCAATAACCGTGATGAATCTCAGATCTTCGACTCTCGTTCCTGTGATGACGCAGAAACAGCCGAGCGTGTGGACAAGAGCATTTTAGACGCCGTGAGAACCGGCAGTCAGTTCGGGCTTCTGCAGCGTCTGGACAGGGAGACCAGTGGTTGCATTCTTGTCGCCTGCACCGCCGAGGCCCATAAGATGTTGCGTGATACACAAAATCAGCATATGTGGCACAAAGAATACGAAACTCTCGTACACGGGACAGTTCCGCCGAACATGTGGCGGGGACAGGTTGCAGTCCCTCTAAAGAAGCGAAAGCTCACGGATAAGAAAGTAGCCACGAAGAACATCTTTCATCCACCGGGGAAGAGCTATAACTTCTCGAGCAGGGGCGGAATGTACGTCACGATCTGCGACAGTTGCAAAAAGAATTACGACAAGATCAAAAAGCAATACGGGTACTACTGAAAACTCTTGCTAGCTCAGACTCAGTTACATTGCTGCTTGTTGTTTCAATGCAGAGCTTTGATTGACTTTTTTTGCATTTGTCTGGTACTATCAGTCGGCTTATTTCTGGCTTTGAGGTGCGCGTTCTCCACACATTCTTTCCGGTAGATCGTCCTTAGGTCCGTTTCAGTGCGGCGTCCGCGATCAATAACAAAAACTTTCGCCGATCGCAATTTCTTGCGCAGGTACAACGACTTCGAGATGGAGTCGCAAATACTCCCGAGATGCATATACAAGGCGGATAGGGAGGGGAAGGACATGGCAGCGGAAGTTGAACCCTGGGAAAAGAAACTGTACGGGTGGCAATGCTGCGAAACGAACTATTCATCCCAACTGACGTACGTTTACACTGTTTTTTCTGTCTTCGTTTTCTACCTGTATCTATGGAATGCTACGTTTTGTATTCTTGTTCCGCTTCGACCCGCACCTGCTTGTGCTGCGCGTTTCAAAACACGGTGAAGCCGACAGATGGTAACCGCGGGGAAGCATTGTTCTCGATTAGATTTGCATTCCAATTGGCACAGCTGCTCTTGTTGGCTCAACTTCGTTTGTGATACGAATATACCCTGGACAACAGCTACAGCAGCACGGAGGCAAATCTCCTACAAGAAAAATTCTTTTTCATATGTCGTCTCGATCAGGTACGAAGTTGTGGAGTATTACAAGTTCAATTTTCAGAACGAAGATTTTCCCATGACCCGTTTGCGCATCAAGTTGCACACCGGTCGGACACATCAGATTCGCGTCCACATGAAATACCTACTCGAGGTGCTGGCAAAGCGTACCTCGCAGACGCTCGGAGGGCTAGTTGGAGATTTTTGCTATAGTCACGGTCATTACAAAATGGACGACCAGGACAAGGATTACGAATCCCGGTTGCAAGTCGCGCGGGCCGCCCAGAAAGAGGTGGACGATGCAGAAGAAGTGAAGAACCCCAAGTGGACCGACCGCTTAAAAGAGGAATGGACAAAATGGCGAAAAGACGCCTGGATGTCGCAATATAACTACCAGACGCGAACTGCTAGGGAGCGGCTTTTGGAGAAGGTTGACAACGCTTTGATGACCGCAGAGAAAAGACGGGTTTTCCTCCGTATCAACTGGGAATAGCCGACGCCCCGTGCTGTCGAATTACTGGACAAGTTCAAAAAGACCACGGAAAGGCCTAGCTACGAGTGACGCATGATCTTTCGTAAGCAAATAAGTGGCTGCGTGCTCCGCCAGTATGCATCCGACTTGGTTGTATGTGTATGCGTATCGTGGCGTTTAATACCGTTCTCTCGAGGGGCTCCTTCAGTGATTTACACAACTTTGCAGCAAGAGAACATCGGAACGAGAAAAGAGAAATGCAAGAAGTCGCTGGAGCATGCATTTACGACGAAAACGATGAGGGACTCAAGCAGCTTTGCTGTGAGCGCGCTTTGTTTTGCATGAATGCATGAAGGGGTTAAGCTTGACTAGAACCCCAAAACTACTCTCATTCATCATCATTATTATCATCATTTGTTTTGCAGGAATGTCGATGTGTTTAGGTACACGAATAGAGATCGATTGGCCGGGGGCGCTTTTCCGTGCATACTTGACACCGGTGTACTCGGATTTCTCACACCAGAGAGTTATGAAAAGGAAACACTCCTGCTCTTGGGAGTGAAGGCAGAGGAACTGTGCTTGCTGTCGCGTTTGTATTGTGCAACGATAATGCCGTTTTTGCCATACGCGTGTCAGAGCCTGTAAAAGCATGTTGCCCAAATGACAAAAATTGTTACTTATTTATTAGTTTCTTTTACAAGTGTAGGTACATCATGCTGTACATATCGACCCCTGTGCATGAGCATGGCACCTCTTCGGAGTGAGCTGCCGCTGGGAGATTTCAGGAGAATTTCTTTCTACCTGATCCTGACGGCTGAAAGACGCTATCTGTGACGTCGACGTGTTTGCCTATTCATGAGCCCCAGCTGAACCCTGCTACACCATAAGGCTTTACAATTTGTGGTATCAGTGTGCAGCCGGGAACGGGATGAGAATCCTGTGTCACAAGTGAATATCACTATGTATGGACTGATGTCTCCGATGGCAAACATCGCAGCGAGCACGTCAAAGACTGTCGCCCATCCTCCTCTTTTCATCTGGATAAAAGCGGTGGCGTCGCTGTGGAATGCCGAAAGACGCCACTTCCCCGAGTACTCGGGGATGTTCTGGGAAAGCTGAAAGTGGACAGGCAACTGGTACGTGACGAACATATTTATACTGTACGTGACGAAAAGCAGAAGACCCCTGTAGAATTTTTTTTCCTGAGGATGTATTTACTAGCTAATTTGCGTTTGCAAGTCGGTATGGCGCGGAGTTGTTGCTACAGCAGCAGATAATTACGCACTTACCAGCTTCGGTAGAAGCAGAGTTATCGTTCCTCTGAGTGACTGAACGATATGGGCGACGATAGCAAACGATATAACCACCTAATTCTGATTGGTCATCAGGGTGACACTGAACAAATATTAACAAAATATACAGAGCGACATGTTGCTGATGGAGCACAAGATTTTTAGCGGCGCGGTAGATGGGGGAAAAACCTCCGCACTGGCAAAATTGATGGGCCAAGGCGAGAAGCTGTCCGTGTATGTGCGAAAGTGGCTGTTTGAATTTGGAATTAACAAGAAGACGGAGGACTCCTTTAAGGCCCGCCCAGGTGTTACAATCTCAAATGTTGCGGGAATAGAAGTGAAGATTTGTGACTGTGATGCAAAAGCTGCACGGTGCAGTACTTACTTTTCTCACAGCAATACGCATGACAACCGCGGGAGCACCAAATCGCACTAGAATCCGGCTAAATATATATTGCAAAAAGTGGACCAGGAACATTCTGCTGTCCCTCATGCTGATCATGCAACACAAAATCCACTGTAGGTGATGTCCCTGGTTTTTTTTTCGTACGGCTGGGCTTCGGATCCATACTTATGGTGTAGCGGCACAGTCTGTTATATGCAACACAAAATGCAGACTCTATTGTAGTGCTTGAGATTGGAAAACTTGAGCGGGTTATATCCTTATTATACCACTTAAGCAAGAAGGAGTTGGAGCAGTTCGTTTCGCTTTGGCACGCCTTCTGTCCGATGAGCGTGAAGATAAACCCAGCAAAAATCCCGGGCGGAAAAAAGGAAGTGATCTGGACGTCGGAGGCTCAACGGGCGATGAGTAACTGGGGTAATCTATTACATGTACCAGTCGGCGTACCACCTCACCTCCAGCCTGGTTTTGCATCTGCCCGAAAATGATGGGCATCTATTGCCTGTGTCGGCTCGGAATGTGTGCTTCTTTGTTCCGCTTGTGCATATGCGGGCGAATAAAAGTCTGATATACAACTGGAATGACAAGTTCTAAGCGGTTGCGCCTTGTTGAGAATCGGCAGTACGTATCTATATATTCTGTGCAGAACTACAACGAAAACGCTTGAAAGTGGAAATGTCACGAAGTATGTATTCGGCTTCAAGATAGGTCTTAAAGTTGCGCCAGAAAAGCATTCGTTCCTGAATGGACTGGATATACGGTGGGTACGGGACGTTTTTGCACTCGATACGTGATCTCCAAAAAAGACCATACGATGATGGTAGATCGCACGCAGAAACGCTGGAAGGCGGCGCACGTGATTGAAGAGGTCACGCGTGGACAGCGCGACCCCGCAAGAATACGAGAAAAGTTCAAGGAAGTATATCTAGCGTGGCACCGGGAAAAGCACAAGACCGCTAGGGAGAAGGATAGGCTGCATGACATGAAGCAAGCGAAGTGGCCCCCGGAAAGTGAAAGTCTCGCAACCCCGTTCTCTGACGACAAGGGACCCGAATTCCACCCCTACCCCAGCAGCGCGCCTGACATCGATGAAAAACTCGTTTTGCCAATGGGGACATGGTATGAAGTACCTTAGACGGCAACTTGGATTGAAGTTTTTTTTGTCTTTAGTTTCAATTCTCATTGGGATAAGTATCTTTGATGGTAGGAGAAGTCGCTCACAAAGAACGGGAAGACTTTTACAAATCACGCGACCACGACATCGTCATCGATATCAGACTTTACAAATCACGGTCTCTATCAGGCTTCCGCTGGAATTTCCGGAAGTTACGAAAGCAGGAGTGATCCCAGCAACGAATTCGGCAGGAGAGAAGACATACTTTCATGAGGTGGGGGTGCCGGAGGGCTGGTATTTGGTGAAAAGCGAAAATACCCACTTTATGGATTCATAACAGAAGAAAAAACAGACTGCCTCGTCCTCTTAGAGATGCAAAAACACTCTCAACGTTTTTCAGCATGATTTGGACTTTCCGCTGAGAAGTGGCGCATGGACCTTCGACTCGTATCTGATTTATCAAGTTTGCTATGGCGTCTTCTTGCGTTTTCTTTTTTTTCACTGACTGCACTTCCTTGTGACGGGGCGCGCGGAATTGTCTCCGGACGAGATTCCATTTGTATAAATAGTTCTGAAAATGGGAATGGCAACTTCTTGCTTCTAGCAATAGAAAAAGAGACCACAGCAACTGATGGCTGTGCATTCATTTTCATTTTTGGGCACGGCGTAGTCTGTTTATTGTGTGATAACGCAAAAAAAACCACTTGGTATTTTTTCAATCCGGACGACGAATACGAGAGGTTGCAAGCCGCGAAGAAGGAAAAGAATCCCGCCGCGATGACGGCTAAACTACTGAAAGTACAACCGTGGATGAAGGCGTTCCATCACATCCACAATCCTTTGGATGCCGCAAACCACCCGAATATAAATGGCCTGACGGACGCGCGGCGTGCTCGAGAAAAACTGCGTCTGAGGGAAGGTTGGGAAGTGTGTACCGAAGAGAGGACGGATCCAAAGACCGGGAAGAAAGTACTACGCAAGCACTGGCAGCAAAGGGACCCGAAAACCGGTAAGTGGGTGTCTGATAGAAAGGATGGACGCCCGACAAGGTTTTTTGATCCTTTTGAAGCGATGATTACCGAGGCTGAATTTGCGGAGAAGGAAAGACACACGCGGAAAAAATGGATCTGTGAATTCGTCACAAGTTGTATGAACTACGACTCGATCTCGTGGTTCACGGCTTGGTACGATAGCAATGTGAAGAAGCGAAACGACAGGGAAGGAGAAGCCCGCGCGAAGCGCCGATCGGGCTCAGGAGACGAAAGAGAGGACGAGCGGCCTGCAAAGCGCCGCAGGCACGACGAGGACAACGCAAGTTGGAACAACTCGTCGCGAGGGGACGCTTCCCGGTATAACGACGACTCGTGGGAGGTGGACGCAGGAGGCTCCTTCGCGGCCGTCGACGAGGACGACACGAGGGGTAAGGCAACCGGGTCGGCCAAGCGCCCGCGGTATGTTCACGACCCGACTTGGGCCGACGGGTGGAATCTGCCGTCGACAGTCGACGCGAAAAAGAAGAGTGCAGAGCCCGTCGTGTGGGTCAACAAATCGGGGATCAACTCGGCATGGAACAACCGCAGCAGCAGGGACGCTGGCGACCACGACGGGCGCGACAAGAACAGGAACGCTGCATCGTCGTCATCATCATGGAATAACGGAAGCGGCCGGACGGGGGGGAGCAGCTACGCCGACACGAAAGATTGGGACAGCGCCGCTGGCACGCGGGACAAGGACGTCGGTGAGAAGTGGTACGAGTACGAGAAAGTAGAGGGTAATTGGCTGAAGAAGGAGAAGAAGACCGGCGATTATTGGTTCCACGACAAGAAGGAGAGGACGTGGTGGCGCAGGAAGAAGGACGAAGACGTCTGGTATTACAAAGACAGTAAGACCGACAAGTGGGTGAAGGATCCGGACCACAAGACGAAAGAAGCACCAGCCACAAACGGCGATCGTCATAGGAGGAACTCTGACGGAGCAAGGCGAAGCCAGGAGGGCGCGACGCCGGACCAGGCGGCGATCGATGACATGTACGCCGATTTTTGGAACGACGAAGGCGCTACCCTGTTCCCCGGTAACAACGGAAGTGCGGGAGACGAAAACGGAAGCAAAAAAGCTGCGAATAATGCGGATGCAGACGGAAGCTGGGGGGAGAAGCGGGAAACCGGAGCCGGAGCCTCAACACAGGACTCTGCTGCAAAAGTTTTGGGGATACCGCTGGCCGACCTGCTGCCCATTGCCGAGAAGAAACTGAAGACCTTGCCGGCGACGATATGAAACGAAACAACGCTTGTCCTTCGCGCAGCGAGTGTAGTCAAAAAACAAACATAGTGTACTAGTAGAAACTGGCGGGGGCCCGCATGTAGTTGTAACAGAGTTTCTATGTAAGTTCTTTGGGCATTATACGAACAGAACCGTATTACGTGCAGCCCTAAAGCTAGCCCCTCACAAGATCCGGGATGCTAGCCGATCACTTCAGCAGCGATCAGAAGGTAGGGCCTACCTCGTCAGAGATTTTGTTTATCTGATGATGATGATCTTGTCCTTGTCGCTGTGCCATCACTATGATCCGTATCCATGAAGGGTCTTTGAAAGCCTCTAGTTGTAGATAGCATACACCAAAGAGGTCTTGAATTGCGGGGTGTTTGTAATAGGTGTTTTTTTCGTTTCATAACATTGGGACTGGAATGCAAAACCGAAGGGGCCAAATTTGGAACACGCAATAGAGGCCCTTGTGCGAGAACGGCAACCGAACCAGGGGGCAGGGGCAACTGTTCGGGTAATTTTAAATGGTCTTGTGTACTATGTCTTTCTTCTGCTCTTCTTGCTGTTGCTGCAGTAATTCACTGCGCAGGATTTTCAGACCATGACCGAGGTTCTGCTAAGATGTGAAAAATATGTTTCCTACGCTTGAATTACACAGGATCCGCAGCACGATACATTTGGCATTCGGGTGCCGGACCACTTCTCAGAGCATTGGGGATGGCCAATACCGAACGAGTGCCACGAATTTTTCACCAGAAAAGAATCCACAAGCCGGCCCGGTGTGTTTTATTTTCAGCACAATGTAAACGTCAACGAAACAAGACGGAAGAGGCCGCCGAGATTCGATATCGACCAGCCACCAAACCTTCCAGCAGGGTATGCATTCATTAAGGGTTTGCGTTTATGATTCAGATGATGTATCCGGTGTCAGAGTTCCCCGCCTGTGGCCACAGGAGCACGCATTCCTATTGAATTAGACATGCAAGGATGTAGTTGTTTGAGCTTAAGCCTCCTCTGATTTCCGTGGCGCCATAGGGTATGCGCTCTTACCTGCTTTTCACACACTCTCATCCGCTTTTCCTCGTACTACTTTAATCAATTCAGGTGGATGAAAGTGAAGTCCACGAAAGTGTGCGGAAAGTACTACTTCAAGGACCCTGAGGGCACAGTGCAGCAACAACATCCAGTAACCGGGAGAACATGGGAGCAAAATTTGCGCCTGCCGCCGCGTTGGGAATTCGTCGAATCCAAGAGGACCACGGCGCGCACGCAGGGCGTTTACTACTTTCGGAACCTCGACACCGGCGCCGCGCAGTATCCTCACCCGAAGGAGGAGTATGAAATGTTCACCTTCTTGACCATGCCATGGTTTCGCGACCCTGAGGACTACGTCGGACACGAATATCTACTGTGGCAACCGCCTGCCAACGCGCTGCCAGCCGGAGCCGCTTCTGCCGTCAGCTCTGTCGTGTCGAATAACGTCCCTTCTGGTGTGGTGAATCCGAGCAGCGCGGCTTCTGCTGTTGCGCAGGCGAATATTAAAGCACCAGGCGAGCAGACAGGCGAGGGCTCCGTGAAGCTAAAGCTTCAGCTTCCTGACGCGAGCGGAAACCTGGTGGACATTGACACTGACGCGCTCTTCTCCTCGTCAGTGCAGCCGGGAGGACCACATCCCAAGAACGCTTTGCCGCCGCCGCCGAAGCACTTGCCGCCACCCCGTGCACCGCCCGTGTTACAAAAGCCCCAGGTGAATCGCCCTCCGGTCGAGTTCATCAGCAACGTGCAGCCTTTGAAGTACCCCACACCCGAAAAAAGGAGACCCAAACCCGATCCGCCCGCTGCTGCGTCGATCGCTCCGCGGCCAGTCGTGAACCCGAGTCCGGTGGCCAAGCCCGCTGCCGCACCCGCGAGTTCCCTTGCCGCACCACTGAATCTCGCCTCGGCCGCGGCATCCAACAAGGAGGAAGTCGTGTCCGCGGCAAAACCCGACGAAAAAGCTTTACCTGACGATAAAAAAGTTGAACCCGCAGCGGCACCAGACGAAAAAGTTGCGCCTGCGGTGGAGAGCAGTCCTGTTGGACATGCACCGAAGCCCGAGCAGCCTCCTGCAAGCGGAGAATCTGCAATCGCCGCTCCCCCAGCGGAGAAGAAAGTCGCAGGGGAACAAGCACAGGAGCAGAAGGCAGAGGGAGGCGATGAAAAGAAAGACGATAAGAAGGAGAAAAAGGACAAGAAAGAGAAGAAAGATAAAAAGGAGAAAAAAGACAAGAAGGACAAAAAGGATAAAAAAGACAAAAAGGACAAGAAGGACAAAAAAGGAGACAAGCACGAATCGTGGAAGGAAGCGCAGCTGCAGGCGGGTGATCTCCCGAATGTAGACGAGTGAGTTTCCGCCGCGCGGCCATGTTACCTATCCACCGTTGTTGTGCTGTGTCCAGGGTCGCGGAGAACTTCTTGGGCGCTGGCTTAGGGCGAAGGGCTACTTACTTTTTTTTCTGCCGACGTTCCTGTCGGTGCTGCTTGTTCGCAACAACTTGTTTCCGGTACATACAATTCGTTTCTGGGCAGCTACCCTTAGCTGAATATTTTACTGTTTGATCAAATATAGCGACACACAAGGTAGCTGTAGTGCAAAAATACTGGTGCCTGATAAAAGTAGTGTATTGATGATATTAGGTTATGCAAGCATAATGTACTTGTACAGAATCAACATCATGAAAATGCACTTTGCCGCGAAGCATTTGCTTTTGCTTGGACTCCTTTTATATCACGATCATTTCCGTCACGTGCGGGGTCGCTAGCAGTTGCTGTCGACGTACACAGAATGACAATAATCACAAATTATCTGGACGAGAATACTGCTGCGACTGGGTTTTGCGATACGAAGCGAGTCCGTCGAATCATATCATATGGAAGGATACTATCACTTGAGCACGGCAGCGTTTTTTTGTCCAGTGAGCCTTGTTAGTATGATCAAGAGTTTTGGTGTGTTCTCTTTCTGCTGTCATCAAGTACGCCGTTACATATTTTGCGCGCGAGCATCTGTTGAGGTAGTGTGGTAGTCGGTAGGCGCGTGGCAAGTTTCGATCACAGTGGATCAACGACCATGGGACGCGCTTCAAGATGTTGATTTCATGCACTTGCCTGACAGGATCCGCGACTTACTTTTCGAAACGCAAGACTTGTTACAGAGAGTGGAATAGTACCACGACGTGCAATCTGACATAGCAGGTTCACAGCTGGTTGTGTCGCATCCCTTTGTCTCTATTTTTCAATGGGACTGTATTGATCACGGGTTTGTCGAACTTTTCAGGCACACCTTACAGCTTCCCGAACCTGATCTTTTTTTTCCCAACCTGAAAGAGCAATAGAAAGGAGATCCATCTTTATCAGTTCTGATATGTCTCAGTTTGTTTTTAGCACCTATCTACTCAGTAGCACCTACCTTCTGCGCCTCTACTACGTTTTTCCTGGACACTACCTACCCGCCCAGAAATGGTGTGCTGCTGTTTTCATCGGAAGATAGTGTCGTCGATATCAAAGGCGGAGCAAGTCTAGACTGTGACTCGATTTATTCGCATTTTTTTGTAGTGGCCCCCGCGGTCTCAACGATTCAATAAACATTCGGCGGGACGACCATGCAGCAAGGTGTTGCGCGCACCGTTCGGTCCGTCGCAACCGGGAGAAGCGGGAGATCAGCTTCCTCTTCGGTTGTGCGCTCATCGCGCGCTACTGGCACCAGTATCGCAGGGACCCCCCGGCTAGCTTGGACACCAGCGGTGCGGGTTCCTTCATCAGCGACGGACCAAGAATTATGTACAAGGCATTTGTCCACAACAGCCTCGGCGTCCTCGTCATCTTCGCTGTGGCTGAAATACTCCACCTCGTCATCAAAGGGCCTGTCTGGAACTTCCTTTCTAGACCGTTCCGCTCACAGACCCCCTGGGCTTTCTCCCACACATAGCAGTTGTGCAGCGCCGCGTTCTTCCCCATCGTCTCCGAGCACTGCAGGGTACTCCACTACGTCCGTTCGCGGTTTCGGGTCTGCCAGCGAAGTGGCAAATCAGGAATCAAGACCAGCCGCATCTTCGCTGGGCGACGGAAAGCAGCTCCAGGGTGATGCCCCGCGTTTCAAAGTTTCCAAAGAAACCAGACGAAAGATAGCAGAGGGCGGAGGCAAAAATGGACTTTCAAATGGCGAATCAAGCAACGGGAACGGCGCGGCACAAAAAATGGGTACTAATGGCGCATCGAGTACCGGTGCGGCGGCCGGGGTAAGTAGTTCTTCAAGTAGTGGTTCTCCACGTGAGGGATCATCGTCTACCGTAGCGGAGGGGGAGCCCCCACACAGCGCCGCTGTCTCTTACGACTATGGATCAAAACGGCGCACGCAGGCCCGCAAGGCACTCCGCGAGTACTTGAGTCCCCAGGGCGTCAAGGCGAGTTTCAGTTTTTGCAGTGTGAAGGCCAAAGACTATGCCATAACGGTCGCTGGGACCGTGGGGAAATACACGAAGATAGTAGCAAACGGATTCCTCAAACTTGCGCGGGATCCGGGCGTAGCGAAAATCTGGTGGAAAGACACCAAGCACGCAGTTCAGCACTTCATCGAGTGGAATAAACAAGGTACATAGAATGGCCACGAGTGCTTTTGATTCAAACTCAATTTTTGAGCTGGAGTCGTCGCACGATTAATGAGCATGCTGGTCTTCAAACGTACTATGTGATGACATGAAGAAAATGTTGAGCTTCTAGGCAACAGTAAAGCCTACTGTGTGCGTACTAGAATCAATGGCTGTCGCTCGAGCACCTCCAAGCACGCTTTGATTTTGTTTTCAGCGAGACGTTTCTACCACAGGTTTTGGTTTACTGATGGCGAATGTGAAACTAGCCAAGCGGCTGATGCGCAAGAAGTTTCGCGGCCACCAGCTATCGTACCGAGACCGCAAGATGCTCGTTCGGACCCTCGCGGACATGGGGAAATTGATACCCTTTTCGGTGTTCATCATCGTGCCATTTGCCGAAGTCTTTTTGCCTTTTGCCCTGTACCTCTTTCCCAACCTGATGCCCTCAACTTTCCTGGAGCGGGGCGAGCGCAACGAGAGCATGGTGAAAACGTTGAAAGCTAAAAAGGAACTTGCCGTTTTCTTCCAAGAGGTCGTCGACGAAACGACCAAGGAAGCTATCTTCCAAGCCTCCACGGAAACAGAAGAGGGGCTCACGCTTGAGGAAACGAAAGCGGAGTTCAATGCCTTCCAGGCGAAGCTCGAAGCTCACGAATTTCCCACCGCACAAGAGGTACTTTTCTTGTACCTACGAGTGAGTAGTTTCCCGTTTGTTCCTGCTGCACTGGGCAAAACAGAAGCATATTTTATTAAGCTGCAGCGCCAAAAAGGCCGAAGTGGTACGAAGTCGTTCGGTACAAAGAAATATCATTCTCCAACAGGTGTTGCGGTTTTCGCGGATGTTTGGGCAGTGGTTCACTTTCGAAAATCTACCGGAGGAGAAGCTGCGCATCATGGCCGATATTCTTGGTGTCGACGACACCGCTCTGTTTCGGTCCCATTTGAACATTCGCCTCCGCCACCACGTGAACAGGTATCGCATGCAGTGTTGTTTGTCTTTGCTTTATACATCTGTCCTGTGCAGCATCTGCATGAAGATGCTTCGAACTACAAATTATAAACCACCCTTCGTCTATACGAAGTTTTAGGTTTTGACACTCACGTTGATAGATACATACAATCTACTATCGCTTAAGCATGTCGTGCGAAAGGCAGCTCCTGCACTGACACCGAGGAATCCGCAATGCACCAGGTTGCGGCGAGAGGACCGCGAGATTCTGTTTGAAGGCGTGGAGTCCTTGTCCCGCGAGGACCTGATCGACTTGTGTCGAGCGCGGGCGATTCCGTTCACCGCGGACGTGTCCGTCGAGTCCATGCGTGAGGGGTTGACCTCGTGGCTGCAGCTGTCCAGCCATCGGTCTATACCGGTCTCGGTGTTGCTCTGGATCCAGACCTACTACCTGAGTGGGAAGGGCAAGTTAGCGGAAGAGGAAATTCTCACGTCCGTCCAGCAACAAGAGAAGGAGCTGGAGAAGACGCGAAAGGAAGCCGCAACCTCGTCGGAAGGCTCAGCGGAGAAAAACATTGCCGATGTCTTGCTTCACGTCACTGAGTTGCCACCCGACATGTCACACGCAGTGGCGGAAAAAGGTAGTTGATTTTTTCATCACTCTGCACAAAATTTGAGATGAATTACGGGCCCGGAAGGTCCTTTCTGTATTTATTTTGCATTCGTTTTTCAGAAGGTAAGGAGGTCTTCGAGATGATCATCGCGATCGCTTTGAACAATGAAGCAATACTCTCACGACCTACAACAGGTTCTGACCTAGCGACCTCTACTGCAGCAAGTGGTGCCGCAGTTTCACCGCCAGCGGGTGGCACAACAGCAGAGGCGGGAAATAAAACAGCAGCGTCGACTCCGACGAGGCCGAGGAGTGCGGTGCAAGAGGCTCTTCTGGCGTCCGCCTCTCCTGAAGAGCGGGAGGCTGCGAAGCGGGACGCGCAGGCCGAAGCCGAGCGCGCCCAGGAGATGGCCGAGCGGCTGCAGCGCACAAAGGAGCTGGAGGACGAGTGTCGCCGCATCGACGAAGAGAACCAAAAGCGGCGGATGTCGGAGCTGATCGAGCCCGACTACGAGGCGGAAATTCTGGACTCGGTCGGCCACGAAAACTTCGCCGAACTGGCGGACGCACAGCCCGGCTCGCCGGAGGAGCAGCTCCGGCGGAAGCAGTCGTTGGATGACCACCTGCTGGCGGATTCGGGGAAAGAAGTGCTTCTCGAGCGGATGGACCGCCAGGAAAGCGAGATGCGGACCTTGCGCCGCATCATCGACAAGCAAGCGGACCTGCTGCATTCGCAGCTGAACAGTCTTGCCGCGCTGCGCGAGGCCGTGGCAGTGACTTCCGCGGCCGGCAGCTCCGAGGCGGACGCGGTCACCGATCGAACGCAGCAACTAGAAAGGGTGCTGCTGGACCAGAAATTTCGGATCCACGAGGCCGTTGCCCAGTTCAGCACGGGGCTGCGGAGCGTGGAGTCAGAATACCAGAAATGGGAGCGGAAAAGGTCGCTCAGAGGGAATGTTGCCGCAGCTACGGTATCGCGAAGTAGTGCTAGAGCGCATGATTCAGTTCCTTCCTATAGCGGAATGATGTCCGGCTCCGGTGGTGCTGGTAGCGGGAAGAGCAACTCCTCTTCGCTGCACGGTCTCAGTGTCGAGGAGCAAGTTGCGGTGGAACTGCAAAATCTCAAAAAGCACGGTGGACAGACGCTGCCGCCAATAGCCGAAACTCCCGCTGCTTCCGAAGACGATTCTGCGGCGGCGTTCAAAGCAACTGCGGTGGCTGCGGTCACAAACGGAGGCACAGGAAAAAAATGAGCGGTGGCTCGTCGTCCCTCTAAGTGCTAAAAAAACCACAAACCAGCGCAGGATGAGGCAGACTGTATGATAAAAGAGACTTGCGCAGCACGAAATGAATATGGAAAAGAACAACCCAAAGACGAGTTTGGAAACTCTTCTTTGTAAGCGACACATGAATCAGTTTACAGGAAACTGGTCAAGCAAGTTGAAAACTGGTTTGCGCCTTCCTCTGAATTTTTTTCTGCTTCACTTCTTGTTCTACTGGTTCGTGTTAAAGATCAGCCGGGCGAGGATCAACCGGAGCTCAGAAGATCAGGACAACTAGTGGCACCGTATCTAAAAGATGCGTCTTTTGTGCCGATGCTGGCCAGCACTTTTGATGGCAGCTCTGCGGAGCTGCAACGACAATAGAAAGCTGAAGGCTTTTTAAGTTGTTTTTTTTTAGAGTAGCACGTATCTATGAATCTGGTGCACCATAGGAAGGACATGATGGTCAAGTGAAAAGAACAAGAAGCAAATCAATGCAGCTACCTCGTTTATTGCATGATTGCTTTTTTCTTTTTTTCCGTCTACAACTTCCTAATTGATATCTTGACTCTAAGTCGCTTTTCTAGAAAGTCCAACCAGAGCGCCAGCTACGGGTTTTGTACGGAAGATCATATCTTTTGAGATCGTTTGAGCTACAAAGAAAATGCTAGACGACGAGTACCTGATCGGAGACAAGGAGGATGCGGCGCCTGCGCCGAAGGCCAAGGCGAAGGCCAAAGTGCGTGCGAAGAGGCAGCCGAAGCGAGCACAGGCGACCCCCACGTCCACTCCCGCGGTCGGCACCCAGCAGAGTTCACAGCAACCGGACTCGGCGCAGCTTCCCACGGGCGACTCACAGGTGATGTCGCAATCGCGTCGCGGAACCACGAAGGAGCAGCTTACCGTCGTCCTAGAAATCTGCACACTGGTTCCAGAAGCGTTTACGCGGGAAATCAAAGATGCCAAGTTCCGGTCGAGCGTGCAGTCGCTCGGTGAGTTTTCGATACAGGAACAGGCGAGCCCCTTCCCCTTTGCGTTCCTCCGCACCTCGTGGGACTACGCCTCAGCCATGGATGCGGTGTTTGGCGACGCAAGTAGTGTGAAAAATAAATCAAGCAGTAAAACTACACCCGGCGGAAAACAACCAGCAGAACAACGTCAGGAAATAATACAACAAGACAGCTACGATCCGCGGCTTCCCTGCGTGATGGGTTTTTTTGATCGCACGGTGCGCAATGCCACGGACGCCCAGCTCCGTGAGCTGATGGAGAATTTGAAGAAAATGCAGATTCAGCGCCGAGCCGCGCGGGCTGTGCTGGTCGTGAAAAGCGACGATCGGAGCACGGACTACGTTGCCGAAGGGCTTGTGCTGCACGATCTGGACATGATCGAGGTGTCTTCGCTCAGCGAAGCCGGTTCGTACGTCCTGGTTGCAGTGGAGGCGGTGCTCAAGAGCAAGAACAAAAAGACCGCGACGGGCGAATTCCACCATCGCGCGGAGGGTTGCAAGTCCGTGCCCACGAACGTGGAGGGCATCGGCGCAATGTACGGGAACTGGTGCTCCATGCTGATGGAGATTCCCGGTCTCGGCGAGGAAATGGCGAAGGTGGTGGCTGAGAACTTCAAAACGCCACCTCTTTTGGTCAGCGCAATTCTGCAGGACGAAGCCAGAGCCTACGGCAATGTCCTTAAGCAGCTGGAAAATCTTTTGGTTCCCCAACGCGGAAAGAACGAAACGCGGCGGCTCGGACCCGCTCTGGCCAATCGCATCGTCCAGTTCTTCGCGAGTGACGACCCGGAGGAGATCATAGCGGGATAGGGCTACCTCAGTGCGGCTGCATCGTGCCACGTGTTTCATCCGAAGTACTCTCGTAAATATGCGCAGCATCTTCGTATCTATACGCATCTATCGCCATTCCCCGTCTTTGCAACGGTCTCCGTGCTGCACTTGCATTTTCACTGACACAGTGCGTGGCTGTGACCTCGAATAGGGCCACGCTCACTTAGTATTTTTTCGCTGAAGAGAACGTACGGAAACGAAAAGCTTTCCGGGGCTTTGAGGTCGAAACGAATGATCGTCATTAGATAGAGGGTCTCTACTTCCTTGAAGATAGAAGTTTGTTCGGGGCAAAAGGGAAAAGAGATACACGTAAATCGCAACTCGCTTATCGAACTCGAGTGATTTGTCACAAAAAGACGAGGTGGAGAAGTGCTAAAAATGAGGCTCGTTTCTAGCTGTTTTGCTTTTATCGTGGTCGTCGACATCGAAAAAGACAAAACGAGCACTATGCCCTGTGAGAGTTGATTCGTTGTTGCGAGGAATGACCTCTTGACCTTTAATGAAATTACCCTTAACGACCAACCTTGGAATGTTGCAATGTTGAAGTAGTCGATTAGCATTACAAGGAGAAAGAGAGAATCTGAAGAAATAGAACGAAGCGTGGCACTAATCACGTTGCTCGTATAATTGAATCATTGACCACCTCCCGGGCAGCAGGAAAACGCGAATCGGAACCTGTTCCCACAATGGACGGCGTGGACGGTGACGCTGTGTCGATGGACGGGTCGCTCGTGCTTCTGGCAAAGGCCGCCACCGTGGCCAGTTGCATCGTGACGTTCACTCCTCTCCCCTACGTGTACCACATCATCGTTACGGACGGGGACTCGATCGCGGAAATGACGAAGACTTTTCGGCAGAAGATGAACTTCTGCCTGCCCTACGTGTTTTTGTACATGAGTGCGTTGTTCTGGACCTTCTACGGGTACACCACGGAAAACAGCGACATTCTGTTCATCAACGGTCTCGGCGTGGTGTGCTTCGTCGTGTACCTGGCGGTCAGCACCTACTACATCGAGAAGAACATCGCGAAGCAGCGTTTGGAGGAGCTGAAGTTGGCCGCGGTGAACAATCAGTACGAACAGCGGCTCGACGTTTTTGCCTCCTCCGCGTCGTCCCAGAAGGAGCGGGGAGACGACGTCCCGGAGCAGGTCACCTTCTCCCCCGAGCGTCCGCCCAACGACTCACCGATGTCGTGTTCGACTCCGGCGCCAGCGCATGCGGCGGAGTCAAAGTCCTCGTCGAAGTCCTCCGCCAGTGCGGGGGGGCCCTTCGGTGTCCAGCGGGGAAGCTTCGAGCGGGATGATTTGTTCAGCTACGCAAAGCTGGACTCGATGTTCGTGTGGGGGCAGAGTGGGGGCGGGCGCTCCCACCAAACTGCAAATATTAGCTCCTCGTCCTCCTCGGGAAGTAGCGATCAGGAGTCGCAGCTGTCTGGCTCGATGAAACATTCCACGTCGTCGAAACAAGCGGATATGAACTTTCACAGTGGCACGGAAAGCAGTTCCACCACGGTTGGCGGCGCGCTCTCGAGTACGGTGTCCGGCAGCCTGCAGGCGACGTCTTCGTCTTCTTCCTCCGACGATGAGCAGCTCGGAGCATCGTCGACCTGGACTCCAGGTCGTACAGCCGCCGATCTGGAGCAAGGGGCTGGCCACGAAGAACAGCACCCGGCAATAAACTTGTGTACGGACGAGACCGAACCGCTCCTGTCCGGTGGGAGCAAGGCAGCGTCAGCGCACAACGACGAAAGCTGCCATGGTGCGCACCAGCCGCACGACTTTTTTTTGCAAGACGGTGCTGGGACGAGGTCCTCGAAACATGTTGGTGCCACTGCATCTACTTCGGAGGACCCGGTTATGTTTTTCCAGGCGGAAGAAAAAGTGAAGCGGCGGATGCAGTTTTCCTTTCTGTCGGCTTTCAACACGACCATGGTTCTCGGGACACTGCTATTTTGTGTGGGCGTCCTGAACATGAACGCGCACGAAGACCACGCACAGAAGTTGCTCATCCAAGAAGTCCACCACCAGAAGCACTTGCGCGAAGAAATCAAGGGCGAGACCACGACGGCTGTCGCGAAGCAACACGACGTCGGACAGCAGGACATCGTAGAGGCGAAACCTCCCGCAGGCGAAGCGAGCGTGGTTTCATCTCAGCAGAGCAGTGCACAGACGATGACCAAGGAGGTATCTCCGAAGCCGGAGAGCGGTGTTGACGCGGTGAAAGTGCAAGCATCGGAAGAAGGGACTCGTGCGTCGGAAGCGGACGCTAGTACCCCCCAGAGCCAACAGCCTCTGGAAGGCGCACCTTCACACGTCAGTGAGGAAAACAGCGCGGTTCGTCAGGTGAACGTGGTTCGGGAAGGTGATCAAGCACCACGGGCATCAGGGGTACTAGATGCCAAGCCCGTTGTGAAAACCGCCCTGCGTGGCACGTCGCGGAGCAATGCACGCGCTTCAGGCACAGCAGGTATCGCTTTGCCCAACAAGTCCGATGTTGAGCCGGTTCAAGTGGCTGCAGCTGAAAACCCTACAACTGTTGAAACGAATAAGGGCGGCTCCACGCCGCAACCGACCGAAAAACGGATGAAAAAAGACGAGTCAGTTTCGATTGTGATCAAGAATGAACCTGCGAAGGCGCCGACAGGTGGGGCAGAAGACACGAAAACCGGAGAAAAGAACAACGGGGCAGCTGCAAGTGACGATGGCGACACCGTGTTAGTGATTCACAAAGGATCAGCAGATGCGAGTAGCGGGGGACCCACTCCGTATTTTGGACTTTTTTTGATTGTTGTTTCATCACTGCGCTCATCAATCCATGTATCATGTGCTTGTTTCCTGTGTTGGCACGACATACATATTTGTGAACTTCATCTTCGCAGGTCTACGTCGTCTTCTCGCGATGCGACCGACGCCGCGGCGCCGAAGGAAATTGCTGGTGCGCAATCTGCTAACGGCGTTCCGCATGAGAGCATCCCGGTCAGTGGCGCGATCGGAGATGACACTAAATCCGGCAAGGTTGCGAGTGAGGCCGAGCAGCGCGACAAAGAAGCAGGAGACATTGTGGTGAGTATTCACCATTCGTCTCCGAAAGTACACGAGGATCGGAATTCTGGAGAGGTACTGCAAGAATCGACTGGGAACGCGCAGCCAGAGTCCGAAGGCGTCAGGCGTGGCGCAGCGGGGCCCGACCCGTCCGTTGCCGCCGACAAAGGCAGCACCGACAGCATGGGACAAGACGCGCCTACTCGAGTTGCAGCATTGTCTTCGTCCGGGGGTCAGGAGCGGGAGGGGCAGGCCCGCGAAACCACAGAAGCAGCGAAAAGTGGAACTAACGTCGTCGAGAAAACCGACGACCACGGGACAACCGTGGTAGTGGGAAAAAACGAAGTCACCATCAAGATCGGAAATAATCAGCAAGACAAAAAGGTTGACGTTGCCCCCCCGAGCTCCACCGCCCGCAAAGATCAGCAGGAAGCAGCGTCTACGGTGCTGCCGGCGGTGCCTGCACCGGAAAAGAAGGACTTGAAATTGCTCGACGACGCAGAGGATGTGGACTCAAAATTCACGACGAAGGCGTTGGTGGATCGCCTCGTCGACGATGCACCCGCCTCCGCACCAGCCAACAAGGTGGACCAACAAGAGCAAACGGGGAGTCAGAAGGCAGACGCACAGGTTCATCAAGGCGTTGCAAACGTCCTGCCGGCACTGCAGAAGTCTACTGCGACCAGTGGCCGAGTAGAGATGTTGAAACAAGGCGCAACGTCGGCGCCGGCGCTCGCTGCAGCTGAAAACGCAGATGATTCATCTGTGGCGCCACCGTTGTCGTGGCTGCAGGTCCGTTCTATCCCGCAGACCTCCATCGAGAAGGAGGGGTTGGGCCTGTCCGAACAGAAAAACGGTCCCGAGCAGAAGACGGAGGCAGACAGCATGCTGGACTCCATCCCGCACATAGTGGTCACTTCGAAAACGCTAATCTTCTCCTACCTCGGGATCATCGTACTACTACGTGTTTGATTCGTATGATAGATTTGATGAGTGCTGTTGAGTTATCGTGCATGTGGATCATCAGTGCTAATACGTTCCATTCCACTTGAAAAAATTTGAATTTCCAAACAGTTCAACATTTTCGTGTACATCGTGCCCTGTGCGCAGCTCCTGGATGTGATTGAGACGGGTGATCCAGATCTGTTCCCGCTCCCACTTCTCACGGCGGCGGGTTTGGTGAGTAACGCCTTGTGGGCGGAGTATTCGCTGAAGATTCACTCCATTCCCTATCTGATCCCGAACTTGATCGGAGTGATCTTCAACTTCTTGCAGATCACAGTTTTGTGCTACTTCATGTGGGGGGCCGCCGTCGCCTCCTCGTCTGCACCACCTCTGAATGCGGAAAAAATTCTGAACGGCAAGTCCGCGTCGCCGGCCACACAAAACGCCAACTACAACAGTCCGGGAAGTTGCGGCGTCCGCAATCCATCAAAAACACCACACCAGCAGCATCTCATCCTGTAATTTTCAATCAAAACGCGTCTCGGTTTCCGAGAAACAACTTTACTACTATGGTGCGATACAAGGCTTAATACATCATTGCAGACAAGAAAGTTTGAACTTTTCTATCAGTACGCAACTGCTGAGGATTTTCATTTCCAGCGCAGGTTTGCAACTTGAACTTGTCTTCTACAACCCCGATTTTCATTTTGCTTTTCCTTTTCCATATCGATATTTAATCTTCATCGATTGCGATCAGCGCTGCGTGTGCGTCGCAATCGAGAACTTTCTGTGCAAGAATACTCCACTTTGAATTTCCAGCGTTAAGAATACAGATTTTCGCTTCGGCGTCACAGAGGAACGGTCGTATCGTAAACGTGTGAACACTCCTAGTAGTGGCGTACGTGTAAGAGGAGGATAAGTACCCTCGTTTCGGAGCTCTACCAAAGTAAAAAACTCAAGAATACAGAGACAGGACCACTTTCTTGCTGACAGCAAGGAGCTGCACAGTCGCGAACTACGAAATTTATGTAAGTAATAAAAAAGCCCAATGCCACCCAGGCCCACCCGAAACCGTCTTGATGGATGTGTGACCTTTCATTGGACAAAAGAAAGACCCAGAGCTCACTTTTTGCCCTTTTATGAAAAGAAAGTGCTTTGCACCCGCGGCGACGGTGCGTCATAGTACCATTTGTTTTTATGGACAGATGGCAGTTGTGCGACGTCCGTGTTTTACTTCCTCTGGTTTACTTTTTGCCACCTGATAGATCCTCACTTCGTTTTGATCTGGCTCCATGCAGCAGCGATGGATGGGGCGTTGTACGTCCTCTATTTTTTGAAGAAGTCAGCGTGGACCTTCTACGAATTCAGGTTTCTGGACCAAAGTAGGTCAAAGGGGAGCGAATCAATGGGGCGACGCTAAAGCAAGAAAACTGAGGAAGGATGGCCCTTCTTGTTTGAGAGATGAACCTATTACAAAAAATCAAACTTTTTTGACTGTCGGTATTCAAATAGTAAGAGGGCAAGTGCACGAGCACCTACTCGTACGTCCGCCGATCATCCATTGTTGTCGGAAAATGAAGAACAAGCTCCTGAACCGTGCACGTGTTAGCGAATCCGAAGGAGGCTGACGGCTGATTCCTCCTGATGCTATCCCTGAGTGGGTCTGCGCTGTTTCACAATGTCGTGAACTGGCGTGATGACGAACAGCGGGTGCCAGGCCGTTTCCTGCAGGTGCTTGGCGTGCGCTCCTCGGCAAAGTCCGCGCCCGCGGGTGGCTCGAATGCGGGCGAGAGCAGCGGTAGCGAGTCTTCTGCAGTGGGAAGCAGCGCGGCAGCGGACAAGAAGTCGGGAACAAGCCAGCCCCCAAACAGCCTGCTGGGCTACCCCTTTGTGCTGCTGCGAGTACCGGTTGACAGCGCATTACTGCAAGCCGAGGACGTTCCGCAGCGACGGAAGTTTCGCAGCAGTGCAGAGCAGGACGACGAGAACGACGACGATGAACAAGACGGCAATAAGTATTCGTCACCTGCGGCGGCGCGTAGAAAGAAGAAGTCCGCACACAGTAGTCGCTTCGCTTCGCCAAAACGAAAAAGTCTGATCACGGAGCAAAAGCTGCCTCGGGTGCCGGAAGACGCGACGTCCAGTGCGCCAGCGGTGTCGGCGTCGGAGGCCGGTGGAAATCTCACTGGAAGGGGGCCAGCCACCGGAAATCTGACTGTCAGGAGAACGAGTGGAGTAAGTGAGACGAGGCAAAGATTGCGGCATGCCGGAGCCTATTTCGAGAGGCTCGCCGTTGTCTTCCGCAAATACGATTTTCGACTCCGACTTAGCGATGGCATTGTGATCGCGAGGACACCAAGCGTCGGACCACAGAACGCGGCATCTACTACTTCCGTCGATCCCGATTGCTACGTCACGCTGTTGCTCGAATATCAAAGTGCCAACTTCGACTTTCAGCGAATGCTCGCTGCGGACGAGAACTTCTACGATGCGTCGGAAGACTCCATCGAGGCTGCGTTGCAGCTTGCACTTCGGGAACTTTTCCAGTACTTGTCGGTGACTAGTGTGGAAAAGGGCGTGAATTTGTCCTACGGCAACATTCTAGCGCAAGCGAATTTGGCGAGAGCGGTGAAAGAGAACCTGCATGAAGCCGCTGTACTGTCAAAAAGTATGAGTCGGAAGCGACCCGGCGTGTTCGGGCGGCTCGTGGCGCTGGCACGGGAAGTCCCGCAGTTGTTCCGCATGGCCACGACGCTGCTCAAGGTGCCGCTTCGCGCTGAAGAAGAGTTCTTTGAATTCCTGGCGAAGCTGCTCCACGCGGGATTTTCGGTTCTGTATCTGCGCAGCCCATTTCTACCGGAAGACAAGGTGGAGGACGTCGAAGCGCTCGTGAATCTAAGCCTTGCAGAGGAACCGGATGCAGCTTCCGTTTTCGATCTGTCCCGTGTTGGTACGGGCGGCCCCGCAAGCGGAAGCGAGACTGGCAACTTGACGCCACTCGGAGGACCTGGTGCACCCGCGCAACAACTTGCGCGCTCCGCGTTGCAGACACCACGAAGCGGCGGCGGTATTTTGTCCCGCGGGGGCTCGCGCCCCGGCTCTGCGCGCAACAAGAGCGTAGCTTTTGCCGGAGGAGGATCTACAAGTGGGCCGGGAGTTGTTCCTGACGCCGGGGTCATGGGGACAGGCGTTATCATTGGCATTCCGGAAACGCCACCAGTCGAGCAGCCACCAGAAGACCTCGCTGCGGTTGCCGCCGCTGTTTCTTCCAGCAGTAGCGCCATCGGAACACCCACCACGAGCGAAGCTATTTTTCTTTCATCTGGTGCTATGCCCTCGAAGGCTGTTTCGTCTAACCGCATAGTGCCGATTGAAAAAACTACGCTTCTGGTGCAGGGCGTCGGCTTGTCGTTCACAGGCAGCAAAGCTAGCCCCAGCCTGGCAGTCGGGCAGCAGGTCAGTTTGGCGAAGGCAGTTTCGTCAAGTACCGCGGTTGTACATGAAGATGGCCAGCGCCCAGTAGTGCCACTGCCTTTAGGCACCGACGTGCAGACACAACCTCTAGGCGACGGAAAAGACGAAGTAGGAGTGTTGTACGCTGAAGCGATGAAAGGACCAGCGCAAGTAAGTAGGAAATAAGTACTCCTCCTGGGTGTAGTTCTTTTTTGCAAACTTCCTATCGATCTTCACAGAAGTCGAGCATGAAAATGGCATTTTAGCCTCTACACACGCCGGTATTCTGATCGCTTTCTTGGCACGAAACTTCTAGTTTTGCAATTCTGCCACCGAGAAGGAGTTTCCCTTTAATGAAGAAGGACAAGGAGGACTCAGCGAAGGTCATATCGCGCACCGTCGACGATTTTTTTTCCGACGCAGAAACCACGGCAGTTGTTTGCCTCGAGGCCTTGCATGAGGAGCAGAATGGAGAGGTTTTCATGGAGACCCTCCTGCAGGAGAACGGGTTCCTGATTCTTGGGCGACGACGAAAACGTTTGGATGCGCACGAACTAGCAGAGTTGATGGGATTCGGCATGCAATCGCGAGAGGAAGGATCCATCCGCGCTTCCTCCGCGGCATCCTCCAAATCATCTTCAGACTTGCTTATGCCCCCGGCGGCCGCATTCACAGACCGACCTTCCCTAAGCGGCGGGCCTCCGCCGCCTGCGGCGCCGTCCTTGTCGCTGGTGCAGCGTCTGATGGCCGCGGGAGACCAGCGGCAGAAGTTCTTAGAACAGAGCTGTGCGATTCCGCAGTTTCACCGCACGCTGCCAACGCATCTAGCCCCCAGGGACGAGAACGGGCACCTGTTCGAGAAATATCACGGATTTGTCGAGCCCGGCGCAGCAAGCACGGTCTGCCTGTGGCTGGAGCACCTGGCAACGTCGAACGTTACCATTTTTTTTGTGAAACGCACCAATGCGTTTTCGCTGTTGCCGCACCTGATCTACGGCAATTACCTGCAGCTACTTACCGACCGGACCGTTTTGCTGGCCGACCAAACCGCATCTTCCGACCCATCGTCGGCGTCTGGCGGGGAGCAGCAACGCGCTTCGTCATCTTCGAAGGAGCCCAAAACAGTCACGGTCGCCGCTCGACGGGACGTTTCGGTTCCACCCGTCCCGATTCCAGTAGAGCAGGCGTCCCCTCTCGAGCCTGTTTACACGTTTGCCGGTGGAGGTGGGGACGGATCTGCAGCGTCAACGGCAAGGTCCTCTAACGCTCAGATGCCAGGACAAATAACACCGGTGGTCCCGTTTCAACCGGAAGATTACCTAGACAGCGCCAAAATTATTATTTTGCCGCAAGCTGGTGGTGACGAGGTTGCGAAGGCGGAGGAGACGACTGCAACTACTACGGGGAAGAAACCGAACAACCCCTTCGTAAAGCGACCGATTGCGAGCACGACGGAAACTTCATTTTCGCGCCACCCCTTGGCGCACCGAACGACCACAGCCGCGCCTCGCGCAATTTTTCGGAGTGTGCACGATATCGTCACACCGGATTACGATTCGAATGTTCCATTACTGGCTTTAACTCCGTGTTCGCGTGAAGTGGCTGCGCGATTTGTGGATAAGCACTTCTTCGCGATACCGGCGCACCTTGTCGTGTCCAAGGCAGGTAGCTCGTCGGGAACCAGCAAACAGGAACGGCGTAGTTCGGGGTCAGGTGCAGGCTCGGTGCGTTCTGCAAAAACCGAGACAATAAATGTACTGGGTACAACAACTAGGGGCATTGCGGCAACGGATGGGGCAGGCGGCGGTGCGCTCGACGTAACAGGTGGAAGTAGCGGACATCCTGCCTCCGCTTCCGCGAGTAAGACGACCACGGATCCCGCAGGTTTGTCGGCGACGCAGTCTGGCGCTGAGAAGATGCCGCCCGCGACGAAGTACATTCTCGAGGACCTTACGCTGGCGAAGGCTGACACCACACAGTTTGCGCGTCCCTCGTGCGTCACAGAGGAAATTGCAGTACTGCAAATCTCTCAAATCGAGAGTGCAGGTGCAGGCGGGACCGCTCCGCCACCAAGGGCTCGTCGGCAGCGGGAGTTGAGCACCTCGCTTCTGAAACAAGTTTTTCGGGATGTCCTCGGATTCGAAGTGGTGCTAACGACAGAACTCCGCCCGATGAAGTGGGACGCTGCGCAGTTGGCCTCCGTACTCTGTGCAGGCGGTGCGCCGCATCAGGTATCTATGTATTTGTTTTTCATGCGGTCAGACAGGATGATCTTCAACTTCGTGTATCTATTTCGGTTTTACTCTGACGCGAGAAGAACTAACAAAACAGAAAAATAATCGAAACGTCTCTCAGGATGTTATCCATCGCTTGCCGCTGCTGCACGATCGATTGTCGGGAAGTGACATGTTGCAGTCGTTGGCGATTTCAGAAGCTGGTCGGACAACAAAGCCAGACCAAGACACGAGCGCTCAGCCAGGAACAACCACAGATGCTGTTGTAGCCCCTGCCGACGTAGCCACGAAAGGGTTGATAGACATGCTTCGTCATCAGTACGGAGACGACTTTTTTCAGGTCAAAGTCCTGATTTTCGCTAAGCCTTATGCGGTGGAAGAGCTTCGGGCTGCGCATCGCTTGCGCGCAGACCAAAATGTGTGCGCCTTGTGGAAGACTTACCAAGAAATCTTTCGCAATAGCTCGGTGCTGCTATCCCGCGCTGCGGTCGACCAAGTTTTTCGCACGGTCTCGCAGAGCACAACCGGGGAGCCGCTGAGCAACATTCTCCGTTCGATACCTAGTACCGCAAACGAGCAGTCCGAGCTAGTTGTGAACAAGTTTTTTGCGGTCAGGCATTTTTATTTGTTGGGCTACCTGCACACGGAAGTAATCACAGAGATCCTGCGGTTGTTCTGTCAGCATTGCCCAATGCTTCTTTCGCAATTTGTGCGAGAGCAGCGCATCATGTTGGAACGACTTCCGGACAGGCGCGCGCGCATTGCTCCAGCGAGCAAGCGCGCCTCCGCGGCACTGTACGGCGCCGGGCCACCAGCCGCGCCATCGCAATCAGCCAGCGCTGGCACAACTTCCGGCATACTGGCGTCGCAGCACCGGGCTTCAACAGCATCATCGCTCGTCAAGCCCCTGGATTTGGCGAAAGCGAATATGGGTCGTGGCGGGTCCATGAAAGAGCAAACCTCGTCGTCGGGGTCCTCTCGAGGCGCTGCGACCCCGCGGACGCGCTCCGGATCAAAATCCTTGGCGGACGAGGTGGTACGCCGGTTGACAAGCTTGGGCAGCAAAAGCAGGGTGCACGTGGACGGCATTTCGTCCGGGACTACAGCTCCTTCGTTTATGCAGCCGGACGTTTCGGTTTCAGCTCCCGCAATGACTTCTGTCGCACCTGCCCCGCGTTTTTCGGGATCATCTGCCTTGGGTCCACCGCCGGCTGCCGGACCTGCGGCTACACAAAATCCCAAGGCCGGCCAGGAAGACGGCATAGAGGACGGCGAGGATTTGATTGAATTGTACGCCCGCGCGGTGCTGGCTTCGCTAGAGAACTTTGCTGGCTCCGAAGTTTTGCATTTCGGGCCGCACGTGGCTAGCAGTTTGCTGAAGGGTAACATCAACCTCAGCAGCACCGTATCCGAGATCCGTGTCAATATTGATCCTGCAGCTACGAATCTTACAACAGAAGTATCCTCCGATACAACTACAACACCAGCGACCGCACAGCTTCTGCAACGCGAGGCGCTTCGTGCGCGCTCGATTCTTTCTCGCACATACTTCCATTACTTGATCCGCGTCACGAGGCCAAGGGCTGTGCCGAGTTTACCGCCGAAAGACTTGGACGCGTTTTGGGCGGATAATGTCGTGCATTGCGGTTTGTGTGCCTTTCGGATGCTGTTTGCAGTCCGGCTGGTGGCGGAGCTGTGTGCCTCTAGTACAGGGGCGCCGTCCGCTTCCGCAGCCAATACGATCCGCATGTTTGCCCCACGCATTGCACTCCATCCTCGAGATGTCCCGGCAACAGAAGCGTATGGAACAAAGCCGGAGTCCGTGGTGACTATCCATTCGGCACATTTCAAACCGCTCCTGTGCATCCTCGATCAGTTCTGCGGAGACTCTTCTCGCGAAGTCACCAGGGTACCACTGACTTGTTGTGATGGGCGCTGATGTTGAAGTCTTGTGTGTAGTTCCTTGAAGCTCGTACTAGCGGTGCCGTTTTTTACATCGCATTGACTTTTGGATCTTACGTTGAATAAATACGACAGGTTCGCCTGACCATATCTGATTTGCTCGGCCTTCGTGTTACCAAGGAAGGCAGCGTGACGCGAAGTCCCTTGCCAGGGCGGGTCGACGTTGGTTGGCGGCTCGTACCGAACCCGACCGAGTTCCCCTTCGACCGAATTTTGGCGCTCAATCGCGAGTTCGAGAAAGCCTGTCCGGAGACGTACGAAAAGCTCTGTTTCCAGCTGGAGTCCTACTTTGAAGAGGCAAACGAGGCCGAGCAGCAGGGGCGAGAATCTGACCTGTGGGCACTGATGAAAACCGGATCCTTCTCCCCGGTCCGTGGCAACCGGGACGAGCGGGAGGCGGAGGCCATATACGAGAAGTTCGCGAGCGACGCAGGTCTGCGGCTGGCCGTCACCGCTTCGGCCGCCAAGACCCTAGCGGCGCAGGAGGCCGCAAAAGCGGGTGCGCAGGCATTGGATAACTTGATGCTGCAAGAGGGTGGAACAACTTCTGCGGACGAACCGCGGCCGAGTCTGCTGATCACACCGTCGACGCCACTCGAAGCGGCCGCGCGTACTAGTACCGCCGCCCCCACCGCATCCGCGCCGCGCGTCTCCCTGACGAAGTTTATCGGGGTGCGCACCCTTCCGGAGTGCCTCGACCGCTTGTGTGTCGTGGCGAAGGCCGAAACCGAGAAGTTTGGGGATGGAATCGAGCTTGTATTCTCGCCAGACACGGAGGACGTTGCCTTACCCTTTGGATCATCAGGCGCTCCCGCTGCAGGAGGTACTAGGGGCGTGCAGGCGTGCACCGCACAACCGAGAGCAAATACGGCGAAAATCAGTCGTCGCCTGCATGCGCGTGCAGAGCTTTCTGTCATTGGCCGGAAGCTGGGGGCGGTGTGCAAGTTGGTCTCGATGGATTACACCATGCAAGCGCTGCTTCGCAGCTTCGAGGCGGAAGATTCGGACCACCTGGGGAGAAAGCGGTGGAAGAAAATCAGTGCAGTACTTCAACAGACGGACGGTCTATCCCGGCCCGTTCTGGACGCACTGGCGATGATCGCCGATCCCCATTTTCACCATTTTCCAGCGGTGGACACCGCGGGTCGTGCGGCAGGAGGACTACACGCTCCGGACTTATTAACCGTGATTGCCGCTGCCCAGAACGACGCGGCAGCGCGGTCCTCCGCCCTGTCAGCGTCGAAAGCACCCATCTACGACGAGCGTTCTGGGGAGGTGCTGGACAAGAAGCGTCACACGGCGAACTTGCTCCGTCTGCACCCCACAGAAGAGAAAAAAAACCGCAACCCACTCGCTAGAGACTCAGCGCTTTTTCTGGATGTCGTGTTTCCACGACTCGATGCGGTAAAGGGCGCGACTTCGGGGTCATCACGATCTTCGGCGACCGCAACGACCAGCAACCTGGTCATGTCTGGCGAAAGTGGTAGCACTCCCGCGGGATTAAGCAAGCCCGTGTTTCGGCAGCGTTTGTGCGCGGCACTGGGAATTGCGGACCTGAATACCGTCAACGATGCGGAGGGACTCGACTCCTTCCGAACCAAGCAAATGGTACGGCAATTCTGCAACCAGTCAGCGGAGTTCTGGGAGTACTGGGATTTGAGCAGCTCTACTCAGCGAGAAGACTACCTCGGGTACCACACCCCGTTCCGGCCTGAGGCACTGTTGGTGTCCTCTTCGACCCTGCAGGACGAGCTGAGCTTTGCATTTTGGGACCAGCAAAGCTTGCTACCTCGCCGCTGCTTTCAAGGTAAAAATGCACTGCAATTGTTGAGACCGCCACGCCCTGGGGCTCTGATTCTCTTTTGCTTGTGCTTACGTAATATGCGACTTACAGCAGTCCTCGATTAGGATTTTTTGAAGCTACTGCTCTGGTTCACAATCCCTACAGGACGGCTATGTGCGCAAGTGTGGATCGCCTTACGGTACTTCCCTGGGGGTTTCGGTGCGTGGGAAGAGTTTCTAGAAACTAGCCGAGTGGATCTGTGCAGCGGGTTTCGCACCAATTTCGACGACCGGTCGTGGTGCCGGGTCGTGCTTTTTCAAGCCATCTTGGTTGTCCTGGAGCTGTACGAGGGAGATTTCGGGCTGTCCCGAGGTGAAATGCGAGACTGGTTGCTCGATTTCTTGACCGAGATTCTCGCGCATCTCCAGACTTCTTGTACCAGAAGTAGTTAAATAGAGGACGCAGGAGCCAGCTGTGCTGGGAGCACGAGTGCTCGTCCCATTCTGATCAATTTGAACAATCTGAAAATCATCTGAAATCCGATACTCAAATAGTAGTATGCACCTGGAAGTAGACACTGTTGGGTGCAGATGCCAATCCGAATGATACTCATGTAGTATGCAGCTTCTCCGGAAGTTGTCGAAGAGACCGAGACGCGTGTGTGCGTGATTATTTTTCAACACGAGCGCGCCGAGACGTTTGATATTTAGCCCAGTATTAGCATAACATTCTAAGAATCATGGAAGATGACGATGAGCTAGAGTGCGACGATACGCCATTAAATTCATTTCCGTGGTCATGTAACAACTGCAGAGCAAAAAAAGAAGCGTCGTCTATTTTGTTCCGATTCGCGCTGCTGATCTTTCAGAGACTTGTCCTTGCACAGAAGTCACTTTCCTAAAAGAAAAAAGCCGAGCTTTAGAAGGTGGTAACTAGTACCAAAGATCGATAAATCACTGCAGTCCTCGCTGCAGCGACTACTGAGGCGGCGATGCAAGGTGGATCGTCAAATCAAGCAACCCCGTGTCGACTCAAGCTCCGTAGTCTTCAGTCTTTGCAACTTCGACTTCCACAGCACTGATCTTCCGGTTCTTCATTTCATTGGTCGTAACGCCTGCTGCGTGAGAAAATAGAAATAGGCTCGATCGCGACAGTTTTTGTATTCACGGAAATTTATTGCAATGCAAAGACCTCAAGCTCAGCGTCAGCTCCTGATGATCTTTGTGTAAAGGCTCGCAAGATCGAAATGACAAATCGCCACGATGTAGAATAGTCTTCTCACACAGTCTCAATAGACCTGAGTAGAGTACTAAATGAATCGCTTTGCATGACCTTAGTTTCCATGTACCAAACGAACGATTGGAATGTGTATGTTCTTACTCAAACTTTCAGTTGTCGCTCGCATTTTTATGCTCTCTTCCAGCACTGCTCCGCAACGGAGTTGCTGTATTGGACATCCTTCTGCTTGCGCCACTTTGAGTCTCAGCATCTTTTACTTAAGTGATCGACGAGTTATGTAATAGTATGTGGACGTGCAGCGAAATAGCAGAAGCAAGTTATGCGTATGAAGTTCGTGATGAAGTAACGTTAACGTTTAAAAGAATATACATCGGTCGGGAGAGAAGAAAAAAGAATAAAAAGTCGGTTTTTGCCGCTCTTCTGACGAAGCGTTTGAGAGTGAAGCTCTCGCATCGGGTCGGTTTTTTCTTTCGCAGTATTTGCTTTCTGTCCAATCGTTCGCTTGTGAAAATTTTCGTACAACCACAGTGCTTCACTTCGGGGCTTGAAATGCGTGCACCTCGTAGCATGAAAGACTCGTAAGAAGTTGCACTAGCCTATGTAGTTTTCTTAAATGCAGCTGACGTTCGACACAAAGAATTGATGAAAATCTGTATACTTGCGCGTGAGTTTGTCTGCATTCGTGAGCCTCCCTGCTTGCTTCTAGAATATAAAGATCGATCGCAGGGCAAGATCGTAAATCTGTCAACAAATTGATATGCGACTGGACATGATGAAGTGGCAAGAACTGCACGACCGATGATCTATTTCCATTGTAAATTTCATCAATCGTTCTTCCCAATTTCCGTTTTCCTTCCACAGTGCCCCTCATCCTCCTGGTTCTTACACTTGTAGGCACACCTTCCAATTTTTAATTTTCCACCATTTTGAAAGAAATTGACGATTGTTTAAGCTTGTTTGCTTTTCTGTTATCTTTCTTCAGCACCGAAATCTTCGACATTGTTTGTAAAGCCGCAGTATCGACTGTTTACTCGTGTAAGCACACACTTGAATTTGATTTACTTACAACTAAACATTAATCTCCCTTTTGTACAAAAGCATTTTTTAGCACCACTTTTGAAACAGCTGTCCCCAACATTAAAAAGTGCACCGACTTTCTCAACAAGCAGCATCGAGTTATACCCGCAAAAAGATCCAAAGTATAGATTCGTTTGATCGTAATTTTCTCGGTCTCTCGTGCGATAGAGGAGTTTGCGAAGCGTCGATTTTGATCCTAGCTCAAGAATTGTAGGGGTTGACTGTACTCCGCGTCATCGTGCCGCAAAGAACACAGCATCGAAGATCCTGTGGTCTGTCAGCTCGCATCTCCTACTCTTCACAGTTCGTCGTAGTCGTTTTCCTTCATCACAAACGTGGGGATTCACTGTGACAAGAACTGTTTACTACAATTATCGAAAGGAGCAAAAGTAGTAGGTGGTCTGGTAGAGTACTATAATTAGCAGGTGGGAATAGAGTTTGTAGTCGTCTATCACATCATTGCGTTTGCTTTGGTCGTGGTGGGCGTCTTGATTTTCTTCCTTTCTTGCGTTTTATTCTCGTTGGTCTACTCGTGCCTACACGTAAGGAATTCTTCTAAAAAAATCAACGAATCTTCTGTGAGTGTGTCATTGAAAATTGGTATTTCGTTTAATACCGTTTTCATCTGATCACTCCAATATCCATTCGACGAGAAGTCGTGCTGACATCCCCCTTTTAAGACTATCACCAGAGTTGCAACAAGAGCAGCTCTAAATAGACACTCACCGATTGAGCTTCGTTCACTAACTAAGAAGCTCTGACTCTATAGAACTGTCAAAATGGACGGCGAGCTCGAGGGAACGGTGAAGAGCTACAACATGGCCAGTCGCTATGGCTTCATCGAAAACGTGCCGGGGTTGACGCAGGATGTGTACTCTTTCTTTACTTCATTTCTTCTAAAATTGGGCTTTTATCCCAGCCTGTTCGAGTTAGGGTTTGCAGCTTCCTTGTGCGACATGCGCCGCTCTTGCTTCCGTTACAATGAAAAACCAATGAACACTGCATGCGATCCCGTTGTTTCACTACATGAATATGCATGTGCTCGTTCATGACGACACGAGATTTGTAACGTATCACCATCGAGCTCGTGACGTGTTCGTTTATTTTTATCTTCGTGCCCCCTTTTGTTAAGAATAAAAAAGCGAGCGGGTTCTACGTTTTGCGAAACTCGAAAAATTCACAGCCGTTTCCGTCGCGATGACCTGCCAGGACAACTGTACAACGAACAAAAACTGGTTGGTTGCACACTGCGCTTCACCCTGAAGCACAACAACGGTGGTAAGTACAGCGCCGAGAACATCCAGGACCCCACCAGCGTGCCCACATTTCGTTCCTTCGTCAAATCCTGGAACGCAGCCAAGGGCTTTGGCTTCATCGAGTGCCCACCCGCGCTCGACAAGCTTGCCGGGGAAAAGAAGGACATTTTCATGGCGTCAAGTACTAAAAAGACTATAATGTTTTTCATGATGTTTTTTTTTTTTTGTGTGACGCTTTTGATGTTGTGGTTGTTTCTTTCCCATGGTTAGTGTTGCTTTGATTTATATTTTTTGTACTTTAACTGGGCGCCTTTGTCTGAAGGATGAAAATTTTGATGATAACTCATCCATTTCATCCCAGGGCACATCATCGAAGTGGAGCATCAGGGTCTGGATTTGATGAGGCAGAATGTCATGTTCAGCGTGGAGAAGTCGCCGCAGGGCCTTTCGGCCACTTTCATCCGCTTCCCGAACATACCGGTATACTACTGTTGTGTGTGATTTTTTATTTCCGCCGTCGAGCTCGTCCAGCCATAAGTGTTATGGCCATCCAATGATCGAACTTGATTGATTATGAATTTTGTCACTTGAAGTATTTTGCCCGGGCATGGAAAGAACGAGAGAAGTATTTTGCATTTACTCCTTACAATGAATAAATCAACAGACGGCAATGGAGCAGAAGATGATGCTCATGCAGATGCCGGGGATGCTCATGCAGACTCCTGCGGCAATGGCGCCGATGGTGCTCCCAGAAGCAGCCCGCCCCCGGGCTATGACCAATCCCCTGAAGCGCCACATGGAGGAAGAGGAAAGGAAAAACGTCGACTACCAAAAGAGAAGACGCGGAATGTTGCCCAGGGGCCGAGTCAACGGGTAACATCATGATCTTTTCTTGCCATCTCCGAATAAATCGATGTCAAAAACAAAAGCAAAAGAGTAGAACCACTCGTGCCCGAGATCGAGATGAAAGAGGCTTATTTCATTTACTGTTAGAACACTAATACCACCATGTAGGGCGGTGTACACCCTACAGCACTAGTATCCACGTAACTGTCAGCATGGGAAAAGGCACAAGAGCATCATCATCATTTCATCATCATCGCTCTGTGTACATCGCTCTTCGCTCATGATGTGATTTGTGGATCGTGGATTTCAGGGGGGATTTGCATCGTATTTCAGTCGTGTCATCAGATCTACATGGTGATTTGATCTGCATGCCTACATTCCCCCTCATGTCTAAGCACTTGCCTACATTCCCCCTAGTGACAGGATGGAACGGTAATGGTGTAGTGGATAGACACAGTAAGAAAATAGGTATTGCAAAATCCTAAGAAATAGACACACTGACTAAATACACAACCCCTGAATCCCGATGCTACGATGACTGTGCGCTCCTCATGCAAACTCAAATCTAGCATCTTTGGCGAAAACACCACGGAAAAACGCATGGCTACGGCACAAAGAGAAACCACGAAACTGATGAAAAACCTCCCCCCCTCAGAAACTTGTGGAAGTTTTGGGCGCGGATGAAGGAAAATCAGACGGGCACTAGAATCCTACACAATTCCGCAGGCATGTGTAGCCTTCGAGTGTGACACGCGGAAGACGGACTACGATTCGAAAACCGAAGCGGCGTAGACAGCCGGCAGACCTATCTTGCTGTCATCTAAGTCAATAGATGGGTGGGCGCACGCGTGGAAGCACAGCAAAGGACTTCCCATTGGTTTGGTCAAGGGATCAGCCTTGTTCACGCCGGTGGGTACGTGCGCGATGTTTTCGACGTGATCCTTGACTTCATGAAAACGGAGCAAGAAGTGTTTCGTCTTCTTGGTTGGTAACTCCGAGCGCGCAACTTCGATTGCAGATTTGTTGTCCACAAAGAGAACACCGGGCAGAGACTGATTTTCATCGAGCCACTCCAGATACCCCTGGGCCTGCGATAGCTTCAACGTGTCGAAGAGGGCAATGTACTCGCTCTCGCATGTTGAGTATGCACGAAGTGTCTGGCGCTTGCTAGACCAAGCGATGGGCATGCCCCTGAAAAAGAGAATGCTTCCACTGCTGCTGCGGAGGGTGACGGAACACCCAGCAAAATCTGCGTCACTGAATCCCACAAAGTCCGGGAGGGACTGTTTGGAATTTTGCTCCTCAAGCACTTCAGTGTATTGCTTGCGAAATTCTCGCTCCCGTTCCGGTGTGTACTCTAGAACGACATGAGAAGTCTGCAGCAAGTACCTGACTAC